TGGTAAGGTGAGGGGCACAATCCGGTTTTGTATATCGCTCTGCACTGATGTCATCCGTGGTTGGGAATTGATCTTAGGTTGGTGGATTCAAAGTGCAGTGCGCTCGCCACTGTGCCACTGCTCGTCTCATTTAAACAATTGTCACCCCCATAAAATTGCCCGTCATCTTCTTTCGTATGGCTGATGTCGATGCAGAGCAACAACTACCATTTCACATTCAAGTGGTCAGGCCAGACGGCCGCTTCAGGAGCAGTGGAGTGTTATCGCTGTGATGTCTCCTTCGTATGTGTGGATCGGGGCATTGCGTCGTTATACGTTGTACGGTCTGTTCTGGATGACCACAGTCGCACACTACTGGAGAGTTTTTTATTTTCAATTTGTGCATCAGGTATCCGTATCTGCCATGGTTTTTGCAGATGCGATTTAGGGTTGACCAACGAGCTCCATGGAAGATCAAACCCAAGGAGTTCGTAATGATTGAGTAGTTATTGTTACGTGTTTGTGCTGGCATCCCTTAAAACCCTTAAAACCGGAATTATACGATAGATTTCATGTATCTCTTACACATGTCTGCCAATACAGTACTTTACTATGACCAAATTATCCTGAATGTGCCAGATCTCGTCAAATCTATGAAGCTAAGTAGGGATCATGCCTGATTAGTACTTTGATACGAGATTGCCTGGGAATGCAGTGTATCAGGTGTCTGAGATGTTCTAGACTGGGTGTACAGGAGATGGCAATACAGAAATTGATTTTAGAATCCATCTGGTCAGTGCTTTGAGCGGTATCCCTGAGTACACGTGATGGGTTTTCTCCAGGCTCTCCGGTTTCCTTCCACATGAAAGTCGAACACTTGATAAGTGAAAATAACCAAAAATCGCAATTCAAGATCATTCTGAAAAAAAGTCTCAAAACTCAGCGAGGCTTTGCTACTGTACATGAATAAAGGACATTCATTTTTATTATCATTTTCTTATTTTAAAAGCCCAGTGATTAGTTTGTCTGTGAACTACATGATAAGAGCCTTTCAGAAGGCCTGAATCAAAAAGTTATGGAAAGTGGACCCCCCTCCCGCCAGATGTGAGGGTAAAAAGTTGATCAACAGGTTTACAACAATCGTCAGCCCCCCCAAAAAAGTTAATTTTGTAGGCATATATGCTGACATCTGTCTGACCCCCCCCCCCCCCCCCCCCCCCACTGTTCAGACTTGTCTTCGTCTGAATGGTCGGTTTCGTTTGGTCAGGGCTGGTGGTAAACAGGTGTTGCTCTTTTTAAATAATACTGTGCGTCAGCACTAGCGAGTAAAATACCTTCACCGAAAATCATTTTTTTTTACATTTCCCTTTGCATCAGACGCTTCAATTTTCAAGAAATCAAGAAGACCAATTTGGCACTTGGAAGACTGATGAATCCCACGAACAGTATGATCAATCTAATTATTGTTTCATTCATTATCCAGAAATATATAATTTTCCATTTATTTAGCATTTATTTAGAGTGTTGATAGTTGCGGTCATTAAGAAGGGTCAAATAAAAATATCTAATTAACTTTGAGGTACAACCCAGTGGTATCTGCACACATTTGGGGGGGGGGAAGAAGAGGATATTAGTGGGGGTGAAGGGCAATGTGCGAAGCACCAAGAAGCCCTCCACAGGCCACCGAAATTCTAGTAATAGAAGATGGAGTGGGGGGTCAACAATGTTTGTAAACGTGTTGGATTAACTTTCTACCCCCATATCTGGGGGGGGGGGGGTCCACTTTCTATAACTTTTTGATTCAGGCCTTCTGAAAGGCTCTTATAATTTAGCTGATGGGCAAACGGTCAAACAGAACGCCGGACTTTTATAATATGAAGATTGCCAATTTTTAATTTTCACGTTGTAATTTTTTCCCAAAAATAATAACAAAGTAGACAGAACATTGACCTAACCTCGTGACGTTAGATCGTTTCCCAGCCATGGCTAACATCAGTGGGGGTCCTATCTAAACCGGTCCTGGGCGATAACCGGCTCAAACCGGCGTGGTGAAGTATGGTCAAACAAGCGCCATATCTACAAAGTGTGAGAGGCTCTTCATTCAGCAGTGGATTGACAAAGGTCCTTGAAAATAAAGCAGTTAACAATAACATAAAGCGTTATAGTGGCCTCTAGTAGCCGAATGGGTCATATATTCCGATTACACGCACCATATATGAATCAAAAATGTTAATTATGTCGCCGACACAAGATGTATATTGCATACCGATTAAGAGTCACTACACACTTACTACTATCAATGCTGCTCTCGCAGCGTTGCTCCATGAAAATCTGGATTGCTGGGTGGTTCGCATGGAATGGAGGTCAGAACCACTGATACAGAGCGCATCCGATTGGAATCCATTTCACGTGTCACTAAAATCCATCCCTGCTTTTACAGCGTACTTCAAGGGGTTCAGTGCTATGTCGGTCCCACCGCAATTTCTGAAATTCCCACGTGCCTCCAATTAGTGCATGTTTGGTTGCTCATATATGATATTAATATGAATGCACTGGCTCGTACAAATACACACGTGGCCACAGTGCAAAGCCCACAGAGAACAAGCGTACATTGAGAAATACGGCCAGGTTAAAATGTTGATTGCTGCACTGCCTTTGTACAATGTAATGACATGCGCGCAGAGTGAGCAGCCAAACCTATTATTAATTTAAACCCCAAGATGCGTCTGAATGGGAAGACAAGGGAGCGCTCCTCACAAACGAATCAATGCACGTGCAGTTTGACAGAACACAAGAAAGCGAGTTTGTTTCGAAGACCAGACACACACACACACACGCGATTTGTACACGTGGTTAAGCACACAAAGATAAAGATCCACCGTATAGCCTTGACCAGACTGTTGGGGCAAGTGTTGTTGGCGAGCACCTATGAAGGCCGGCACGGTACATGAGGAGTGATGGCTCATACAACACCCGGCTGGCTGTCTCCACAGTGTTGACGTTTACACACCGTGCCGCATACGCATCTAAGGCTGAGTCGACCTGCTTGTCAAGTGCACCCATGTGTGAACACACACCAACACAAGCTGAACAAAGAAGGCGTGAAATTTCCAGGGTGCAAACAAAACAGTGTGCCATTACTCGGACGTGACACGTGTCAGAAACATTGACGTCTCCGGGGACCAGGCGAGGTCATGTAGGCACGGCAGCAATCACCTCATATTTGGAAGCTCAAAAGCCAGTGTGAAATACATATTTAGGGCTCCAGAGACCTACTGCAATACTTGCAAAACAAGATCTACGCCAGCAACGAAGGCGGGAAACTTGTTGGCCCATATCTTATTTGCTGGGACACCCGGCAGAGGTAAAGCACAGCCCGATTAGAGTAAGGGACACGCTGGCGGATTTCGATGACACACAAGTGTGGAAACGTTTTCGCGGTGCGATAATCAGTACACTGGGCTTGCCACCAAGAGGTTACCCACTAGATTCAATCTCTTGGCGCGGGAATTGAAACATCGCTAGGCTTTAAGAGACTCGCTTACACCACAGCTAGAAGGCCGTGTGTGGTGGGGTAAAGTGTGGGTATTCCCACCTCATCCAAGACGAATTGCCAGCATGTAAACGAAGGCAATATACCATCTAGAGATGGGATCTCTGAAACTTCCTCTAGCAGAGGCCCTTTGGCGTGAGCAAGCAAGTACCTTTCACCTGTAAAGGACGGACGACATACTTGACAGCGCTGGCTCACTGAATGCAACCAACCACACACACACACCTTTCCGCTGTACCCAGCGAGCATGCCAAGGAGGCCCTAATTGTACAATCAGCAATGTGATTGCCGACAGGGAACCCACGTGTGTAATCACAGGCACGGCCCTTGTGAAGCTGGCCACGGGGTCTTTTTTAAGCGAGCGAGAGAGTGGCTGTTGGTACAGAGAGCACCGCATAAAACAAAGTCTGGGAAATCTGCGTTTCGTGCTCACGTGAGGCCCCGCTATTTCGAAACTATTTTGGATGACACGGGGTCAACGGAAGACCGCTCGCTAACACTATCGAGTTCTGCGGAGATTCCAAATAAAATCCTTGTCGACGACCCAACCATTGCTCCGCGCGGCTTTCATCTGCCAAGAACACTAACGGTGCTCCATCAGCCGCTTCAGAGCAGCAACTGGTCGCTGCTGCGCCCACACACCTCGTGCTCCACGTCCTCCACAAGTGGAGACCTAAAGACAACCCACAGTATGACTACGCCCACACACCTCCTCATCCACAAGTGGAGACCTAAAGATAACCCACAGTGTGACTGCGGCAACCCGAACCAGACAATGGAACCCGCATCGCGAACAACCGCATCCTACGCCCCGTTCTCCGGTGGACTGTGCAGGATTAGTCGCGCTAACTCGCGAAGCTATCCCATGGCTCACAGACTTAAACTGGGACGTGTGATTTGCACAGACTTGCCATACGCTAGAGAGAAACGGCCAGCAAACAATCTTCATCTGTCACTGCAGGCATGTTAGCCGCACTGATTGGATGCTAGGATTTATTTTCGACCTGGAATACCGTGTTTGGAATTTTAGCGCAGCCAACTCTATCACTGCGATAACCCTCTGCATACTGCCGTAATTTTTCGCAGTTTTTTGCGTCATTGGACAACATAAAAAAAAATAGTCCTTTCGTTTAGAGTACATGGAACTTGCTTGAATGCCTCAGCATCTCAAAGCGCCGTACGTCACATTTTATTTCTAATAATTTCAAGGGTACCCCCCCCCCCCCTCCGTGGCAGCTATCCTTGTGCAGCACAAAATGAATGAGCACCGACCTGTAGGTGGGCATTAGTATGCCAGTAGGGGGCGATGATTACCCTGTGTAATCCCAATTGAGATACGTGTGTTAACGCGCATAGTGTGTGGCCCACCAAAGCCATTTGTTCGTGCCATTCGGCCGTCAGTAATGAAAGGGGTTACCCCACCGCTGGCGTAAAGGTGTGGAGATTGGCGGGGGTACGCAGGGCTCACCTTCCTGTAGACCAGCATGTTGGGCGACTCTTCGGGGAGTCCTCCGCTCTCACGGGGGGGCGGCCCCCCTTGCGACGACTGAGCCGCTGACTCCAGCACCTGCGCCATGACGCACGCCCTGGTGCCGACAACGTACAAGCAGAGGCGCGATGCAATTGTGTCCACGGTTCGTGCAATCTCGCCACCGTTCAATCCCACCAAGGCGAGCTCCAGCTGCCCTTTCCACGTCACTCCGTCATCAGCACCCACTAAACCAATTCTACTGAAGTGTCATCATTGCAGACGTACACTTACAGCCATTTATTGTCAAGCCACAATCTGGATGAGTGTCTCACCCAATGTCATGCGGGTAGTGGGTTGTTTATTTGACCATACTTCACCGTGCTGGTTTGTAAGTGTTGGTGAAGGCGGGGGCATGGATGTTGAAGCTAGGTTTGCCACATTGTGCGATTGGCAGGAATTCCTTTGTTGTACAATACTACGATCAGGTACCAGGATTGTGTTGAACTTTTGTGTTATGATTATTAATACCATGTTTGTTAATCCATTTCAGATGACATTTAGAAATTGAAATAAAATTGACAAAACATATTTGATGAATGTTCAGAGATTCCACCTGTAATTTGAAACAAAAAAAAGTCCTCAATTAATTTGCACGCATGAATGTAACATTTGTTAAATTAAATAACTCTGATTTGTTTAAATACATATCATAATCCTGTATGTCCTGGCTTTTGGGCCACCCTGTAGATTGTCTTTGCCTCTCTGCACATCGTCATCTTAGGTTGCCCTCAACAGAAAATCAAAATCGCCCGTCTACTTTGTAGCATGACCTTGGCCCGTTGACTTCCAAATCATATCAGACACGTGCAATAATACAAACTGAATGATTCATAAAGGTGTCCAACTGGTTATGTCATTCACTTTTCAAAAGCATTCCATCAATTATGTACTCTTTAAAACAAACACATCACATTAGAAGGTTACTCCAATTATGGGGTTCCCCCTCCACCACAAATGAGTGAACAAGTGGAGGGCTTGCCCATTGCAGTTGTGTGCAATCACAGATATAAAAAAAATACATTTTACAATAACACCACCTTCATCATCAGCAGCCAAGATATATCCACTACTGGATGAAGGCACCCCCAAATCATTGGCATAACTTTCATATTGTCAACGTCGCTATATAGTCATACAGTGCAAATGCAGTTTTGGAAAGAAAAAACTACACACTTTGAGTCAATTCTCTTTTTAAATGGGCCAAATCATGTAGTGACCACTCCACTGTCATCCAACAGGTCCTACCTATTAATGATCCTCATGAGTTCGACTCAATGTTTTAACATCCGCTTGAATAGGGGGTGATATTCAATGTGAAATAAAAACTTATAACCGGCGTCCTGAGTTCGATTCCTGGCCACTGCTACCATCAGTGACCTCCCCGCCCCCACTTCCCAACTTCTTCACCAATCCGCCCCTGAACAGGGTAAAGTATGGTCAAACATCCCCCATGACAGGCACGGCATGGGGAGGCCATCATCCACCAGTGGATTGACACAGGGTTGTAAATTATTTTTATTATCATATTTATTTAGAAATAAGTGCCATGACCATTACCTGTGGATAGAAATCACGATTGCAGCCGGGTAACGTTTTGCTAATTATTGAGTGACTCGGGATGCGATTTCTTGATGGAGATGTTTACAAACATCAATTATGGTATTGCTCAAATTATTTCTTGCAGTTTATTTATATTTACATCCTGTAATTTAAGAAACAGTTGTGAACACTCCGAAATTTAGAATCACGCTTTATAATTCAAAGCCATAATATCAAAATGCCTCCCTGGCTCAAACAAGCGCTGTGTATTGGCGGTAGCACTCCACATTCCGATGGAGGGAGCCAGACTATCCTATGTCCATGTTAAACCTTTAAGCACCTCTTACTACAATGATCGACTGTTAGAGGTGGAAACATTCACTATCCATCCCGTACTAGAATCCCACGACGATCCGACTATACATCTGTGAAAAAGAGCTCTAAACTCATCTGATTCCTCCAGTATAAATAAATATTCAGATTTTGAAATATTCTCACTTGAACGAATTGTCATTTATTCCTTTTCTGATGGTAGCACGCCCTGTGGCTGCCAAAAGGGTAACCTTTAACACGCGACATTACTGTACGGTACACGAATTGCGGGCCAGGATTCCTGACTCACGCGATTAGCACGGTTGTTTACGTACGGTGCGAAAGAAGTTCAATATACATACACAGTATACACGCTAGCGTGAGCTGGGGAATCTGCTTTAATCTGATTCGTTGCATTTTCCCACCCGAGGTTCACAACAGAGTTTAATCTGTTTCCAATTATCGATTTTTTTTTTTAAAGGGGGGATCCATTTATAGATACATCATTGATTTATGATCCTCTTACGACTACAGTATCCTCTAAGCAGACAAAATGCCTCCACTTATCTGACCACAAAAAATATGAAAGTATTTTGCACACATCCCATCAGTCATACGGCCTTAAGTCTTCTGAAGAGCTGATTGAAATGTTTTAAATCTACGACTCCACATCTTAGAGAGGAGAGCGTTAAGATATGTAGGTGTGTGTTCAGATTGGTGGGAGACATGTGGAGATGCTGTAAAATAATATGCATTCTCTATCATTTCTGGTATTTCAATGGTGCATATATGCATGAATCACCCTGTATATACACATATTACTTTTTGATATAGGGTCTTAATTTTAGAAAAAATTAGAGTAATCTGATTAAGGTTGATCGTGAAGAACAGAATGAAATACCACTTAAGCCGAATTAGATTTGTTGAAGAATTCCGTTTTAAGCAGTGCACTATAAGTATCGTAATAAAACACACACACACACCAATGAATGTTGTTGTGGTGCACTATACTTGCGATCCAGAGGTTTGATTTCTCGGCGTGACATTGGAAGCCTTGGCGCAGGTTTCTTAAATCCCTCCGCCTCTCTCCTCTCAGCAATGTTCATCGGTTAGTTGCTTGGAAGATCGCGCATGGTGAGGCAAAATGTGGGTAACCCCTTCCCCGGCCTCTTCATAGTCGTCTCGCTAGCGTGGAAGAGTAGGCGAAATTCTCTCGAGTGTCAAGTCAATTTTTTTTAATTAAATACGTGCCGCATTTCTGGCACAAATCTGCCACTCAAAGCGCCATCACATTTACTGTAAGCCCTTCCGCAGGCAGTAGCTTGTGCTGGCAATTGCAGGGCTGCGCCTCTGCATACTTAAAATGTCCCTAACTCATCAACAACGAAGCACTGAACAGGCGTGCACCGCGCTATGAACTCGGCGGCCTGAGTTCGATTCCTAGCCGTACCAATAAGCGGGGACCGTCCCCTCCAATTTCACCAAGCCACGCTGACGACCAGCGTGGTGAAGTATGGTCAAACAATTCCCGAGATTTGAAGCGGCGCGTGGGGGAATTCATCCAGCGGTGGATTAACAAACAGCTGTACAAGCAAAATAAAACAGATAAATGATTGGCACTCTCACCTGCTGTGGCTGATGATCGGCACCCCTGCTCCGTACGCCGGCTCTTCCGTACACTGGAAGTTTTGCACGGAGGATTGTATTTTATAATTAAATCCGGCCGGTCTATATTCCTGATGCTTTCGAGTCGCTCCGGGTGAAGGTCAGCTGCAGGAACGGCATAGGAAAGGAATCCATACGACACGATGCATCCTTTCAGTTGCCGGTGTGTGTTTGATGCATACTGAGCCCTATCCACTGTTCACCGAAGTGTTATGCTGTTGAACGCTGCTGCTTGCTGTTGCTTTTGTTGTTGGTGTTATTGCTGTTTATGATGATGATCTTACTGACTCAGCTGCTACTGCTGATGATGTTTAAGATACTGCTGCTGGTGCTACTAATAATGATTATGGTGGTGCTACTGTTGATGCTATTACTTATGCTGCTGCCACTGATGCTTTTGCCGTTGCTAATACTGCTGCTACTGATGCTGCTGCTGCTACTGCCGCCGCTACTGAAGATGTTGGTGTCTCTGTTGATACTGCTGCTGATGTTAATGTTCAATACGCTCTCAGCTTGCTGCTAGTGCTGGTGCAGCTGATGGCGACTGCGCTCTTATTATTGCTCCTGTTTCTGCTGATAATATTATTGTCTAAATAATTGCCTCTTTAAGTCGGGTTCCTTGTATATATTATCCCAGCGGGGCGCGTTACGAGCTCAGTGTCTTCTGTGCCATCATCCTATGGACGCAAGTGGTGCACCGCTGCCGAGTGGTCGGTGGCGAGGAGAGTGCGTGCACATCATTGCTCGGAGAGAGTTAAAGTGTTCCGGCCGTGGTTGCACCAACAGAGGCGTCCACAAGTGCACGCTAGGTCCTTGTAACGACTGAGACGGCAGCGTGCGGGGTGGTGGCGGAGGGGGCGGTGGGAAGAAGGAGGGGAAGGGGGAGAGGGGAGAGCACGCATGGGAGGGAGAGATGCAATGTGAAGAAGGGATGTTAACGTGGGGAACTGAGACCCAGGGACTTGATTTTACTCGACATCTGTGGGAAAAGAGCTGTATAGCTCCTGGGATTCCTCCAGTATAAATATTCTGATTCTGATTGTCTCGTGCAGTATTTAAACATTTCAGCTGGAACTGTCCAGGGGCTGAGCTCCGTAAATCAAGCCCCAATTAAACCTTTAGTTTTAATTGTTTTTTACCTAACCTTGCATGTCCAACCTTTATAAATGAGTGCACTAGAAATGAGGAATAAGCAATATCAGCTGTGGTGGAGATGCACGCCTGTTACTTGGAGGTGGGGTCGGTGGGTCACTCAGAGATGGGGTCATGAATATCGCACTCTACATCGACCTGCATGCCGTTGCGATAGTACGCAGGTAAAGCAGCCAGCAGGCATCATGTTGACTGTCCGTTGAGTCGCTTTGGCGAGACACCGTCTCTTTCAGGGATGATGGTCAGTCGTCGAGACTAACGTCGGAGTTGCAGCCCCACGAAGGAATGTCCCGACAAAGCACGTCCTCCCCCCCCCGCCGCTCCCGCGGAGATGGAGCGATGAAATCGAATTCGTGCTTGCACGTGCCACATAACTTAATGTGGCACGTACAAGCATTGTCGCAAGACAGTGAGAGATGGCGAAGGCTTTGGGACGCCTTCATTCAGCAGTAGATCGATCATGGCTGATGATGATGATGATCTATTTTGAACGTTCTCTCTTTCCGGCATGGGTTTTCTCCAGGCACTGCCACAAGAAAGAACAAAATTATTTCAGATGAAATGTGACAGACAACGCATTGTCATGAATGAATCTTCCATGTGCAGACCTCCTTCAACGCTTTTGGGAGACTCTCGTTCAACAGTGGATTATTGCCTAGAACTACAGTATTTGTACAACAAATTATTTTACTGTATTGCCCCCTGCTACCTATGATCCTCATTATTTTCCCGGGAAGTCTTCATTGAGTCTCAAGAGCCATTTTGAGGAGGCTCCTGCATCGGAATACTTTGCGAAATCCAAAGTATTCCCCCGATTATTAGATGCTCCGGAGAAAGTAAGATGCACCCCAAACGCGTGCCCGGTGTCAATAAAGTTATCGAAATTCTGCTCACACACACACACCTACCGGATTCAACTTTTCGTTTTATGGTATGGAGAAGACGGTCATTAATGACTTGCATTCCTTTATATCAGTGTTGTTCACTAACTATTCAGAGGGGATAAGCCATCATCGGTGTGAGGGCCGCCACACATTTGAAACCATTGGGGTCTGACAACACAGCACGATGGTGATGGGGTGATGTGGGGCCATCCATTGAGTAGGTACGAAAAATTATGTCAAAACTTGACCTCTCCCCCCCTCCCTGTACGCACGTGGACTTTTTATCCCCCCCAACCTGCGTACGTACGCTTGACGCCCCCTCCCCGAATCCTATAGGACGGCCGATATTTAATCCATGCAAAAACGATCAAAGATTAATAGATAGTCCACCGCCGGCTGCATTAAATAATTAAGTTGCGTACATTGGCCACTTATTTTGCTGAGCTGCGTGATGGCTGCAGTCAGGGGTACGGTGGCATACAAGTGACACCTCTCCCACAGCCCCACTTCTACTGGTAGTACTTGTCTGACAGCTGAAGAAACTGAACTGTGGCTCATTTAAAGGCCAATGTAGACAAATTATTATCCAGGCTTCACCCCCTCCCCCCCCCCCCGTTTCTTATGCGTACGTACATTATCAGTAGACCCCCCCCCCCCCCTCCATGGATGGGCCCTGTTCCCACGTGTTGTGAATTGTCAGGGGCTGCATGTCAGGGGCCGCGCCAGAGGCCACCAGGGGCCGCCAGTGGCCCGCGTGCCTTGCAATGAACCACACTGGTTTCAATCATTATACAGTATTATCATTCATTCAATGCGGTCACGTCTGCTCCAATAGCGACATCTATGGGTAGAAACAGCAATAGCTGCTTTTAGAGACCGCTTTGTATATAACGTGGGGCTGCAATAATGTGCGAAAGCATTACATTCTAAAATCAGTGTCTTGTCACAAAAAAAGATTAACTACAACATAATGTTTACGCCCGAAGCTAAGCAGCTGTGAGCCTGGATACGCGTTTGGATAGTCACAGGCTTAAGGAATTCATATTATTGGGTCTTTCGGTAAAGTCACGTAGATAGGTTCAAAGGAAATAATCAAAAATAACAGGATTAAGGAACCACGTGGTGGGACAGCAGAGGGTAGTGCAAAATCCATAGCACGATGCTGCGAGCTATGTTCACACTGACTAGCGTGGTGAAGTATGGACAAACAACCTCCCATGAGTGCCTTTCTGTGTACCGCTATTGCGTGTAGCCAACACAATAAACAATGGGTGAATGGCAATTATTATAACACGTTAAAGGCTAGTTTAACACGTAGGCTTTCGCGACCAATATTAATCATAATAAAGGTTTTTGGGTAAGATCGCGTAAGGAACACATACAAATCAAATCATTACTGATCAATTATTTTATTACAATAATACCCCCCACCTCCCCCTGGGGGCTGGGTGGGGGGTGGGGCTGGGTGGGGAGGGGAAGGGCTGGTCACCCCGTGGTGCCCTTATAAAACTCAACGTTTAACCTACTCACGCCGGCTTGTGCCCGCCCTCACAGTCGGGCATATTTGCGGAATACACCACGTGGTGCCGCCGTTGTTGACCCTGGCCATTGACCGAGTAACCCAACGTTCCTACCAGCTCCCTCCGCAGGAATGTGTTAATGATGATGACAATGAATACATATTTGTAAAATGGGTCATGATAACGATGACGACAGTTTACAAGAACCGTAAAATACTCCCGATGGACAATCATCAGTTCTTGCTTCTGATGATTTTGCTGATTCATCTAGCATTGATTAATGGATTATGGGGAGGGTGATGATATGTTAAAAGCGAAGCTTCTGCTGCTTCTACTGATTATAATAATTGGGATGGATTTGTAATGAACAAAAATCAAGAATGATAATTATAACGAATCAGTGTGTATGAGCCCCCCAAATCTTAATCCCCCTCCCACCCCCCAGCAAAGCTTGACATGTTATCTCACCGCAGCACACATTGCCACGTTGTTCACGTGTTGGCGTGTAGGCACGTGTGTTTCCGCACCGCATGGAATTTATTCATTATTCACTTGCCATACGCGTGCGTGCGCGCGTGCGCACGTACGCGTGGAATGGTTCGCGCGCTGCGCTCCGAACCCGGCGACCCCCCCGAGTTCGATTCCTGCTCAGGGACCAACACCGGTGACGATTATCTATCTGAACAGGTCTTGGGCCTCCACTAGGTCGACTCAGCCTAAAACGAGTACCTGGTGCGGTGTGTAAAAACATGGCCACTGGGGGAGACAAAGGCGGCCGGGCGTGGTATTGACCACCCGACCCCCTCGTGTGCCACAGTGCCGGCCTTCATAGGTGCTGCTCGCTAACAACACTTGCCCCAACAGTCGGTTGAGGCTATACGGGGGATCTTTGTTTTTTTTGTGCACGCGCGTAACGGTTCGCGCGCTGCGCTCCGAACCCGGCGACCCCCCCGCCCCGAGTTCGATTCCCGCTCAGGGACCAACACCGGTGACGATCATCTGAACCGGTCCTGGGCCTCCACCCCCTAGGTCGACTCAGCCTTAAACGAGCTCCTTCCTGGCGCTGTGTGCAAACGTCAGCAATGGGGAGACGAAGGCGGCCGGGCGTGGTGTTGGATGCCCACGCACCCTCGTGTGCCACTCCGGACTTAATAAGTGTTCGAGAACAGCACTTTCCCCCAACACTCTTGTTAAAAGCTAGTACGAGGGATCTGTGCGTATTCGTCTCCATTTGTTAGCCTCGGGGTTTGTGTGTGTGTGTGCGCGTTGGCGTTTGTGTGTGTGTGTGCTGGTGCGTAAACATCGCCACTGGGGAGACAAAGGCGGCCGGGCGTGGTGTTAGCCCCCCAGCCCCCTTGTCTGCCACAGTGCCGGCCTTCATAGGTTATTGTGTGTGTGTGGGGGGGTGGGGGGGAACGCTGCAAGCGATTCGTGGGAAAAAAGCGAAAGAGAGAGAGAAGAACCCCCCAATCTATTGTAAGCCCCTGGCACTTGAGGGCAAATGACATCACATCCTTGGGGGGGTGGAGGAGGAGGGGATGGGGGGGTCACAACTTAAGTGAATAGGAGTGTCAGAATGCGTCACAACCACCAACCCACCAACGGTTCGAAGTTTTAAGTCTCAGAAAGCCTCCTCCCTTTTAGTGGCCGCCGCCGCTGCTGCGGACGATGATGATGGAGCTTTGAAGGACGCAACAATTCCTTTGTTCGTTAGCCTGGAGCGAGGGGAAAACGACGGAACAACTTGGCAATGTCCAGCAGCTAACTGTTGCAAGTTAGTTTTTTTTGTTTTGTTTAGTCAAAGCCTGGCAGCACACGCGAGGCCACGTAGCGGGGAAGGTGAGTTTGGTGTCCGATGCTATGCCGTGGGGGTGCTGCTGCTTCTGTTGCTGTTGTTGTGGTGGTGGCGAGATGGGGTCGATGGGGGTGGATGGAGATGGGGTGGATGGAGATGGGGGTGGATGGAGATGGGGTGGATGGAGATGGGGTGGATGGAGATGGGGTGGATGGGGGTGGATGGAGATGGGGGTGGATGTAGATGGGGTGGATGGAGATGGGGGTGGATGGAGATGGGGTGGATGGGGGTGGATGGAGATGGGGGTGGATGGAGATGGGGTGGATGTAGATGGGGGTGGATGGAGATGGGGGTAGATGGAGATGGGGGTGGATGGAGATGGGGGTGGATGGAGATGGGGGTAGATGGAGATGGGGTGGATGGAGATGGGGTGGATGGAGATGGGGTGGATGGGGGTGGATGGAGATGGGGTGGATGGAGATGGGGTGGATGGAGATGGGGTGGATGGAGATGGGGGTGGATGGAGATGGGGTGGATGGGGGTGGATGGAGATGGGGGTGCATGGAGATGGGGGTAGATGGGGGTGGATGTAGATGGGGGTGGATGGAGATGGGGGTGGATGGAGATGGGGGTGGATGGAGATGGGGTGGATGGAGATGGGGGTGGATGGAGATGGGGGTGGATGGAGATGGGGGTAGATGGAGATGGGGTGGATGGAGATGGGGGTGGATGGGGTGGATGGAGATGGGGGGTAGATGGGGGTGGATGTAGATGGGGGTGGATGGAGATGGGGGTAGATGGAGATGGGGTGGATGGAGATGGGGGTGGATGGGGGTGGATGGAGATGGGGTGGATGGAGATGGGGTGGATGGAGATGGGGGTGGATGGAGATGGGGGTAGATGGAGATGGGGTGGATGGAGATGGGGGTAGATGGAGATGGGGTGGATGGAGATGGGGGTGGATGGAGATGGGGGTAGATGGAGATGGGGGTGGATGTAGATGGGGGTAGATGGGGTGGATGGAGATGGGGGTGGATGGGGTGGATGGAGATGGGACGTTGCGTCTTCACGGCGTGGCTAACGGTTCGCACGCGCGGCTGACATCGCGATGCGTGCGTGTCACTGGGCGGTAGGGGAGCGGTGCTCGCCAACAGCACTTGCCCCAACAATTCTGTTAAGGCTATAACGGGACTGTGGTGGGGGAGCTTTGTCTTTGTTGTCACTGTGTGGGGGGAGCGGTGGCGCAGCGGTTAGCGCACTGCGCTGCGAACCCGGCGGTCCAGAGTTCGATTCCCGCTTACGGCCCGACACAAGTGACGATTATGTGTACCGGTCCTGCCCCCCTAGGTCGACTCAGCCACAAATTAGTAGCTGGTGCGGTGTGTTAAAACATCGCCACTGGGGAGACAAAGGCGGTCGGTGTTGGTCACCCATTCACACTCGCGTGGCGTTCCGGCCTTCATAAGTGCTCGCTAACAACACTTGTACCAAGAGTCTGTTAAAAGGCTATACGCGGGTGTGGAATCTTTGTCTTTCTGGCCCATGTGTATGTTATGGACCAGTGTATGTTATGCACCAGTGTATGTGTGCGTACATGTGTATTCCTCCGACGTATTATTGCATCACGGGATTTTGGAAGGTGTGGTGATAGCTTGGGGAGAGAGGCTTTCATCCAGCAGTGGATTGAGCATGGCTGCATTGTATATACCGTCAATTTTAGTGTGTGTTGCCCTTCCCCCGCACCTCCGATTAGCACGGTTAGCTATCTACGGTGCGAGTGTAGTTCACCGTACGTGCATTGTCTAGGACATCTATCAACGTGCTCATTGCACATTATACACACATATATACCATATATTATTGCCCAGTGTGCATGTTATGTTTGTCTGATCACTGCATACGCACGTACCACATATCCGTGTTGTGTATTAAATACAGTCAATTGGGAGAAAGTCCAACTGTGATTATATCATTGTGTGCTTATATCAGAACTGTGTTTTATATAACATGTGCTTATATCCAGCGTCCACTGTACTATTGGGTGGCTAGACTAAAGTGCACTACAATGGGGTTTACTTTCCGTTTGTAATCGGAGCCTGAATAATACATTAGGCAGCTGACACTGGGGGGCTGAATGCCATTCGACTTCAGGGCACAGCTTTTAAACAGAGCTTTCTCTCTCGCCCTGCCTTATTAGCTCCCTCTGCCAGCCCATTCAACCGAAATGACACAGCAGCGTCGATAAATACAGTACTTAATGCTCGCGCCGTTGAAAATACTTAAACCCCACTGCCGTCATTAACAAACAATGCCTTGTTACTGAAAATATGCGGGCAGGCGTGCGTGTTGTTGTGGGAAAGTGGTCGTTCCGTTGAAGCAGGAAATGCAGTGTGGGGGTAAATCGCTTAAACATTTATCCTGCGACTTGTTTCACTTGTTATATTAATGACATTCATGATGTTGTTCATCTCAGAGAGGCACGGAGTCTCAAGATGTATTTCTTTAAAGGTGTTGCATTGGGATATTTTACCAAAATTTGTTTTTTTTAATGCTCTTCATACGAGAGAATCCTGAGACAGCGGAGAAAACCCAAATATGAGGTTATACCACTCAACAGACCATAGGGATAAGTTTGCAAAGCCACTTGCTGTACTGCCACGACGTGTAATCCAGCGAGTTTGAGAGGTCACAAATATCCATGACCATCCATCCTTGACTCAGAAATGCTCGATTAAGAGGTGTGCGCTATCACGTGTCAGAATTACCTAATAGAATAACTTCAATGCATTTAGAAATTATTATTAAATGAATTATTAATGAGTCACGTTAACTGCCTTGTCCTCGTGTTCATGAATGTGGCCAGTGACGTGCAACGGAGTGCCATTAAGCAGTCAGGCCTCAGCATGTGGCGATGTGTATCATCGATTAATATCGATTGTTGCCTTGACTTTACACGCGTTGAATGTGGCATGTCATAATTAGTTATTTACAACTATGCAAATCGGATTTGAGTTAATTTACTATTGTTACAAAGGAGAGAGAAAACATTAACGAGATGGTCAAAACCAGGCAATAAAAACATGTTTTGCATAACATTCATACTCGCCTTAAAAAATTGTGGTTCTGCAGTGTGATATGAACTGATATTCAGTGCACAATCAAGGGCACCGCATTAATTTTATACAATAACACACGTTCAGGGCAAGTATCACTGCTCATGGCAATGTGTCACTAAACAAACGGGGACGAACGAACGTGGGTTGTTCAAGTACAAAGTAAAATTAAAGAGGTAAATATAAAGCAATGCAATTTGTTGCTCATCCTTTTAACTATTATTTTTATTTAGTTGACCAGGTAAGGCCCACTGAGCTATAAGGTTCCAAATACCCTGAACACGTGCTTCTAAATGTGGAGGGGAAAAAACAGAGGACCCAGAGAAAAATCCATGCGACCAGGGGAAAAACATGCAAACTCCAAATATACAGGCGTCAAATTCTTGGCTCTTTCGGTAAAGTCACGTAGAAGGGAAATAATAAAATAAAACAATTAAATTCTCACGACGTTTAGATTGCAACACAAGCAATCATCATCATGTGTGAAAACCACACCGCCACTTTTTTCAAAAAAAATATTGCTATGGTTTTCACACCTGATGATGATTGCTTGTGTTGCAATCGAATCGTCGTGAGAATTTTATTGTTTTATTTGTATTATTTCACTTCTGCGTGACTTTACCGAAAGAACCAAGAATATGAATCCCTGCAGTCACGAAAGCTTTAACACGAAATTTACAGGCGTCAAGTTCGGGATTAAACCCACGACCTCCTTGCATACCAAGCAAGGGAGTTAACATCTCGCCACCCACCCCAGGGCTTCCACGAAAGGGAGTGTTAAGAGAGCCTCTGTAAAGGGTACCTGTCCCAACTCTCGCACACTGGCATGGCGGGAGGTTGGAGTATCCACAATTTACCCCAGCACATACCACCTACCGATCAACTAATTGTGGTCAACCCATTTATACTTTTGGGTGGACACAGGCAGAGGGAGAGGGAGGGGAATTTAAGAAACCTGCACCATTGTTTCACCTGCTGCACCAGGAGATTGAACCGGCGACCTCAATCCAGTGTGCTGACCATTACACCGTAGCAAAAAAGCCACGGTGAAAGCCTACGTGTTAATTCCTAAATCTAATGACGATCGCGAGGATTCATCAAATCACTTGGGGGTGGGGAATTTTTACATGCCTCGTGAAAACACACATGTCGTTGTCGCAGGGAGGTGCGCAGAAAACACCGGGTTTCCTGAGCGCTGGGCGGAGGTCGCTTCCTGCTCCGAGATGCACCGCGGACGTTCGGCGATGGAACCGCTGTTGGAGTGCGGCTCGGGTGCAGCACCTCCGCCTCAACCTTCCCCAGCGTCCAAAGAGGCGTCGTACACGAACCACGCTCGACGCGACAAATTCGTGCGCTCCGTCTCCTGCGCCTCCACGTCCTCCTCGCTGTCGTCGTGGTCTTCATTGTCCTCTTCGTCTTCGCCTCCCCCGGCACCGCGCTGCGGCTGCCGTTCCCCCTGCGCCGGCGCCGGCCCGCACGGGCGCCGTTCCGAAGTTTCGGTTCCCGTCCGCGGCGAGAGCCGCGACCAGCGGAACCCGCTTCGGGGGCCCGTCGCGAACGCCCCCAGCCGCCAGCGCAACCGTGAGCCGTGCGTGTGGACTTCCAACGGTCGCGTGACGGCCCAACTTGGCACGAATCCGGGAGAGAGCCGTTGCAACGACGACAACAACAATCACAAAAGCAGCGTGCATTTTCCCTGGGCCAACGCGAGCGCTGCTGGTGAAACGAGCAGGAGCTTGTTGGCAGACTCCAAAACAAAACTGCCTTCAGTCGTTCTCACCAAAGCAATCGGTGCTACAACCCAGTGCCCGCGGGTGCAACGTTCTGGCCCTACAAACAATGCGTCGGTTGATGCCGTGGTGGGTCAGGCGACGGCCGATCCATCGGAACCGGACGATACTTTCGTGTCCAGCTTTAGTTTCATCAGAGAATCGCTGAGGGTACCGCAGCCTGCAACTGGCAGAGGTGACCTGATCGCGGGGAAGGGCGCCATTTTCGGCCCCGTGGCAGGCGAACGGCCACCACGTCGCACGGAGGGGCGATGCACAGGCGGGTCGGAGCCGTCTTGCCGCAGCACGCCGCACCGCAGCCACAGCGTCTCGTCCGCGTCCTCGTGTGACGTCTCCAGCGTTTTGTCCGACGGCGGCGCGTCCGAGAGCGAGCCGGACGGCGCGCCGTGTGGACGGCGAGACACGGACACGGGGCTCGGTTCGGCGGGTTCCTCGGACGCCGGCTCCCTCACCGCGCCGTCGTCTCCATCGTCGTCGTCACCATCGTCGTATGAGCCGGCATCACGCTGGGAACTTCTCTTGGAAACCCACAAGCACGTCCTGCGGCAGTGTGCAGAGACTAATAGCAGTCGCCTACAGGTGTAACAACAGCACCCATTCCTCTGAGCATTCACACTTTTTACAAATATATGTACCTTATAAGTGATTATATCACCCGCAGTGCACCTAATCTAGTAAGATCTGAGACGCTAAGTAGACTTGGATTGTGCTTCGTTGGATGACTACCATACTTACAACAGGTGTTATAGGATCCTACGGGGTTGCGTCGTCAGCAGAGTGCAGTGCAGCAATATCCATTGTTGTACTGTACTTTGCCATGATCCAACGTCCATTACCTTCACCAACCCCCACAACCCGCACAGAATGAGGAGGCCCTCATCCAGATGTAGTTGGACAAGCGGGCCGTCCATGTACATGTGCACACACCCTACACGTGAACACAGAGTCTCCCCATTACAAAAACGTTCGGCGGTGCTCATGTCCAGTGTGGAGTCAGCGGTAGTGTTTGAAATTCCACATTCCTTTGGCGCGAGCAATTATCTCAATATTACAGGCACAGTTGACTTCCCACAAAATGGTACCGTACAAATTTGATGAACCCTGTACGGGTCACAGTTCTGAGTGGATCCCCCAATCAGGATTTAAACTTTCTAATATTATGATTGTGAGCAGTTGCCGCTCTTCCACAGTGGTACCTGGCCAGATATTACAAAAATAAATCCATAGGAAATTCCTCTTATCTGTGTTGATGTGCGAGCTGCTATTGTTCGATTCGCAGCCGAGGCTAGCCTCTCGGCGAACAATAACTAAACCGGCCCTGTGCCCCCCTGCACTGACCAGCACGGTCAATTATGGTCCCAACAACCCCCCATGATTGACACGACATGGGGAGGACTTAACCCAGCAGTGTATGTATGTTGAGTTTTCTTTCGCACCGTACGTAGCCAACTGTGCTAATCGGAGGTGCGTGGAAGGGCATCTTCGCACAAAAAAGCTGTTCTGAAGAAATTAGTTTTCAGTCTAGACTTAAATTGTATATCTCAAGTGACTTCCTAATATTGGAAGGAAGAGCGTTACAGACGTCCGCAGAAGCGCACCTCACATCAGTAGATTGTCAATGGGTAGTGCATTTCAGTTAAACTCTTTTACGGATATTTAGTTTTATGGTACAAATTGCTTATCATTAAAGAACTCACTTTAGGTTAGAGCGGGGGAGCTTCATCATTTTTTGCAGCCGCATGCGAACGAACGCTGCGATAAACCACCGTGCAGATGCTGTCCCACGACCGTTCGACGCAATAGACACCAGAGGGGCAGGTGGGCAATTAGGGGGCATTGGCAGACTCGCCCCAACGCAGGCCCAAAAGCTTCACGAGTTGTGTGATTGTAGCGTGCATCGCTTACAAAAAGGAAATCCTATTCCATGACAGAAGGACGGTTAGTGCAACCGCAATCGATTGCGTTACTTAAGCGGCGCTACTTATAGCGCACGAGGCCTGCACAGTTGAAGCCGCTCGTCCAAAATCCGTCGATGGTGATAAATAATGCAGCGTGTTGTCTTTGGGTACCCGATGGCCTATGATGAGTGCGATGGGGGATGTAAGAGTTTAGACAAAGGGGTTGATGTGTTTTGAGATGGCAGTCATTTTAAATTGGCGATTTCAAACGTGTAACGTGCAATCATGCGTGCTAGATTACGACTGTTTATCATTTTTTTTATTAGATGCTTCCTCGGGGCTGAATGAAATTAACCTGGTTTGTACTGGGAGCACTAGATCATACTGGATTCTTAAGATATCACGTTGTTTTGAAATCAATAAACATGTGCAACAACGCATATCCAGTCATCACATATCTGCTCTGACCTATTAACTGCCCCCACCCAGTGCAGTGTTAGTGCATGGTGTAACTGACATTTAAAAAAATAGATATTCCCATATCTGTCCTATTGACATATTTGCCTATACCTCAGTTCCCAGAAAGTCGCTTATGCGACATAAAAGTCTGGCTGTAACATCAAACGCACAAAAAGGAACAGCGATTTCCGATTTAATCATACAAACTGTCGGGGCAAGTGCATTTCTAACTTTACTGTCACGGAATATGAGCGGTACTTAATGCAATGTTGCGGCCTGCGTTACAGTTTCCTTAGCCTCCTGAGTGTTGATGTAGACACACAGCTAAAGGTGCAAAATTGTTTAGCCTGAGCTGACCTGGGGAAGGCCAAGGCTAGGTAGAGAAGTAATTACCACTGGTGTTGTGTATGGCAAAGAATAAAATGCAGTTTGTAACGCACATGGCAGAGCGCACTTACCTAAACTCAAACACTTATTTAACCTTACACATGCACTTAGTATCATGTATAACACTATACACCAAGATTAGAGAACATTTTCCTTACTGAGGTCCGAATAGGACTTTCAAATACCTTTGGCGGGCCACACATTAACACAGACCTCGATCCCTTGCAGTGACGGAAGTAACCGAGCGTGCTAATTAGAAACTCAGTGTTAACCCGTTGAGAATATTCCCCTCTAGTGCTCGAGCAGTATGGCTAAGATGCATTTGCGGATTCCCCACCCTTGGCTGTGGACAATGTGCTTTGGCTTTCCGATGTGTTATGTACCGTATATTGTTTGGCATTATGTCCTAATGATTCGCTCCATGCGCTTCTTCAGGAACAGAAATGAGCGGCTCACTTTCTCTACTCAGATATATAGCGCTGATAGCTGGTGCGGGTGTTGCTTGTTCTTGACGCTATATAATTATAAAGATATATAGCACAAACGTGAACAACTTGCACGGTTGTACAATGCTCTCTGCCGATGCCAAAATACATCAAATGCAATTTGGCGGATAAGACGTTGCTTTTTCTGCGCCTACGCTTCATTTCATCCGAGCTGCTGTGAGGCAGGCCCGTTGTCCGTGGTGGCCATGCAATGTTGTCGGCATTGTACGTATTCGTTCACGTCTTAATCAAGAGACGTTTGTTTCTTTCGTCCCAGCTGATCATGCGCGTGCGTGAACTCAAACGACAGCAGATGGTGGCTGCTGGACAGGACGACTTTGAAGCAGGTAACCCGTGATGCTCACCACTTCCCACATTTCCAGTTCATGTTTTTCCTTATTTCCTAGCTAAGGTTGAATGCATTTATGCATTAGCTCAGTCCTGAAGTCCTGAATTAGAGAGCGGGTCACAATAAAACTCTCGTAAAGATTGTCCAATATGAACCAAACTGTAGTATAAGTTGCGTTGCTATGTTCGGACTTACCCAGTGTAAAGGTGGCCAAATACTTTGAGATTTGCTGGAATCTTGGAGACACAAGCCAGAGCAGAACAATTACAGCTGCCCATTGACTTCCACTCTGAAAACAGTTACATATCCCATGCGTATGCGTGATTCTTCCTAACTTGTATTGATTTGAGACCCGGGTCTCAAGCGAGGCCTGGATCACAAAAGCAACACTGTGGATCTGATAAGAAATGAAATGAATATAACATATTTGAAATATTAAGCATTATAGAAACATCTATGGAATTATTTTAAAAAAATACAATAAGCAATAATAAAAAAAAACTGAAGCAGTAATTTTGATTCAAAGCTTTCGTAACTGCAGGGATTCATATTCTTTGTTCTTTCGGTAAAGTCACGTAGAAGGGAAACAATAAAATAATACAAAAATAATGAAAATTTTGTTTTATATTTTTGTTATTTTATTGTTTCCCTTTTACGTGACTTTATCGAAAGAACCAAGAATATGAAGCAGTAATGTTTAAATAAGAACTACAGTTTCAGTGAATACATTTAAAAATAATGGTAAATTTATGGGGTAATAATTTATGGAGCGTTTGTGCCACACAGCAGAGCAGGTGAGCAAGCGGCTGGAGGAGACCCAAGCTCAATTGGCCCTGCTGAGTTTCCAAATCCCGTCTGGGAATGTGGAATTGGCGGCAGCACTGCGTTCCGTCGTATTCAGCGCGTCCTGCGTATCTGCCGGCAAGTGAGTGGCTTCGTCGCGGGGCCTGTACGTCTAGGGTATGGCTCGAAGTCCCAAATCCAAGTTCTAAGTGCTTATTCCAGTCCAGAATTCAACATCAGTCACCCTTATTCATTGTAAAAATGAGGGCTCCAATTATATTTGTTTTTAAAAGGCGCTAACGGCGGCGAGATGCAGGTCATGGGTTCCATCCCGACCCTCACGCCTGTATATGAAGAGTTTGCATGTCCTCCCCATGGCCGCGGAGATTTTTCTTGGGCTACTCCGGTTTTTCCCTCTACATATAGAAACGTTGTTTTAGAGTATTTAGCTGCTATAAATGTCCACATGATACTCCACTTCATTGAGTTATCATTTGTCGCCAGGTCGCTTCTGAAATAAGAGCTATATAGCTCAGTGGGCCTTTCCTGGTATCATAAAAATAGTTTAGTTTTATATGGGTTTTCCAAAGCTCCAATTAAATGATTTCCAGAACATGTAGTACTGTATTGCCGAAATAATTATCGTCAAAAAAGCATAATTAGACAAATATAGCATGTTTGTTTCATAGCACAAACATTTTAATTCCCATTCATTACTCATCTCCTGACAGTCTCAAGACTAATTTTCCCAACAGTCCCGGTTGGCATGCTTGACTAATTCCTTTATAATTTTTGGGAATTTTATTTGTGATGTGTGCTCATTTTGTGAAATTCCCAACAGGAGTCAAGATGAACTTTGGAGGGACCCATGTTTTAAGATTCAGCAGAAAAAGAAAGCGTTACAGGTACCCTATGTCCAGTGGACCGGATATGGTCACGGAACTGAATTTCAGATGGCCCATTGGCCACAAGAGGCCTATCCTATGGAAACTATTTTCATCTGTCACTGCATCTCAGCCACGCTAATTGGGCACAAGAAGGGATACATTTGACATGGCAACACTTTAACTGTTCTGACAGCAACAGACTTAGTGCTGCTTGGAAGCAAATCATAAAATAATACATTGTTAAAATGCATGCCTCTACAGCTCACCAGACTTGCATGGGAATTACCTTTGAACAGACAATAACAGGTACTGCCTATTTTAGTGCACACAGTCGGCAGAAGGTACAAGAACAATGGACTTACATAATGCACATACATAATATACATTGATTAGCATATAAATAACCCAACCGGCAATGTATACTCATTGTCATTTAAAAGCAATTATTAATCCCCGCCCGATTCGCTCAAGAAGGGCTCACAAAGTAATTTCATCACATCTACCCCTCTATTTAAGGAACGAAACAGGAGGATTTCTACACAAATCTTGCTGTCGCCTGATGAAGCTAGTTGTAATTACTGACTAAACGTCGTACTCAGATTGTAAATGTTGTGGCTTTGTTCTCCAACACGCTGGTGAGCTGTACGAGTAACAAATTGGCATGTTCTGTTTACGTGGCGGGTTTAACGACACATTTATATTTTACGCAATCTAATCCAAAAAAACCTTTATTATGGATGGCAACATTGTTTTTAATGGCAGTGCATTCAGTCACTTCTGTCACAGCAAGGACCTTTTCATACTCAATACTCGGTTTATCTGCGCATTATTTTATTAGATAACGCTAAAATGCGTGTACTGTACAAAGTTGTCCGAAAGCCATAATTGTCTGTTGTTTTTTTTGTTAATTTATCTTTCTGCCATGAGTTCAAATTACGATTACGAAGGTATATCATTGCGTCGGCGCTATCCACGTGCTAACGGCGATGTTTTGCCGCATCCAGGAGCGAATCTCGGAGCTTCGACGAAGCCTGTCCGAGCTGGAGGAGGAGGAGCGCCGAGTCGGCGTGGCTCTCGACGAGAGAGACCGCAACGGTGTCGCCGTCGCCGACGATCGCTGTGGTCGAGGAAGCCCTCTCACGCCAGACCTGCTCGGCACGCTCGAGGACTCGCTGAGGTGGTTGCTCGCCAGCTTAGCCACCCCGGGAGAAGTCGAGCGGTGAGTCTTTTTTTCTTTTTTAACGAGTTCATGAAGGCCCGTACAGGTTTCTCTCTCGGGTTGACCTTTTCAAACACGCCACGTCTATGTGTGTTGTTTCATTGCAGTCTTCGAGAGCAAGAGAAAACCCTTGCGTTGTCCGTTAAAGAATTATCCACAAAGGTACACTTAAAGGCAAAAAATTTGTACGCGTGCTTATATCTTGGCTGTCTCACTTTTTATTTTACTTTAATTGAGCCCTGTTTTCCTTGTTGAAGAGATTAATGGGCAGTGACCTCATCCTAACAAAAATAATTGACTGCAATTTTTTTCAATAAAATGTACAGTAAACTTGTAAAAGAAAAGGATTGATTTGTATATTTTGATTATGGCTGGATGGCACTTAAGAAGAATTGTGGTTTAGTGATAGCTAGAGCCACAGCTCGTCTAACATAACTAGCTCTTCCATTGTATTTGTCTTTTGAGGTTGCCGCATGTCAGCTGGAAGTCGCCGCTCTCGGACAGAAAATCAGCGATGCTGAGACGCAGCTTCGAGTACTCACGGAAAACAAAGCATCAGCCGTCGCTGGTACCTCCCTTGTGCACTACGTGTAAAACCGAGATTATTATTCTAAGTAGAGAAGCGTAAACAAACATAATGATCATAATAAACTTACAGACTATTTCGCTTTCACGTCCTCTGCATTTTGTTACTTGGTGTCACGACAGAGCGGGACTTTGCATTGGCCAGGCGGCTGGTGGAGGAGGGGCGGAGGTTGGCAGAGGAAGGGGACATGGCGAGGTGGCGGCTCCAGGCTCTGCAGGGCCCGCGCGGCACCACTGGGACCCGGGCCACAGGAGGAGCCTCGCACAACGAGCTTGAGCGGTTTCGGCAGCAGCATCGCGAGGCACGGGCCGGCCTGGAGACTCTCACGGCGCAGCACGGTACAGCGCAGTGCAGGCCATCGCCAGCATCATCATCATCATCATAAACAGCCATGAACTGCTAGATAAAGACCGCCCTCCTATCTGTTGCCATCTCCCACGTTCTTGCAATACATCGATCCATATAACAACTGTACGTAAGCTGATGTTTTCAGATTATTGCGTGAATCACCAGCAACGGTGATGCCTGCACGCGTAAACACAAACACAAAATAGTGAATACTCTCATGTGCAATATATAAACCCCTGTTGAGTAATTTATAGGTGTGCTAAAGTTTGTTCTGAATAATCTTTGGATACATGTTGACTGCCTGTGTTTCACTACTTGATAATCATCTTCAGTCATTGTAAACCTACATTCTGATTGAAGGCCTCTCCAAACCGTTACCATCTCTCGCATTCCTACGATGAAGCAACATACCTGGCGCCAGCGCACGAGCGAGATTGCATCGCTGTATCTTCTTGGTGGACGTCCTATCGGTCATGTCACCTCCTTTGGTGGCTGCCCCTCTGTTGTTAGTCTTGACCACCAGCCATCATCCTTTCTTCTGGCACGTCCTGCCCTAGGCCACTCTTCTTAATGACCTCGCAGGTTTTTATTTTGTGACACACATCGGGTATGGGTCTTTTTTGACTCACACCAGTTGGTGTGATGCCACAAAGATGACATCAGTGTATAAAGTGATGTTATGATCACATCGATGGTGACGGCATCACTATGACATCATGCTGATGTCAGTGACGTCACCGTTGGTGATGTAGTCAAGCAAATGTTTTACGGCGGGTGTAAGAGAAAACATTAAAAGCTCCCCGATGACAATTCCAATATCAGCGCAATTGCAAATCAAGGTTGTGTGTCGTTACATATTATTTATCACTCTTTTTGGAATGTATTTTTACTGAATGTCTATAATTGAAACGTTGGCAATCTTTTGAATGCACATGTATGTATGTTTAACTTCTTTCGCACCGTACGTATCCAACCATGCTAATAGACATGATCAAAGCCTATTTGAAGTTTGTTTTTGTCATCATTTGTTAATATTTTTACTTTTGTTTTTCTACAGAACAAAAGCTAAGGGACCAGGCTATGGCACATTCTAAAGTGCTGCAGGACTTCATGAATAGGTAGGTGATGCTAATCACAGACATAATTGTCTGGCCTTTGTTGTTTGACTATACTTCACCATGCTGGTCAGTGCCGGTCATTGAAGGAGGGCCCCCGGGATCAGTTCAGATATCACTAAGCACTGATGTTGGCCATGGCAAGGAATCAAACCCATGTGAATGGGTTCATAGTGAAGTATTCTAACCACTACGCCACTGCTCTACCCAATATATATACTGGACTGCATCACATCAATTTATATGTCGTAGTTTATTTTCACTGCATATAAAATTGCAGTTCAGGAACACACATACACGTATAGACGACAGTTTGATTTTAAATTGTATCAAAATAGAAAGCCATCTCTGAACTCTGTCATAAATTATGTTAATACATACGTGGCAATTCACTGCCAGATGAGGGCTTCTGCGCACCGTATATATCAATGGGGTATTTGGACCATACTTCACCATGTTGGTGAAGTATGGCTTCACCATGTTGGTGAAGTATGGCCTGGTGAAGGCATGGATCATAGACGTGGGAGCATAGCAGTACAGCACATCAATGGGGTTTGCTTTACAGACCTATCAATCACATCCACCCGATTGGAGAATATGCTATTGCCACCCCTCCTAAGACCCAAAAATCTGCCACCATCACTCATTACTGCCGGTGCCCTCAGCCCTGGCAGCGCCGGATTTTCATAGCCTGGTGTCTGGGTTCCTCCGGACCTTGCCCCCCCGGTTCAGTTGCACTGCCTGCACCACGGTAGCGAGATGTTAACTACCTCGCCTGGAATACAGGAGATTGTGGGTTCCATCCCGACCCTGACACCTGTATATTTGGAGTTTGCATGTTCTCCCCGTGACCATGTGGATTTTTCTCTGGGTCCTCCGGTTTTTACCTCCATATTTATAATCAACATGGGTTTACAGTATTTGGCTGTTGTACATTTTTACATGGTAAGCCACTTCGTTCAGTTATAATTTGTGGCCAGGTTGCTTCTGAAAAAGAGGGATATATAACTCTGTGGGCCTTACCTGGTAAAATAAAAAGCGTAGTTACTCAATACCTTCGCCACTGCCCCTGACCCTAACCCATGACTCTCGCACCAGGTGCAAGAACCCATTTGTGACACGAGTCTGGGAGGCTGATCTCCAGGCCTGCAGCGTCATCCTGCAGAGTCTGGCAATCGATCGCCATGGGGAAGATGATCTGGGCCAGGGTGGCGTGACTGCCGAAGGCGCCGATGGAACAAAAGTGACAGTGGAAGCAACAGAAGTCCCGGCTGAAAAAATCTCCCAGCCTGAGTCTGTGTGGCTCGACCGTGAGACGGCAAAGGAAACTTTGTGCTTTACAGAAAATGGCCTCCCAGTGGTGAGTAGGGTTGTTTCTTTTTCACTTAGGTGCTGACATCAATAGGTGCTTGTGAACAGCAATCATCCCTTTTCACCCTGCAGTTTATCAGACTAAACTATGGATCTTTATATTTGTCATGCTTTCCAACCCTAGTTTGAAAACGCTATTGTGTTAGCTCTGTCCGTCTCTATGTCTAGAATGGTGGGGGCATGCTAACTCTCGTGAATGTGATCCAATGTGAATTAAACTTTAGTGTCAATGTTGTGTAGCTATCATAAACTTACTCCCAAGAAAAATGGCCAAATTGATCAAAGATGTGCCAAAAAACTTGGATGCAAAACCGGTGCGAAAAGGATTTGCATGCCACCTCATTCCCTGCTAATCACACCATTATATGTGACTTCATCTCGAGATGGCGCATGTCATGTGCATGCCTCGCTTCCTAATTCCTCCATTACGTGTAACCTCATCTCGCGACGCCACACATCACACGCCGTGTTTTGGCATCTCATTGCATGGCTTGAAACATAACGTTATTATCGCTAATTATGCATCACTTTTATTGCCAACATTTTTCCTGAGAAAATGTCAAATATAGTATTTTATCTGAAAAGCATGGATTCGGTCATCTTGTCATGCAACGTATGACAGCGAGTACTCTAGTTACGTACTGTGTTGCTTTTTTTCAGAATCCATGTGAGGTTGTCAGCGATCATCCCAATGCCCTGCCAAGGCAGCTAAGCGATGATGTCATTCAGGAGCAGTGCGAGTCCATCAGCAATCGGCTTTTATGCCTGGAGGAGCAACTGCAGCATGCATTGGACACAAGGGATCAGAGGCTGGCTCATATCCTACTTGCGTGGCTGCTTCAATACAGATACTACAGAAATGGAACGTGCCGTCACTTTTATGGTGTCTTTTCCGTGCTTTTCCCACAGAAAATTGTCGTTACATGATGTAATTTTAAGGATATGACGTAACTTTATAATGACCTGCTCATACTGAACATCTGTGAAAAAGAGCTTCATAGCTCATTGGATTTCTCCACCCTAAATAAAGATTTTGATTATCATTATTAAAATATTAAAATGGTTCCATTAAAACTTTTACTGATGAATCTTTGTTCACAATTAAAAATCAATACTTCATATATAATTACTAACATGATTACATTTATGAAAATGTAATACGTACATATGAATCCCAAAAATGTGAATTAAAATCCGAATTTGTGCCTAAAAATCCTGAAATATGGTATCTAAAGATATATCATTAAAAACTAATCGCTAGTCTCTTGGTCACCTGTATCCTATCGATTGCTACTGCAGTTCTTCTTGACAGTGCCCTCACAACGCTTGCAGGAGGAGATAACAGAGGTGAAGGGGACCCTCCAGAGCATGCTGAGTCTACTGGAGGAGGAGGAACCAGAGGATGAAGCGGAGCAGGAAGAGTGGACAGATTGGGAGTGAGCAGGACAGAGTGTATAATTCATCCTGGGAACGGCAACATACAAATACAACTGATCAGGAATGCTAAACCTATGCCAAATGTATTCTGGATGGACACAGTCATGCACCAGAGCGATTTTGGAACCATATTCAGTAGTATACAAACAACATACTATTTGGTTCTTTCGGTAAAGTCACGAAATAACCAAAGAGTATGGATTCCTGCAGTCACGAAAGCTTCATATCAAGATATAAACAATTTATGATACTTCGTCAGCTGTGGTGTAGCCGCACACTAAACAAAAACTCAACACAATCGTCATTAATACTGCTCCAAAGGTGAAAAAATACATGACAGGATAACATGTTACGTCAATAGCCCTTCTTCATACCAATGAAGCTATGCTATATAGTTATTTTATTGAGAATACGAGCTGAGTGTGTTAAGATCACTGTGGACACGTTCAGGAATGTTTAAGCATCCTCTGTGAAACTGATCGAGATGTGTGTCCAATCTCATTGTGCACGCAGTTTAACTGTCTCCTATAATTTACAGTACATACAAATGGTTCCTGACTTTTGACGAAACTCCAGAACTCCTGACCAGAACACCCGACGCAAAACGTAACACATTTCCACGTTTACCAGTTTTCTCTCTGTGGTAGCACACCGCTCGGCCGCCTTTGTCTTCCAGTGCCAATGTTAACACACAATCTACAAGCCCACGTTAACTGTATAGTCCATGGCCAATCATCTGCACACACAGATAAAAACACCTCGGCAACATATTCACAGAGAACCGGCAAACGCGGAAAGGCGGACATTCGTGGGTTTCAAAAACTGGAGCTTGGTATACCATGCTGTAATCTCAATAATATCACCTGAAGTGTCCTTGTGTTTTTTAATACTTTTCTCAAAAAGGGCACTTGCCTGTTTGTGCGGGCTATGGGGCCCATTGCTACATAGTGTAGCGATATGCTGGTTATTGTACGGTTTAAATACCATATTCGACGTGGCATATATCATGGGTTGTTACATTTTTTATAACACGGTCAGACTGTCCACCGTTGTCTCATGAAATGACGGTCCCCCGTCACACACATTTTTTTTTATTTCTATGACTGGAGTGGAGATGAGCACTGCCCAATGCTGCTTTGAGCATGGGGGACACTCTTGAATTATGTGATGATTTCACTTTCCAGTTCTTTTTGCAATGATTAGTAACACTCGTGGGCAATGTAAATTCGTGCACATCAGAATAATGTTTTTATTTACTGCCCTTTGTCAATCCGCACCTCCGAATAGCACGATTGGCTATGCACAGTGGGAAAGAAGTTCAACGTACATAACAATCCTGTGCTGGACGAAGGCCTCCCCACACTGTTGGTTCCTTAGGTGTTTTCCCATACTTCACCAAGCTGATCGGTGCGGATTGGTATAAGGATGACCGTTTCAGATATCACCGCTGACGTTAGTTGTGGCTGGAGCTCTGCACTCGGACTGCTGTACCACACCACCTCCGAGATACATATCCTGAATGTTTTTTTTTTATCAGTGCAGTGGATATTAGACTTCAGCCGTCATTGTTCCATTGTAATTGCGGTTAACGCAAACGGTATTAACGTTGGACCAATTGCTTTATCACAAAGGATAAGGCCGTGTAATGATTGATTAGTTGGCTGCATTCCAGTCGGGGATACTTGAGAAGCCTTGCCCACTGTGCAATTACAGTATTAAGATTATAATTTGTGGGTAAAAATTGTATTTATATAGCAAACCAAATGCAACCGCATCTCGAGACACTGTAGAAAAGTGTGGAACCTGGGATTACTGGGTAAAGGAAGCTTATTTTGTTAAGAAAACGGAGACCGTTAGTCATAGGCAGAGGAGAAGTGAAAGGTCTTGAGCCTGGTCATGAATGGGGACAGGAAGTGAACAGCACGGATAGCTGGGGGAAGGGAGTTTCAGAGATTGGGGGCAGCTAAGGAGAAAGATAGGGCTCCCACTACATTTGCATATACTTTGCAGGATTGGTATGTACTGCAAAATGGACTAGAATAGCCCTTTCATCTGCAATGAAACAAACTTTATAGCTGCTTGAGATTAATGCATATGAATAGGTATTTTGTATTACATTTTATATGTGCATAAAAGGCACGTGAACGTTTGTCGTTTTTATTAGATTGGTAGGATACTATTTGAGAATAAATGATAGTAATAGCAATTGAATGTGAAAACGTTCAGGTAATTTTGCAATATTTCCATGTAAAGCAATACTAACTCTGTTGCAGATATTCGTTCGGATAAATTGCAGTTATTTTCGAGCATATTTTTTCTGTATATAAAGCCAAATTCACTTTATTTAATAAGTTTACACTCTGTAACTCGCTGCGATAAAGGTTTGGCCGAGCCAACGTCTCCATTCTAGAGGCCAATGCTACAAGCGCATACAACTTTTTGGTATTTTTCCGAATGTTATTCCACTTGTGCTACTGGCGTTGTGATGCAAGACAAAGTGTCCATTCTGAACTGTCACAGCAGCGCATCAATAACCATGTCAGAGAACAGCCCACGCACGGAAGGTGATAGACATCACAGACCTACTTCTGAAATCCCTTCATGTGACCTTATCGTTCACATATTATAGTCAGCACACTTGTCAATAAATTATTTCGCAATTTGCAAAGCCACAATTGAGCCACATTGAGAAAAAACATTTAATGTGAATGCTTTTATTTATTGTGCCGTCAATGGTAACGGGGCTGAGACTATCGGTTCACGACACTTGAGAAACACGGTTTAATCACGGGTGGCGACCTCTGATTAAAACCGAGGATTTTCCTGGGGCTGGCTCAGTGCTTAACCCCCCCCCCCCCCCCCGAGTCACCTAACGCGTGCGTAAACCTATTGAGTTAAATTGTGGTGTGCTCATTGCGGTACAAAAGAAAACGCATGGCATTGAGAAGTCGCGTATGTTATTGGTAGCATGTATTCCCTGAATAATTACAATATTGTATTCATCCCTGAACGACGTAATAGCAACACTCGATAAATTAACAGTGCAGACCTTATTTTTGCAAACATTTAATTAGTATTACTTGTGACAATCTGCCTCAAGCGTAACGAGCTATAACATTAAGCACTGTTTTAACGATAATTTTATTCCGAAAAACATTTTTACTAACTGTACTTTACTGTGTTTGTTGCATTACTGTACTTGTACTTTTTTTACAACTCAAAAATGAAACCACTCAATGTTTTGTAATACTTATGTGCATTGTGACAATATATTAAATGCGTAGGTCTCTAAATAATGTACTCTTATAATCACTGTCCTGTATTCACCATGCATGGTGGTGGTTCGTGCCTGTAATGATCCAGGTTGAGGAGTTGGGAAAGGTTTTGGAGGAAAAAACTTTAATAACTTTAACTGAATAGTAATGACAATTTTTGGCGATTATTTTCCCCGGAAAGCCTGCCTCGCTGAGTCTCGGGACTTATTCAGAAGGGCCCTGGTCATTGGTATGTTTGGCCATTTACATTGTTGAGTGTTTGTCTCCGTGTTGAGAACTTACATAAAATCCACACATACTCTGACACTGGTGAACTCGGCCATGAAGAAGGCTATATCTGGTGTCGGCCAATCAGTTTCAAAGACAATGCATATATCATAATTATCAGAGTTCCCTTGAATGTTCACCACAAGTACTGTGTGTGGTTAATGCAGACTTGATTCCTTGAAAAATTTATCTATTTGGTGTTTGAACATCTTAGCACTTGTTTTATTGCCAGAAAGGGAAAAACCTATTCTTATTTTTCACATCCACACACTCATACCGTACGGTACAATGGGCTGACGCTTCGCATTGCCATCTCCTGGCCATCTGGCGGTACTAACATTTGTCTTCCCGCTGAGTTTCACTTTATAATAAGTAATATCTTCTTTGGTTCTTTCGGTAAAGTCACGTAGAATGAGAATAAAATAATAAATTGATAAAATAAAATAACACAATAATATTCTCACGACGTTTCGGCCACAACACAAGCGGCCTTCATCAGGTGAAGGGGCGAGACTGTCTGGTAGGACAGCGCTCGAATGAGAGAGCCACGTTCAGATCACGGCTTTTAAGCTGTGTGAGAGGAACAAAGAGCCTTGACAAAGGAATTAGCATATAATTTAGCATTGAAATGGCGGAATGATTAGCTTGTGACTGGTCACAGAAATAGCTATGTTAAAAGTTAAAGCATACACATCCGCAGAGGCACCCATTGTTAAAAGGAATTAGCATAGAATTTAGCATTGAAATAGCTAAGTTAAGGCATACACATCCGCAGAGGCACCCCTTGACAATGGAATTAGCATAGAATTTAGCATTGAAATAGCTGAGTGATTCGCTTGTAACTGCTACAGAAATAGCTACGTTGAAGTCAGAGCATACACATTCACCGAGGCACTTAGTACAAATCAAACAGGAGAATTTAGCATTGAAATAACTAGGCGAATTTAGCATTGAAATAACTGAGTGATTTGCTAGTGACTGGTCACAGAAATGACTACACATCTGAGCTATTCACAGTACTATATAGTGAACCAATAAAAACTAAAATATAAATTACCTTCATGTTATCAATAAACTCTATATTCTCCAATCAGCTAAGCTACCAACAATAAGTCGTTATATATCACAATGCTATATGGCGAAAAAATGGGTGGATTCTTACCCTCAAATTTCAGCACCACGGATAGCTACGGGCCCCGTTCAGACGGACGAGTTCGTCCATGGTCGGAACAGAGGAGGGGGAGAGAGACAGCTGCGAGGCCCTAGTATATTCCATGTTGTAAAACTATACCATTAACCGTGGTGTGAGAGCTATTAAGAGGCAATGCTGGCGAAAGAGCTGCGGTCTGAAGGTCATCGTAAAAATACAATTAATTAAGAACAGAAATGATTTAACACATCTTTCCAGTGGTTACTAAGCCTGAATCCATCTTCTCGGTTGAAATTGTCTCTGTGCTTGTATATGTGAATGGCCTCATGAACGAATCTCTCATGGTAGCCGGTTGGTTTGCAAAGAACCTCCGTCTTGGAGAAGTCAATGTCATGTGAGCCCACTGAATTGTAACAGTGATCTGCCACGGCAGAGGAGTTCGTCCTACCGTGTTTCAAGTCTGCTTTATGTTCGCGGATGCGGTTCGAGATATGTCTTTTGGTTTCTCCAATGTAGCTACTACCACAGAGGCACTTTAGTTTGTAAACGCCCGGGTACTGTATGTCTGGAAGAGCATCTTTTACAGATGGAACTAAATCACGGATTTTATGTACTGTGTTGAATCGGACCTGGATCTTGTGTTTATTCTGGGTGTATGGAATTGATGTGGTCAATTCCATACACCCAGCCATCAGATTTACCATGGAGGTCGAAAAAGATGGCAAACTACCCTTTTTGGATGTCTTAATTAAAAGGAGACATGATGGTTCAATGAGCCACTCTGTCTACAGGAAAGCTACCCATACAGATGCTTACTTGAAACCGGATTCCCACCACCATCCATCCCAGAAGAACTCCCTCATCAAGACTCTATACCATAGAGCCCAATGCATTTCCGACCAGGAGCACATTACCAGTGAACTCAAGCACGTACACCAGGCTCTCAGGGCTAATGGCTACTCCGACTACACAATCCGCAAAGCCATCACTCCAGTCATGAAGAAGGATCCTCTTGTGGAGCCACTCAAAACCATCACCTTACCCTACATTGCAGGGGTCACTAAAAAGATCTCCAAAATCCTGAATAAACACAAGATCCAGGTCCGATTCAACACAGTACATAAAATCCGTGATTTAGTTCCATCTGTAAAAGATGCTCTTCCAGACATACAGTACCCGGGCGTTTACAAACTAAAGTGCCTCTGTGGTAGTAGCTACATTGGAGAAACCAAAAGACATATCTCGGACCGCATCCGCGAACATAAAGCAGACTTGAAACACGGTAGGACGAACTCCTCTGCCGTGGCAGATCACTGTTACAATTCAGTGGGCTCACATGACATTGACTTCTCCAAGACGGAGGTTCTTTGCAAACCAACCGGCTACCATGAGAGATTCGTTCATGAGGCCATTCACATATACAAGCACAGAGACAATTTCAACCGAGAAGATGGATTCAGGCTTAGTAACCACTGGAAAGATGTGTTAAATCATTTCTGTTCTTAATTAATTGTATTTTTACGATGACCTTCAGACCGCAGCTCTTTCGCCAGCATTGCCTCTTAATAGCTCTCACACCACGGTTAATGGTATAGTTTTACAACATGGAATATACTAGGGCCTCGCAGCTGTCTCTCTCCCCCTCCTCTGTTCCGACCATGGACGAACTCGTCCGTCTGAACGGGGCCCGTAGCTATCCGTGGTGCTGAAATTTGAGGGTAAGAATCCACCCATTTTTTCGCCATATAGCATTGTGATATATAACGACTTATTGTTGGTAGCTTAGCTGATTGGAGAATATAGAGTTTATTGATAACATGAAGGTAATTTATATTTTAGTTTTTATTGGTTCACTATATAGTACTGTGAATAGCTCAGATGTGTAGTCATTTCTGTGACCAGTCACTAGCAAATCACTCAGTTATTTCAATGCTAAATTCGCCTAGTTATTTCAATGCTAAATTCTCCTGTTTGATTTGTACTAAGTGCCTCGGTGAATGTGTATGCTCTGACTTCAACGTAGCTATTTCTGTAGCAGTTACAAGCGAATCACTCAGCTATTTCAATGCTAAATTCTATGCTAATTCCATTGTCAAGGGGTGCCTCTGCGGATGTGTATGCCTTAACTTAGCTATTTCAATGCTAAATTCTATGCTAATTCCTTTTAACAATGGGTGCCTCTGCGGATGTGTATGCTTTAACTTTTAACATAGCTATTTCTGTGACCAGTCACAAGCTAATCATTCAGCCATTTCAATGCTAAATTATATGCTAATTCCTTTGTCAAGGCTCTTTGTTCCTCTCACACAGCTTAAAAGCCGTGATCTGAACGTGCCTCTCTCACTCCAGCGCTGTCCTACCAGACAGTCTCGCCCCTTCACCTGATGAAGGCCGCTTGTGTTGTGGCCGAAACGTCGTGAGAATATTATTGTGTTATTTTATTTTATCAATTTATTATTTTATTCTCATTCTACGTGACTTTACCGAAAGAACCAAAGAAGATGAATCATTGCAGTCACGAAAGCTTTAAATCGAAATAAGTAATATTTTAGATTTAAAGCTTTCGTGACTGCAAGGATCCATACTCTTTGGTTCTATTGGGTAAAGTCACGTAGGTAAAAAATTAAATAACAAAAATCACGACGTTTCGGCCACAACACAAGCGGCCTTCATCAGGTGAAGGGACGAGACTGTCTGGAGGACAGCGCTGGAGTGAAAAAAGCCACGCTCAGATCACGACCTTTAAGCTGTGTGAGAGGAACAAAGCGCCTTGACAAAGGAATTAGCATATAATTTAGCATTGAAATGGCTGAGTGATTAGCTTGTGACTGGTCACAGAAATGGCTATGTTAAAGTTAAAGCATACACATCTGCAAAGGCACCCCTTGACAAAGGAATTAGCATAGAATTTAGCATTGAAATAGCCAAGTTAAAGTATACACATCCGCAGAGGCACCCCTTGACAAAGGAATTAGCATAGAATTTAGCATTGAAATAGCTGAGTGATTAGCTTGTAACTGGTCACAGAAATAGCTACGTTAAAGTCAGAGCATATACATTCACCGAGGCACCTAGTACAAATCAAACAGGAGAATTTAGCGAAACACAACCACGCTCAGACCGCGGACCTTAAAGCTGTGTGCAAGCAAACAAGGTGTCCTGACAAAGAAATTAGCATAAAAATTAGCATTTGATTGGCCGATTTTAGAAAAGAGGTGGTGTACGTGCAGGTGGACTTGCCGTTTGGCGCGGGGGGGGGGGGGGGGGAGTTTACCTATTGATGGTGTGAAAAGGGAATTTATAAGAGCTGCGAAAGTTTGGGGTACCACTACTTGAAAAATATACCGTATCATTGAAATTAGTTTAATGTTTAGTTCGATTTAGAACATCTTTCCAATGGTTGCTTAATTTGAAACCATCTTCTCGGTTGAAATTGTGTTTGTGTTTGTAGATCTGAATTGCCTCGTGAACAAATCTCTGATAAAATTAATATTTTTAAAAACTTTTTTTAAACACGCTTTTATGAAATGCCATAACGTAAGGGACCGTGGTGACTTACAGCCAAAGTCAGTTTACCGTGGACATTCTAGATTTGAAGCTTTCGTGACTGCAAGGATTCATACTCTTTGTTTTTTTTCGGTAAAGTCACGTAGGTAAAATAAAATAAATCAAAACAACTAAATTAAATCACGACGTTTCGGAGGCATCACAAGCTTCCGTTTTCAGGTGGAACAGCCACAGAAAAATAGCTGTATCAAGTGAAGAGCTCTGAGACACCCGAGATTATATACAGGCTAAGGGGGGGGGAGGGCTAAGTTAAGCCGCCTTTTGTTATGCAGCAGGGGGTTTCGGGGGAAGCGGTGGTGCACTGCACGAGAGCGAGTACAACCCACTGGTAGAAATGGAAACGGCTGTACAATTATAAGGCAGCTAAAGTTTGACTTGGTTGATGACATCTTTCCAATGGTTGCTCAATTTAAAACCATCCTCTCGGTTGAAGTTGTGTCTATGTTTGTATATCTGGATGGCTTCATGGACAAATCTTTGGTAATAACCGGGAGGTTTGCATAGTACTTTGGTATCGGAGAAAACAATGTCATGAGAACCCGCTGTGCTGAGACAATGATCAGCCACGGCCGAAGAATTTGTTCTACCGTGTTTCAAATCTGGTTTGTGCTCGCGAATTCGGTCAGAAATATGTCGTTTCGTCTCCCCGATATGGCAGTCACCACAGGTACAACTCAATTTGTAAACACCGGGGTACTGTAAGTCAGGAATGACATCCTTTACAGATGGGATCAGATCACAGATTTTGTGTACTGTATTGAACCGGACCTGGATCTTGTGTTTGTTTAGAATCTTGGACATTTTTTTGGTAACGCCTACTATGTATGGTAGTGTGATGATTTTGATCGGAGTATCAGGTGGTTGTTTCTGTATGGTGGGAGAAACAGCTTGGCGGATAGTACAGTCAGAGTATCCGTTCATCTTGAGGCCCAATGTGCATGTTTTAATTCACTGGCCAGGTGGTGTTGGTCAGAAATGCAATGAGCCCTATGGTATGATGTTTTGATGAGATCATTCTTTTGAGCCGGGTGGTGGTGGGAATCAGGCTTCAAGTAGGAATCTGTGTGGGTGGACTTCCTGTAGACAGAATGTCCCAAAGAGCCATCAGTCCTCTCAAACAGAACATCCAAGAATGGCAGCTTGCCATCTTTCTCCACTTCCATGGTGAATTTGATGGATGGGTGTCTGGGATTGATGTGGTCTAGGAAATGGTTCAAAGCTGGGAGGCCATGTGGCCAAATGACGAAAGTGTCATCCACATATATCTTCCACAGGGAAGGACGAAGGGTGGATGTCTGGATGGCGTCTGAATCAAATTTCTCCATGAAAACATTGGTTATCACTGGTGACAAGGGGGAACCCATCGTGGACAATTAGACCCAAGCCGAAACATAACATATAAAAAAGATTGTTTAAAAATATATATTTTTATGATATAATATAGTATTGTCATCAGTATGACATAAGTATACCAAGTTTGCAGTCGATACCACATTGGGAAGTGGGTTAAAATTGAATTACAAGATTTGAGGATACGACAACAACAGAATGAGTTAAATGAAAGCGTGTAATGACTGCTATATTGGCTCAATGGGCTTTAGTCGGGTATTACACTTGTGACTTATAACGAGCTTTAAACCTGCTTACCTTCCACGAGCCGACGATATCGGGAGCTCTCAGGGGGGATTTGATCGAAGGCCAATTGATAATTCAGAGAACATTTACAAACACAAATGCCAGCTCATTACAATTCACCATTTTTATTAAACATAAAAATATATACAATAATAAATACTTCTCGATTGCAGATTCCAATTTAACCAGCCTTCACGTAAAGTAAACAGGTTCAAGTGATCGAATTTACAATACTACACTGAGCAAAATTGATAGGCTGTGAATGACTCGTTTGTCAAATATTGTTCATTTAAATTGGAACTCCCTAATGTATCTTGGAATCCTCCACTAAACGTTAAATCATCATCCATGACGAATCCACTTCCCAAGTCGGTGGCGTGACTCAAGATCCTATAATGCGAAACTTCACCAAGCACTTGTTCACGAGGTAATATAAATACAGATAATAAAAAATATACATCTAAAATACATACAATATGAAAACATTTCATACCATTTTTTTGCACACCATTGAGGCATTTTACATGCATTGTTGAACGTTTTTAGCACCGTACGTGGCCAACCGTGCTAATCGGAGGTGCGGGATATAAAGGACAATCTAAATACAAAAAGCAGTTCTAAAGAAATTCGTTTTCAATTAAGAATGCATTTTCAAATTAGAAGGTGAGTTTTACAATGAAAAAAAAAATCAGTTTTCAATCTATAACCATTTGTCAAACGTATTAACCGCATTATTTCACACGAGAAAGCAATAACTTATTGTGACGTTAGGGGCTCTTTGAACCCAGGGGGAGGAATTATTAAAACCTGACCCAATCTGCCTCGATGAACCCCAGCTGACATTTACATTATATTTCCCACTTCAAATAAGAAACGTGCCTCCCCCCCCCCCCCGCGGGTCTAGCCAATGAGCGGCGGTGGCTGGGCAGCCACACGCTTAAACGAGCTACAAAATCCAAAACGAGCCCTCGTGATCTCGAGGCGGATGGAGGCGTAAACACGGGCGAAGGGGGAAGCGATCGATCCCTTTCATTTATTGTTTCCCTTAGATGGTTCGGCGCAACAACGTCGGGTCGCTGTAAATAAGTCCATCGATAGACAACAAGGTGCCGCGTTCGCAACAGCAGCCCGGGTGGGGGGGGTAGGCCCCGATGAACAGCGCCGACAATGCACGACGCGTACGAGGCGGTGCCCATCCTGGAGAAGCTGCCGCTGCAGATCGAGAGCGTCGCCTGCTGGGGTGAGACCTTCCCGGCAGGGATTCTAGGCGAGAGCCGAGGAGGAGGGGACCACGTTGTCTGCGGCCTAGTGCGGTCGCGGTGGCGGAGGAAGATTTAAAGTATATATGTATACGTCCGGGCTCAATAGCATAGTAAAACTGTTTTTTCTGTGTTTGCTAAGTGCACCTAGTCTGGCACAATTGCCCGGGTGACGTCGCCGCAACATAAGTGGCGAACGGCGATTGTTTGTGATGGCCACACCACGGCCGATGCGCCGTGCCGACCTCATAGGTGCTCGCGAACAGCACTTGCACCCAGCAATCTTCGTAGGCAATACGGGGGAATTCATCAATGCTGTTGGACATGTTTTTATCCGTGTGTGTGTGTGGCTGGCCGTGTTACTATACAGTGTGTGTGGGCTTGTCGATTGTGTGTAAACATTGTCAATGGGAAGACAAAGGCGACCGAGAGTGGTGCTAACCCCGCACTATCCAGCCCATCGGACGATTTGACGGGCCGTCGTTTGTGCTCGTTTACTGCCACCTGCCCCAACAGCCCGTGGCGGCTATACTGTGCTGTGTGCGCTGTATGTGTGTGTTCATGTCCATGGGGAGTGGTACCAGCGTGGGATGCATGCCAGGCATCGAATTCGGGTTTTAGACCTCCTCATACCCTTTCTGTTGTTTGGCCGGGTGTTGCTCAACTCACAGGAAATTGCGAGCAAGAATCGCGTGATCCTTTTACATGCGAAAAAATTAGTAGCACTTGTGGGAAATAATCCGTGTTTATCCTGCGGATATACTGGTTCCCACCACAGAAATGTGGAATGTCCACCACGGGCTCCGGTCCGCTGATGGAGATTAATCGGCCTCTCGTTTGAGTATCCAATACACGTTAACTATTTTGCGTAGTATTTATGTAAAAAAGCAGTGTATTCATTTTTTTAATACAAATGCAAGTATTACTTGTTGACATGCATGGTGACCTACATGCTGCTTAGAAAGTGTGTGCGCGTTCACAGTTATAGTGAGACAATGCAGTGCTGTCCTGTTGCTGGAACAATTATCTTAAATCTGTCACGGCCTGCGACCACGAATGCGGTTTCCCCCTTTTTATTGTACGACAGTGATTATATACATAGATACGTTGACTTGATCAGAATCGGAATATTTACTTATCCTGGAGAAATCCGATGAGCTATAGGAAGCTCGTTTTCACAGATGTCCAATAGGGCACGTCAGAACGTTACAACAACAAACTTTGGTTAATTCTAGATTTAAAGCTTTCGTTACAACAACAAACTTTGGTTAATTCTAGATTTAAAGCTTTCGTGACTGCTAGGATCCATACTCTTTGGTTCTATTGGGTAAAGTCACGTAGGTGTAAATAAAATAACAAAAAAAATCACGACGTTTCGGCCACAACACAAACGGCCTTCATCAGGTGAAGGGACGAGACTGTCTGGAGGACAGCTCTGGAGTGAGAAAAGCCACGCTTAGATCACGATCTTTAAGCTGTGTGAGAAGAAAACAAAGCGCCTTGACAAAGGAATTAGCATATAATTTAGCATTGAAATAGCTAAGTTAAAGTATACACATCCGCAGAGGCACCCCTTGACAAAGGAATTAGCATAGAATTTAGCATTGAAATAAACTTTGGTTAGCCGAACAAGCAAACCCATGTTTCACTCAGAATCTGTTTTGTGCGAATTTGGTACATAACGTATGAATGTAATATAGCTGAACCAATAGCACTGGTCACACCCGTATGCACACTGGGAGAAAAACAATTGTAGAGCATTAATAATAATCATGGGATGCAACTCAACTCGGTTATGTTCCCACTGTCGCTTTGCTTGATATTTACCGTCATATTTCTTCCCCACTTTTTCATTTGTGTTTACCTTCAGAGGAAATGCTTTTAGTGGGAACCAAACCAGGTCACCTGCTTCTCTACAAGATTAAGGGAGATGCAGGTACGTCAATTTCACTTCGTAAAAAGTTGTCGAAAGTCACATTTTTGTGTTCTTTAGGCACCACATTGTTGATACCTTAAAAGTCATTGGCACGTTATCCTGCGTAAATCACTTTTAAAATCAACAATTCCCCAAAAGACAGTGAATTTCGACGTTCCCATAATTTACAGTTACATATGTACCGCTTATTAGATGCATGCAATGTGTATTGTGAAATTTATATGTATTTGGGGATCGAGTATAGATGTATATATGTAATATTTCACCTGTGAATTAGCATGAGCAAATTGGGATTTGTTAAACCTGCTGGCATAATAGTATATCTCGCATAGAGGTCATTTTCTGACAATGACATTATTTTTCAAGGTATCTTCATGATGTGTTATAGTGCTCCCTGCGACAGCTTCATATTGCCTAAATTATCCAGCTGTCTAGCAAGCCACACTATGTATCACACAGCAAGCCCACTCACTTATCTTCTGGCCAGAGCTGCTAATAATTGGGCAATTAAGAAACAGTTCAAGCACACTGCATGTTATATTCACTTTTAAGTAGGTATACATTCCAATCTGTCTTGTCACCCAACAGTGCCTTCTAAATGGCGAACACATCAATAAAACCTATAACCTATATGTATATAATAGGGCTGCTCATATTCTAAACAATATGAGGTCTATTTAAATATATCCTCATACATGAACGTCTTAGTCTGAAATGTAACAGGGTACTGATTAGGTATCAACCTCCAATTGGAATCTTAGCTCCCTTATACTTACCCTGTAAGAAGGCTGATGTGCTAAGTCACTTGACACTGAGCATATGTGTTCCAGTCATAGCTCCTTTATCTTCACTGCCAGACATTAAAATGCATTACAGGAAATCCAACTCTAACCACTTTGTGTTTTACGGAAATAGGAAGTTCCCGATTTGAAGTCACGCTGGAAAAGTCGAGTAAGAACTTTGCCAAGAAAATCCAGCAGGTATTATGGCTCTGTATTATGTGGAGTTTACAGATTAAGCTCTGCTGCAAAGCATTTAATGAAAATCCTGTTTTTTTTTTATAATGAATCTAGCGGTTATTACTTTTATAACACTTTTTTTCCTCTTCAGCTCTGGGTGGTCGCGCAGTTGAAAATTCTCATCAGCCTCTCTGGTGAGTTGACTTTCATGGGTGCCAGGATTTGAGTTAATGCCATTTAAAGCAGATCAATGTGCCAAGTTATGAGTGAGATTTAAATTATATATATCTTTATTATAGAGTACTTCAATTTTATTTATCAAGACTACCATGTGGGTCATATAATGATTCACCCTCTCCCACCAACTCTGCAGTTTAGTGAATTGTCACAGTTAAGGATCATGTTTAGTCTTCTTTGTACGATCACATCTCGAGTCTTGTTTGCTGTTCATCTGGTTCTCCGCTTTACTTTCTCTTTATTTGACCAACAGTCTATTTGGTATATTTTCATTCATGAAAATGTTTCATTCTCACATGTATGCATTAATGTATATTTTATGAATGCGAGCACATTTTCGAGCTGCTGAATTTATGACTTAACTTTAACACTTTTTTGGTTACAATAACTTCCATTAAGGACATCTAATTTATGTTTAGTGAAGTGAATAAATTGAATGTTAGTTTAACTCCATACATTTTTTTACGTGGAATACTGTATAATAGTTGTAGTGGAAATAGTTATAGACTTTTGTTTTGGACTTTACAAGTAAATGTTTATTCATAAAATCCACGCAATTCTTGGAGTCCATGCCGAATGCAATCATAACTTATTCCCATGTTGACATGGGAATATAATTTCTGTATTGAGTCCTGGACTGTCCCACACTCCAGCAATACAAGGTTAGACTATCGCCTCTGTCAACCAAATTCCTGAAGTTGTTTATGCTCTATGTATTTGTGCTCTGATTCCTTTGTCGACTTGGTTTTGAAATATCAGTGCTTGGATCTTTCTGCTGAAGCATTTATCAAGTAAATTACATGTCCATTTCACTTTTTACAGATAATGTGGTTTGCGTGCATGACCTCACAACATTTCAAACCATCACAACAGTCAACAAAACTAAAGGGGCGACACTGTTCAGCTGTGATGTTCAGGTAATGGTTTCACAAAACACGTGTAAAAATCACCCATCCATTACACATAATGCAAAAAGGCTATCGTTTCCTGAAGAAACGTGTTGTGGTCCTCTTGACTTCAGTCACCATCAACACTTATTTGAGCAAAGGTGACCAACTACCACTGTGTCGCTGCTGCAGTCATGATGGGGTTTTATCGTAATTTACAGATTTGACAATCAGTGTGTGATCTTTGAAGTACATATATTATCAAATTGTTTTTAGTTTCCACTGTAACCATTAAGCTGAATCATACTCTGCTTATCTGAATAGAGCAAGTCCAGGTGGACTTATATCCATAGGTGCTTGTATTAGAACTTTACATTTTGCCTTTAATGCAAGAATGTATTAATGTGTTGTTATATCCAGCTTCTGTTGCACTCACAAAATGTATCTGGTGATGTGTTTTTAACAGTTGATCCTTTTAAAAGTGAAATATCTGCCTTTAACTGTCCTTACCAGAGAGGGCAAATTGGAACACCCACACTGGCTGATTGTGACAACAAAATGTTCCCATGCAGTGGTTCATCTGTAATGTATGTTGTTTAAAACCAACCACACTCTGTATCTGTAGTCACCAACGAGGGAGCTGCGCCTGTGTGTGGGCGTCCGTAAAAAGCTTCAACTTTTCACGTGGAAAAATCGCGACTTCATAGAACTGCAGGTGATTCTGCCGCAGAAGAGACTGATATTAAGAAACTTTTTATGGATGATCTTGCATAGTGATGGATGGCCATTTGCATTGTTGAATCCATTTCTCTCTTGCCATATCCTGGCTACCACACATGAATCCTACAACACCTGGTACTACGTGGCAGTCTCTCATTTAAGTGCTATACAGGCCTTATCCTACTTAGCGAGAGGTACAATTAATACACATGTATGAAATGTCGATCAAATTGTCTCTAATCGAATGAGCACTGAGGTGGTGCTCATCTAAGTTGCAGGCCGCAAACCACTGTTAGAAAGTCCACATTCCCATGGCACAGGCCATTGGAAGTAAGGCACAACCAAAAATCTATAATAGTGCCATCAATACCACAGAGAGGATCGGCTGAGTCAACTCCTGACCGGCGTATTTAAACTCGCTCCTAATAATGTAGCCATCATATGCATTGAATGTTTGATTTTATACCGCAAATTAATGTAAGTCTTTTTTATTGTTACAAAGATATTACAATTTGCCTATGAAAAGTAAGTTACTTTTTGTAGAGTGTGTGCACTCCATTTTGCTAATGGAGCAAGTATGCTCGGTCTGCCCAGTCGTTCTGCAGCTAGGAATTTGCCCGTGAACATTTCCGTGTGGATTATATTTTTAAATCTCCTCTTTCATCTCTGTTTGCAGCCCGATCTCAGCCTGCCAGACTTCCCCAAGTCCATGGCCTGGTGCGTGGACTCCATCTGCGTGGGATTCAAGAGGGACTATTACATTGTCAAGGTGTGCATTGCCCTCGCTGTGTGACATTTAAATGGCCCATAAAATGAAAAACAATTCTCACTGTCATTACAGACTTTGACCCAATCATTTGGAATGAGACCGATATCGTCCGATCTCGGAAGCTTAGCATGTTTGAGACTTGGGATTGTGCTTGAATGAGTGACCACCATGTGCAGCAGGTTGTAATAGGCAACTGCTGTGCTGCGTGGCATTGCAGAACAATCTATTGTTGTACTATACTGAGCTTCCATGTCTATGCTGCCCATCATCAACAGCCCAAAATGAAACGGCACCTTGAAATGTGATCATATAACAGCTACAACCTGTACGGCATGGGAGTAGTGGGTGGGTTGACATGTACACTCATGATACACATATATTGTACATGAAAGCCTGGATATGACATTAACATTTTATTTAAGTCTTACCTTTAGACTAATGTTATGAACGAGACCAAACAAACGAGGCAAATGAAAATGGACTCGAGAGTGGAATCTTTACCAAAAATATAAATGAGCTTTGAATGGTGGGAAGGTGCGCTGTGACTGGCTTGGGTGCGCGCAGGCATATTGTTGTTGTGTTCTGCCCATTTGTTACTCTGTGCATATCTATGCTAATGGTGCAATGCATGCCGTGCTGTACCATTTTGTAAACTGTATTCAATTGTTTGGGTGTATTACTTTTGTGATCTTAGAGGTGCTGCGTTACACATACTGATTTAAACACTAAATTTTAGCTGGAGTTCTCATTCAAGTACTTGGACTGCTTGTTTACTTTTAAGTACAGGCATGTCTCCGCTTTTACGATACAATGTGTTCCTGGAAACCCTGTCGTAAATCGGACCCTATTCCCATACACGGTAAAAACAGTAGAAACATCACTTGTCGATGTGTTTTTTCTTTTATCAGCCGTATTTAACGGGGTTTAATAAGTAAATATCCACAAAAACACTTGAGAATGACTACATTTTCACTCCAAGTCACGTTGAAAACCAGACTGTTCAGATGTTTGGAATCATGTCGGACGATGCATCGTTAATCAAGTTTCTGCATCATAAATCGATCTATGGTAGCATTATGTCAATGTCTTAAATTTAGATCGTTGTGAACCGGAGACCGCCTGTACTTCACTTGTATTTGGCACCTCGCGTAATGTACACACAATAATAGGCAGTCAGTGCTACTTAATATTTTAAAAAATGTTCACATCCTTCACTCTCCTGTCTTCAAAATGAAGCTATGTTATTATCTTTAGTACACATCCAGAATGGGGGGTTCCTCTGACTGCACGGGTTGCAGGTGGACGGGCGAGGCTCGTACAAGGAGCTCTTCCCAACGGGGAAACAGCTGGAGCCACTGGTGGTTCCTCTGGCCGACCGCAAGCTGGCGGTGGGGCGCGACGACATGACCATCTTCATCGATGAGGAGGGCACGACTCAGAAGCACGCGCTGCGCTGGACCGACGTCCCCATCGCTATGGGTAGGAGTCAGTCCTGCAGCACAAAAAGATTGCAGTGAAATCACACCGCTGATTTTCAGTCGAGTGCCATAATGACGTGCTTGACCATAACTTCGATCATCATCTTTACCGAATTCTAACCCAGGTTCTCAGCATTGCCAACTTAGCGCTCTGATAATGCGTAAGATCTATTGACAAGCCGTGAGTTCTAATATTGATTGCTGTCCACTTCGGCGCCGTGGCAGAGCACCAGCCGCCCTACATCATCGCAGTGCTGCCGCGCTACCTGGAGTTGCGGACATTCGAGCCAATGCTGCTCGTGCAGAGCATTGAGCTGCAGAAGCCTCGATTCATCGCCGCTGGAGGGTAGGCCCACCACTTTCATCGACACTCATGTGCCACCTATATCCCTGTGCGTGTGGTGCTTAAATCTCTGCCGGTCACCCACTTGTATTTGCGTGCGCGTATGTATTATTTCACGTAGATCTTCTGGCGTTTTCGTACTTTTCTTGGATTTATTTTTACATCGCCTGTTGAGTTTAAATTATTTTCTCTTACTTTGGAACCCCGGTGTACTGTAAGGTAGCAAATCCACTTCCTGTTAACGGCTAACAAGGTCACCAGTAGATGGCGGAACAGCAATGGGTACTTGGTAAAGTACAGGGCCGATGGGAAATAGGGGGTTGTATGTGTGGTGGGTTTTGTCTGTGTCCTCTGGTTTTGTCTTGTATTCTCTGGTTTTGTCTGTGTTCTTTGGTTTTGGCTTTGTTCTCGGGTTTTCTCTCAAAATTCAAGTGCTCATTACTGTGTTGGAAGTGGTCAAACATCCCAGTGTGGACCCTTCTGAAAAAGCCTTGAGAGTCAGAGGCTTTTCTGGATTTTAAAAAAATGCACATGATGGACAGCATTGAAAAGGTTTTTTTAAGTGATTTTTCTGTTTCTAAATTGGATCATTGTGCCTACCTCTTGGCAGTGTTCTTGCATTATGTGTTGCTACTTCATATTCATTCCTTATTTATATACCTTCATAGATGGTTGTGAGCATATGAAATGCAAAGGCACATTTGTGCAATTTTTCTGTGTCCATGCTGATACCACAACTTAAGAGTAAAAGAGCATCACCTTGAGTGGTTTCGAATACTGTTATTCAGAACCGCTCAAGAAAGTAGGCTTGTGCAGAACATGTTGCAAGAACGCATGGTAACTGATGGTTGACATTTATGACTGCTTGGCAGCCAAAGTTGGGAGCACACCTGAGAGGAAGTCCAACACAGGATGAAGAGCGATGATATCGGCTCCTGTACAGGCGCAAAATAGATTTATATCATGATATGTGAGAGATGGCATGGCATCAACTTGGGGATTCCTTCATCTAGCAGTGGATATGTCATCCGTATGTACTTAGGTTGTTTGTATGTAAACATGTGCCCATATTTTCAGAGGTGCAGCTTAGCTTTTCTAAGCTCCTTGAACTACCCAGACTTATTCGGAGCCTACCAATTTCTGTACTGGTGAAAACCAGATTAATGGCAGTCTAGTCATCTCTCCTACATGTATGCGTGGATATTCCTAATGGCAGTCAAGTCATCCCTCCTACATGTGTGCGTGGATATTCCTAATGGCAGTCAAGTCATCCCTCCTGCATGTGTGCGTGGATATTCCTAATGGCAGTCAAGTCATCTCTCCTACATGTGTGCGTGGATATTCCTAATGGCAGTCAATTCATCTCTCCTACATGTGTGTGTGGATATTCCTAATGGCAGTCAGGTCATCTCTCCTACATGTGTGTGTGGATATTCCTAATGGCAGTCAAGTCATCTCTCCTACATGTGTGCGTGGATATTCCTAATGGCAGTCAATTCATCTCTCCTACATGTGTGTGTGGATATTCCTAATGGCAGTCAAGTCATCTCTCCTACATGTGTGTGTGGATATTCCAGGCCCAACATTGTGTACGTGGCAAGCAGCCACTTCGTCTGGCGCCTGGCGCCTGTGCCCATCGCAACGCAGATCGAGCAGCTGCTGAAGGAGAAGCAGTTTGACCTGGCACTACAGTTGGCGGTGAGATGGTGCCCTCGTAGCATGTGCAGTAGAGATGTTACGATGACGTGCCAGCTCTTAAACTATTGATTTGCATGTGTGAGAATCAATGTTTTTCTGATTCCTGAATGTTAAGTGGGGGAGTGACGCCGCATTGGTTCGCACAACTCTGGCCAAAATCTCTTCAAAACGCAACCTTCAGCATTAAATCTATTGTCCAGGGTGGTCTGGCTTGAGACCATTTAACATAATGCAGTTGTATTATAATGAAGGACAGAGCGGTGGCACGGTGGATGGTGTACTACAGAATGAGCCCGGTGTGTGATTTCCGGCCATGACTAACATTCGTGGTTACATCTTAACCAGTCGCCAATCGGCACATGTCCAGCATTGTGAAGTATGGTCAAACAAGTCCCATAAGACTGACATAGCATGAGGAGGCCTTCATCCAGCAGTGGATTAGCAAAGGGCCAAGTATTTGTTATATTTTTTTTGTTTTAATATAATTTTATTGTATTTCTACAAACGTGACTTTACCGACAAAACCAATGAGTAATTCACAAGTGTGTTAACATAAATATAAGCTTTTGGATTAAATCACAACCATAAAGTGCAAGAATTTATTAAAACGCCAGACAATGTAGCTTTACGTTTCTAATCGATGGCGAAAGGCTGCATTCCATAAGTGAATCAGCTGCACACCAAATGTTTTTTCCAGTCGAATTGATGGGAGAACAGATGGACACATTAAAGCTTGAATGCAAATTGCCTTTTTTTTTTCAAAGTCCTTTTTAATCTGGTTTGTCTCCAAGTTTTGGCGGACTTTTTGATCAATTTGGACAGTATTCAGTAGGACGATTCTCTAATAGCAACACAACTTCACATTGCAGTTTAATTCATATTTGGATCATGTGTACGAGAATCATAATGCTCACCGCTTATGTATGGACGGATACAATCTTAAGTTCTTATGACATTTTTTGAAAAGCGTTAACCATTGTTACAGTGTCATATAAATGTCAGATTTTTCACTCCTTGCTCAGGGCTATTATCAGAGTTCAGTGGTGATCGATGCGCATTTGAGCATTGAGACAATTGGACTTTAATTTTGAGTATTATAAAATGAGTCGATGAATGAAACACTTAAAACTCTGACCCCACTCTCTCCCTCTGACCTTGCAGCAAATGACCAATGACTCTGACTCAGAGAAGCAGCAAAGAATCCACCACATTCAGAACCTGCACGCCTTCCACCTCTTCTGCCAGCACCAGTTTGACGACTCCATGGCCAAGTTCTCTACCCTGGGAACAGGTGAGCGTTAATCTGTGAGGGCAGTCGTCCTCTTATTTGATTTCCTCTTCATTTAGAACAGGCTTGAATTTAGGTTTCCAGAAACTAGGATGATTTTTTTTTCGCTTGAGACGTGTTCATGGTCTGATGTGTGTGCGTTGTTCTGAATGTCACTGTCGGCATTGCCGATCTGATGTCACCATTGATGTTCGATGATGTATTTTGCTGCGAAGCATGTTCAAATAAAAAAGTGGCTTTTTTTGTAGGAACATGGGCAATATAGCCATAGGTGCGATTACAAATATTGATATACACGAGTTCACACAGAGACCTATGGATTCACACAGAGACTCGGAGGCTCACAGTGGACATGAGTTCATGTTGTTGTTCCACTTTGTTGCGGGTGACTGGAAGATTATTTTATTTGTACACTCGTGAGAAAAAGGTGATTGCACCTGCCGTAGCCAGAACGGATGCAAACTAAGGAATCCCACTGTTTCACAGATGATTAAGGGCGACATGTATTGATGATGGTGGGTGAAAATGCCTCCATGTTGTGCCTCTCCACTCTCCCCCCTTCCCCCCCCATCCACCAAGATCCTTCACACGTGATAGGGCTGTACCCAGATCTACTTCCGGCTGACTACAAGAAGCAGCTGCAATACCCCTCGGAACCTCCACAGCTGTCAGGGGTGGAACTGGAGAAGGGCGTTATGGCTCTCATCGACTACCTCACACAGGTGAGGCACACAGTGGGCATGAAGCGTGGAGTGATTCAGTCACGATTCATTTTGAGAATCTTTTTTCCATGTTTGTACAAGATTGTATATATGTATATTAAACTTATTTCGCAACTGTACGTAGCCAACCGTCCTAATCGTAGGTGTAATAGCATACAAGTTGCATAATATGTAAATAATTGATTCGCATGCACGATGTGATGAACATATCATGAACAGAATCATTGTATTTGAATCGATTCCTGTAACTTTTATGCAACTTTTAATAACTTCCTAAAGATCTGAATGAGCAAAACAGGCAGTACAAAACAACACGGTGCACACAAGACTGACTTTACAGATGAGAGGAAAATCAAGATGGTTGACAAATAGGGAACATGAGGAGCGGATTCTAAGCAACCTCTAGATATGAACAGATTAGAATGATACTGGTAGGAACCTCTGGTTACACCAGCCCACAGGGGATTGTTGTGTCCGTCCGTCGTGCATCCAAAAATGGGAGGGGTGGGGCCGGGTGGAGAGGGGAGGGTGGGGAGGAGCTGGATGGGGAGGGGAGGGGAGGGGCTGGGTGGGGAGGGTGGGGCTGGGTGGGGAGGGGCTGACCCCCCGTGGTGCCCTTATAAAACTCAACGTTTAACCTACTCACGCCGGCTTGTGCCCGCCCTCAGTTTGGGCATATTTGCGGAATACACCACGCCGCCGTGGACCCTGGACATTGACTGAGCAACCCAACGTTCCTACCAGCTCCCTCCGCAGGAATGTGTTTTTCTCAGCTGTTGGACTTGTATACCAAAGTAACAAATAGATAGGAGGCTAATCCCAGGACACTGAAGCATCACCTTTCCACATGCTTATTAAGTGACACACTAATGTATTTTGGTCCTTTTTCCGCACAAATGTACTCCAACATTGCTCTCAGCACCATGCGACAAAACAAATAATCCATTCAGAAATTTCGCAGTGCAGTTGAAGGTAGTTTTCACAGGATTTATTGTAAGAAATCCTTTACATTGCACCCAGTAAGCGGGCACACTTTTCCACACTGCTTTCAGAGTGTTTTGTCGCAAGACAATCAAGCCGATAATGAAATGCAGCTCAAGAGCAAAAATCAGACGAATCGTGATGGGGTTTATTATTGTGCAGCTATTTGAAACCATCGACTCGCTACACTTGAGAACCATGTTTAACCACAGGAAGCTGCCTCGGTTCAAACCTCGGACATCAGTGGGTGCCAGCTCCATTGCCCTGACCTCTGAGCCACCGGCCAACCCAAATAAACAACTTTGAAGTGCTTGTCTTCATTGACCGATTTGACACTTACTATATGTATCCATAATACAGGTTTTTTTGGGTGAGATCGTGTAAATATAAATCTGTCGTTAAACCCGCCACCACCCAACACAGCCAATTAGTAAGGGTTGTCACATAAACAGAACATGCCAATTCGTTACTAGTACAGCACACCGGTGTGTTGGAGAGCAAATCCACAACATTTACAATTTGAGTACGACGTTTCGCCAATAATTACAACTCGTTTCATCAGGCGACAGCCAGATTTGTGGAGAAATCCTCCTGTTTCGTTCCTTAAATAGAGGGATCTATGTGATGACGTCATTTGTGAGCTCTTGTGCGAAGGGGGTGGGGAATTAATGAATACGTATAAATGACAATGGGTGTCCATTGCCGGTTGGGTTATTCATATGGTACAATACGTATGTTGCAGCCTGCTTCTCACACTGCAATCCCATCCCGCTGCACAGAAACGAAACCACCTGGTGAAACACATGAACGATGCAGATGGAGGAGTTGTTGCCCCCATCGTGAACGGCGTCCAGACTATAAAGTCCAGGAAGAAGCTGCTGCAGATCATCGACACGACTCTGCTCAAGTGCTACCTGCAGGTGCAGCTTTTGAAGAATTATGTAAAGTGTTTCCATCACATTGTTTGTGGAGGTATTTCATTTGCAGCATGCAAGCCGATATGTAGCTGTCGCGGTAAAATGCATATCTGTAAATACTGCTTTTTGCTCTGATTTGTGTCTCAAGTTTTGAGCAAACCTTTTGATCAATAGGGGAATGATGACACGATTCTCAGGTGTCCACCCCCTCCCTATTACAGACAGAGCTAATGCATGAACGTAGTCTTACCATTGTTAAAAAGCATTAACAAAAATAACACGGGTGCGTTGAGAGGACCAGGGGTGTTCACCAATAAAGGAATGCGTGTGTCCTCGTGTCCGTGCCGCGACCAGACCAACGTGGCGCTCGTCGCCCCCCTGCTGAGGCTGGAGAACAATAACTGCCACGTGGAGGAGAGTGAAAGAGTGCTGAAGAAGGCACAGAAGTACAGCGAGCTCATCATCCTATACGAGCGCAAGGGCATGCACGAGAAAGGTAGCCGCGTGTGCTGCCCTGCTCCGAGATGGCCTCCGTCGTCCATGGGCAACGTCGCTATTGTTGACGTCCCTGTGAATATAAATGCCTTTTACCTCGATTGGTTGTTATAGTGTTTATATTATTGGTCTTTTAACATAGTTTCCACACGTGGCATGGCTGAATTGTGACATTCTAGTGTATTGCAACTGCGCTGTTTGTGGTGCCTGGTTTCTGGTATTTGCCTTTGTAACCCGCGAGACTTGTAGTCTCAATTGGCTTTCGTGAACCTGGTTATGAAAATTTGTATCTGTCCATGGGAATCAAGCCCACACACAGGGTTATATTATGACTTTGTCTTATTCTAGTTAATTTATGTTGGCTGCTCGAAGTGACAAAAGCACATGTAGTATTTCCCCATTGGGTTTACGTTTAACTTGTTCTCATGTTAACAATAACCTCCACTCGTAATGCACTGAGTACTTAAACATTCACCAATGGCTTTGTGTGAAAAAACTGCATCGATACTGGAATGTGCCTATGTGCATTACCTCTGAGTATAGCAAAGTGTAGTAAGGGTTAACAGGTAGCTCTAATAAAAAATAGCATGCAGTGGAATTGAGTGGTAATGTGTTAATTTTCTGATTGTCATGTGAACATGTGTGTTTTTTTTGTAACAGCACTCAATGTGCTTCTTCAGCAGTCCCAGAAGGCCAACTCTCCTCTCAAGGGGCATGAACGCACAGTGCAGTACCTGCAGAGGTTAGGTAAGTCCCAATGAAAGCACTAACATTCAACCCGATTACTGGACATGTGTGAAAAAGAGCTTTGTAGCGTATCAGAATCCTCCAGTATAAATAAAGATTCTCATTCTATACGTAGTAAAGCACTGTTAGTGAGCACCTGCTAAAGTGAACACTGCACACAAGGGAAGTACTGTGGCCAGGATCACATCTAGCCGCTTTTCTCTTCCCAGTGCTGATATTTTGACGCACTGCACTATGTACTCGCTTATGGTTGTTGCCAGCATGGGAGAGACCCAGCCACCACTCGTCACTGGGATCGCATCGTAATGCATGAAAATGCAACGCTTATGCTCGTACACAAACGGACATAACACAATGGTACCGATGTAAACCTGAGTTGAATAACTTCCTGGGCTATAGCAACTTTTCTTCACGTGCCTATCTCCTGAATAATACGTGGATACATTTTTGACTATTTCATCTTCATCATCATCCACTGCTGGATGAAGGCATCCCCAATCCATTGCCATCTCTCAGTCTTGCAATGCATCAATCCATTTCGTATCTACACACATCAAACTATCTGGCAAGCAAAGCCTAAATAAGACAGTTTGCTTGCTTTGAGTTTGGATTACCACATCAATGTCCACCGACTCAAGTGAATTTCCATCGTTTGCGATGGCTATACATAATGGAATTTGATATTTATTAGTCTTTCCAGAATCTGATCGAATTTGGTCGATGGTGTAAAAATCCTTTTCTAAACTCGGCTTTGGCCTCAAACTTTTCCATTATTCTCTTTCCAATTTACAATTCACGTGTGCAACCATTGGAGGCTAATTGGGTCTGTAAATCTTCCAGTCAGTTTTATCACCTCGTCTAGCCAGCCAGCGTAAAACTATTGACTTTGTGAAATGTATGGATTATTTGCAATATAAGTTTACTGTATATGTGTTTTTGCTTCAGGAAAAGAAAACATGAAGCTTATATTTGAGTTCTCGGTCTGGGTCATGAAAGTGAACCCTGAGGATGGATTAAAGGTAAAAGAGACATGAATACAATATTATTTTGATATTACAGCGAGGTTTTTTTTTGTTACTTCACTATTTAATCTGTCTTTTGTTGTGTGAATGTGTCTACGTCTTTTAGAATGACCAAAATCCGACATCTCAATTTGTTGTGGGTGCCACGGTGGCGAAATGTTAACTACTTCGCTTTGTATACATGACGTCGTGGGTTCGATCCTGACCCCGATGCATGTATATTCGGAGTTTGCATGTTCTCCCCATGGGCATGTGGATTTTTCTCCAGGTCCTCAGGTTTTTCCCTCCACATTTAGAAACATGTGTTTAGAATGTTTGCCTGTTTTAAATTTACAAATGATAAGCCACTTCGTTGAGCTGTCATTGGTGGCAAGGTCTCTTCTGAAAAGGGCTTTTTAGCTCCGTGGGTCTTATCTGGTAAATAAAGAATAGTAATAGTTATCAACAACACTGTGAATTGCCTGTAAGGTCTAACTGCATTTTTAGCACTGAAGTGCTGTCAGCATTGTCGTTATGCAGCTCGAGCCACTGAGGATGCTGATCACATTCTCAGCCCACACCACGTGGACATCTCCATTGTGCTGTGTCAATGGCGAGACCGTTGCCTAAGAGGCCTGAGGCCAACATTAACTCAATGACCAAAAAATAATAAATAAAGAGACGAGGCTTTGTTTCATTAATAATGAATACATTTAAAATGTTCTCTGTCGGCCAAAAGGAGCAGTGTTTTCATGCAGCATTAAAGTAGGCAAACACTGGACTAATTTTGCCTTTCTGAGACTGCATCACCCAGGGCATGACTAGTTAAACCTCAATTTGATTTTATGTTGTTGGTGATGGAACGTACCCTTGTCTCTTTTAATTAATTTATTGATGATTTTATCATCCAAATTCTGCCAAGACTGCATGGTTATTTCATGGATTTATTGCTGCTGGTGACATAACCTCCGGTTTCTCTTAAGATTTTCACGGAGGACCTGCCAGAGGTTGAAGGGCAGCCAAGAAATGAAGTTTTGCAGTTTCTGGAGTCAAATGAAAAGGACCTCGCCATACCGTATCTCGTGAGCACATGTGCATATAACACACACGCACACACCGGTGAATATTACTATAAAGATGGCCTGGTTGTTGACTGCCATGTCAGAGGACTGGCTCGACGTCACTGAGATTTATTTTATTTGTTCAGCGCGTGCTATGTGATAAACCAGGCAGAAGCTTCATCATTTGCAGAAGGCTGTGTCCTCGGACCGCCGCTCAGCTTAGTGGACACCGTCTTCAACGATGTGCATCGTTGTCTAGTACTACAGGATACAGTTCCAAGTTGTCATGAAGCCCCATACCTGTGGAGGCTTGCTTCATGCAAGAATCCTCGGCCGGTTCAGAACCTGTTGCGCAGGCCAGCGGGTCATAAGGTCGTCCACCATAACTCTGCTGATACATCCTGGCGTGGCACGTTTGAACACAAGTGGATGCAGTGATGGCAGACAGGCAGCAGGCAGGCTAAAGAGGTCGGCATACAGTGGCAGACTTTGTTTGGCACAAATCACTGAGATAGTGGGTTTGAACCCAGGTTTGAGCCATGCGTGGTGAAACAGATGTGTCAAGTTTTGCCAGGTATATTTTCTTATTTTGGTCACCAAAGACTGCACTTAAACAGGAACAAAGTAAAATTTTGATTTAAAGCTTTCATTACTGCAGGGATTCATATTCTTGGTTCTTTCGGTAAAGTCACGTAGAAGGGAAACAATAAAGTAATAAAAATATAAAACAATAAAATATTGTTTTATACCGAAAGAACCAAGAATAGGAACAAAGTAGCATGATAATTCCCCATCTATTTATATTCAGTTTTGTGCAAGCATGGTTAACCTACAATTAGGATGATATACTCATAGATAATCGGGGATTAACTGTAAAATCCCTTTAATATTCCCTTGTTTGCATGTTTTTTTTGTTCTGTATACCCTTGGGTAAGAGCCGAACTTTAAGTGTTAGGCGCTGTGTATGTGGATTTGTCATGCTCTCTCTAATGATTGCGTTTACACATACAGGAGTACATTATCTACGACTACATGGAGAAAGGGCCTCTCTTCCACAATCGTCTGATTGAGTTGTACCGTGAGAAGATCCAGGAGATGATGAAGGATTACCTGCAGAGCCTGCCAGCAGGTGCGCAAGCTGCATCAGCTGACGTGACAGCGTGGATTTGGCTTAACGTGCTTTACCACAACGTGCCTAATCATATTTGGCTAATTATAAGCAGCCTGATTAACCCCTTGGATTAAATAAATGCTATCACCATTAAGTCAAAAATTATGATTACTAAATCGATATTTCCAGGCGTGGTGCTGTGGTTAGAGCACTTGACTTATAATAAGGATATTGTGAGTTCACATTTCGATTGAGGGTTGACTGCCCAACGTTTCGCCAGGTTCGATAAAACTCGTACCACTTTGTGGGAAATCCACAAAGAGTATCTCCGTTGTGCAGTCGATCCTTGCCATAGAAATGTGTAGTTTCCTCCACGGGTTCAGTACAACCATGGAAGATGAGCACTGCCCACGCTCGTTTCAGCAGATAGATGCTTCCTTTCTGGATTTGAATACGTTGATGAGTTTTGTCAATTGTAATTGTGTGATGGAGTCTGTCGGTGTTGCTGCTGCTGTGTGCTTGGTGCCAGGATTGCGCCAGGCAGTGGTGCCCGGCTCAGAGCCCGGAAAGCTGGGCGAGTACCGCAACAAGCTGCTGAGCTTCCTGGAGATCTCGATTTCATACCAACCGGGGCAGCTCATCACCGACTTCCCCCTTGATGGTATGTTCATCCAGTGGCATAGCTATCAAGCGTGCGGTGCAATTGTACCCGTAGCCCATGGACCGGAGGAGCCAAGGCTTTGGACCACAGAGATGGGGGAAATTGAACATGGGGCCCTTGCTTTCACCAGGGCCCATACCAATCACGTCACACCACTGGAGGCATCATGGAACTCCAGCCTGCTCACGCTACGTGTGTTTATTTTGTTTCCTGTAGCTGCCTTGTACAAGATTGATTGTTTTATGTGTTTGATGACATGATGTTCGTAGACCCCCTTCACCAACCTGCAGGGACCAGTGTGGTGAAATATTGTCAAACAACCCCCATAACCAACAGTGTTTGGAGGCCTTCACCCAGCAGTGCATTGACTCCACTCGTCTGAGTAAATGTGCACAGTCTCACGTCCCTATTTCAACCCCGTACCACTGCCCTGCATTTTCCCTTGTGGCCATGCACACTGCCCCCCCACCCTGGTTGCTGTCATTAACAGGTCTTTTAGAGGAGAGGGCCCTGCTTCTGGGTCGCATGGGCAATCACGAGCAGGCTCTGCAGATCTACGTGCACGTGCTGCGCAACTATCCCGCCGCGGAAGAGTACGTGTGTGCTTGAGCACTATTGTCACGCACGCGTATACGCGCGCAACAAACACCGAGATCCCCCCAGCTTAGCCATGTAGACTGAGAGCAACGCCTGTCAGTGAGTACTTGACAAGGTTACACGACGGGGTGCTGGCCATGCACACCTGGCTTTTTTTATCCACAGTGCAAGTTCGTCACATGCAGTGCCAGGTACTAGTTTGCTCATCTGAGGCCGAGTCGGCCTCGGGAAAGCCCAGGACCAGTTCGGACATGGCTTGTCAGACTAGTGACATTTGGTGACAAGTCGAAGTGGAACGATGCATCGAATTCATCAGTTAATGTTTGTTCTTAAACTGACGGTATAAGGTCAAATTTATGTTGTAGGAATTGGTGTTTTTCCAATTGTAAATGTGAGCGATGCATTTGTGGTCCTCCTTCAGCCACTAGAGGCGCTACTGTTCACTGCAATTTTAAGGATGAGTTATTGAATCCAATTGCAACTCTCAAACCTGTCAGTTTGTCGAATCCCGGGCTGGTGAATTGTTCAACCTCGAATAACAATGCCTTGATATTGTAGCAACACCTACCAGGTAATAGTGATATCCTTGTCAGGCTCAGATAGCAATTGATGAAGGTTGGCATGGGCTGGCATTGATGAAGTCTGGAGTCATCTGGATTAGAAATCGGTGCGTGAACCATTGTGCCACCACTCCCGACATACACTGCTACAATCAGTATTTTCAAGTGAACTTCATGTGGCAAGTTTAACACGTAGGCTTTCACAACCAATAATATTAATAATAAACGTTTTTGGGTTAGATCACGTTATTTATAAATGTGTCGTAACCCTTCCACCCGACACGGCCAATCAGCAAAAAATGTCACGTTGGCAAAAGACAAATAGTTCACTACTTTAGCTCACCGGTGTGTTGAAGAGTGGATCCACAACATTTACAATTTTTGAGTACGACGTTTTGCTGGTAATTACATCCAGCATCATGTGTCAAACTGGCAACTCAACTATGTGGCAGACACATGGTAAAGAAGCGCAAACAGGACTAGAGACAGGACATTTGTCTGCAAAAGTAACTGGATTTAACAAAATGTCATAAATTTTCTAAACATCAGAGATTTGGTTATATCAATCAAAACAAATTAGTGTTTACTTTTATTTAGAATGTGATATTCTGCATGACACTGATGTTGCTTTGGCATTTGCTTTAATATTTAATGTTCTTGGAATATTTTGTAAGCTCCTTGTCTTTTTTTGTAAATCTAGGCACTGCAGAAAGTACTATGACCGAACCAAAGAAGGCAACAAAGATGTAAGTGTGTGACTCGGTGAACTTAAATAGTACCACTTTCTCAATTGCAAACACATTCGAAATGGTGTTTTTTAGTGTAAATACACTTATTTGCCAGCATGGACCACTGTGACAAGGTCATGTGACTTTAAAGAAGACTTTTGGTCTCAATGAGTTCTCCCCTGTTTATAGATAAGAGACTTGTTTGTAAGTATACTCTCTGAATAGAAGTATTCGAACGTTTAAGCTTCATTTGGCCCTCAGTCATGAAGCAGTTCCCCACCTGTGTTCTATAAGGAATGTGGAATTTCTACCAGTTGCTCAGGGCCATTAATAAATAAGATCTCATTTATGCAGTGAAAATTTGACTTTTAACAAAGTCTGAAAAATTCTACTTACGGCTTAAGCGCCCATATTCACTTGACTGCTTGTTCTAAACAAAGGTTAAACATTTGCTTTGCTCCCAGGTGTACCTTATGCTGCTACGCCTTTACCTGTGCCCGCCGGACATCCGTGAGTTGGGACCCCTGACCCTCGGGCTTCCTAAGCCCAAGCCCAACCTGCCAGCCGCCCTGCTTCTCCTCGAGCAGCACTACAGCCGCGTGGACACCACACAGGCACGTAGCCTGCCCATGTGCCCCTTGCCGGCAAATTATCCAGAATGTTCTCTGTCCCATCGGATTTTGGACACCAAGCAAAGTTGAGATCGATTATCACTTGGGTGGTGGACTGCCCGAGAATAGCAGATGTTGTAGGCTTTTGCTACACAATGAGCAGGAGATGGCATTATAACAATTGGGTGACTCTAAATGTGGAGGTTTGAGTTGTCTCCTATGTAATGGGTTTCCTCCCATGTAACGCATTAAGTGAATTTACCCAGAATCCCAGTCGAGGACTGTCATAGTAATGAGTCTTAAGGCTCAACGAGGATTTCCCAGAAAAGCAATTTACATTATTTTGCAACCTCTGTTAACCATTCCTGACATTAATAGTGAAACAAATTGTGGAACAGATAGCACCGTCACCCCATGAGCAGACTATCATCACATTGCTGTATGCAAGCTCACATTTGCCAAATCGCATGAGACACGTGGTTGTACACGCCTGTATTCCAGTACTTATTGAGCCAAGGGTAGGGATATTTGCGTTTTTCTCCCTGACAAATACCCATAGGCTTCCATGCTGCTAATTAAATCCATGCGCTTGAAAGATTTTTCATATTTTTTTTTATTGTGTGTCCACGTGCTCTTGCCTCTTGCTCCCATCAATCCGTGCGCAGGCACTGAACCTGTTGCCAGCCAACGTGCAGATCTGCCAGGTGCAGGAGTTCCTGCTGCGGGTTCTGGAGGAGAAGGCGGAGAGCCGCCGCTCGTACCAGATCCTCAAGAGCCTCCAGCTGTCGGAGCACCTGCGGGTGAGCGTGCCCGGCCACATCCCAGACCTGGCGGCCAAATTTATTCTTTCTGCACTCGAACCCAGTGCTGCACGAACGGTTTGCACAAGGTTCAAATTGGGTTGTACGTGTTACACCCCTTTTATCAATTAACTGCTCAAGGAAGGCCTGCCCACGCTGTTCGTAGGGGTCAGATGCGATTCTGCGGCTGTCTGGAACACTTTTCCTTCCAATATTAGGAAGCCACTGGAGCTATGCACTTTTAAATCTAGATTGAAAACTCCGTTCTTTAGAACTGCTTTTCGTGTTTAGTGTTGTCCTTCCCTTGCACCTCCGATTAGCACTGTTGGCTACGTACAGTGCGGAAGAAATAAAAAACGCATACATACGAGGAGTTATTTGACCATACTTCACTACGCTGGCCAGTGTGGGTTGGTGAAGCGAAGAGCATTGCCGGAGTATAGTACAACACAGCAATGTTTTTTCTGCATTGTCAAGTGCTAATAATAAATAAGTTTATATTTCTACACAATGTATTTCGTTGATATCACAAAGCGCTTGTACGTGTGTTGATTTCAACACTGAATACAAAATATCAGGGCAACCAATATATATTAGAACAAAAGTTTGGCTGGCTGGCTGGCTAGCTGGCTGGTTGGCTGGTGCCCAGTCCGGGATCGGCACGTGCGCAGTGGTGACACCACCGTGCACATCTGCATGATGACATCACCCACGTCCCACAACATCGGGCCAGGTTCGTGCGTCGCGCTGACGTCACACCCCACACCTACCCTTCATCCCAGCCATGTATCCCGTGCAAATGCGTGGCCAGTGCTAGTTTATAAACAAAAAAAGTGCTATGCAAGACAATACAATTGGGATGAACAGATCGCATAGAGTCATTGGTCTAGTGCTCCACAAGGGACGTCGAAGTGAGTTTTCAGTCGCGACTTAAAAAAAAACATCGACTCGTCATGGATAGGGTTGGGCAGGAAGGCGTTCAACAGAGGGGGAAGCTCCAAAGTGCTAATGCGGTGATGGTGAATTCGGTTCGATGTTGACCGATTGTGCTGGCGATGTTGGAATTGCTGTTGACACGTACTCTCCCGTTTCCAAAAATCAATTGCGCAGGTTCAGGAGCAAAGGATCTTCTACGAGAGCGTTAAGTGCGTCATCACCGAGGAGAAGTTATGCCGCGTTTGCAAAAAAAAGATCGGGAGCAGGTAAGCGCCAAGACACATTTGTTCACCCACCTGTGGGCACCTGTTTAGGTGGCAAGCTTTAAAAAATATGCATGAAATACTTTCACGGCGACATTACGTTGAGCTATTGCCGCTGTTTATGCTGTTATCCATTGCTTTGTTTATTTGTGCGTTTGCTGTGTGTGTCGTTTGTCTGTTACACATAAAACACACAACTTTTTAATAAACATTTGTCAGTTAATTGAATAAATGTGTAAAACATGCAAGCGATACAATCCATTAGTGTGTTTATGTATAAGCTGAACATGCTTGATGATTTCATACATCTGATTCTTTGCTAATTTCTAACGCTGTCCCATGAAGATTGAAAGCGTTTATGCATTAGCGCTATCCGTTCATAATGGGGGATCGGTAGGAGGAGGGCATAAGTCTCGTAAATATGATCTATTGTGAACCCAACTGTGCTTTATTGAAATCGGCCAAAACTCCAAGACATAAACCAGAGCATGAATGACTGCAGTATTTGCAAATGTGGTTTTTTTCCCAGTGGCAGCTACCCGGTGGCTTCTGTACTGATAATTCAGTATTTCTGCAGACAAACGTATGTTATAAATCTTTTGTAATCCATGCGTTACTTTTTCTTTTGCCATCTCAGTGCTTTCGCCCGGTACCCGTCTGGCGTGCTGGTGCATTACTTCTGCTGCAAGAACCCCATGGAATGCCCATTCGACTCATGAGATTTGCCCTGCCCAGCGGTCAAAACTCCGTCGCAGTCACTGCGGTCGCTCTCTGTGGTCGCTCTCTGTGGTGAGCTCAGAGGTTGGTCACTTTAGCGGGAGGGTATGACGACATCAGGTATCCTAACACTTCCCGTTTCAGTCTCCCACGTCAGGGAGCAACATGTGGTTATTATTATTGTTGTTTGAGAAGTGTATTGATTGCACAAACCCCTCAATCCCCGAAGGCCACTTGGCCTTACTAATGCAAAGAAGGCTCTGTTAGCGTCAATGCGTTGGTAGCGAAGGAGGGGTAAGCTCTGGGCCTCTCGTTAATTATTGCCAAACGTTTATTCTTATTTTTTGGTTGAACGGTCTTTTGCCGTTTGATTAATGTATCAACAAGAGATGAATGTGTAGCACTTTCTGTGCAGCACCCCGACACAAATAAATGCTTTTACCCACACGGCGCATAAAGGTTTTAAACCGTGGCCTACTAACCATGGAAAAGTTTATAATTTGATAAAAAAAATGTGAAAATTATCCTGTAAAACTATTGCAGTTTACAGTCTGTTACCCTTAAAAATGCCCTCAATCGTGTGCTCTGGAATTAAAATACGTGTAAAAATGTGTACATTTGAATGTGGAAAGCAGAGGAATTTGCTTGTAAAATTGTTAACAAACAAAGAACCCTTTAAAGCTGATGTAATAGTCTTTAACAACTGCTAACACTGTCATGTTCTTTGTAAAGGGAAGTGCTATTATATCTGCATACAGCTCATTTGCAGGAATGTTGTGCAAGTAAATTGGACTAATTCATTACAAATCAAAGGCCAAGGTAGAAATCTTAAGGACAGAAAATTAAGTTGAAAAAAAACAAAATTAGTTACTCTTTGGTTAGTTGCTATTTTTCCCATTGCCAAAACTATATCAATCCATGTCAATTGAAGGAACAAAAATACTGATTCAACATTGAAATGCCATCTGACTCCTGTACTGAAGGTAGCCATTTTTTGGTCTTTAGTTTCTTTAAAAACAAATGTGATGTTTTTAATTTCTTGAACATGACTTTGACATTGCATCTACACACACTCTAACCGAGAAGAAACTATTTACGAATCCGTATAAAACGTGACTCTCATTAAAGCTTACAATTTGTGTTGATCCGTCTCGGACATGAGCCTAACTAGGCGTGAATCTACAAAGAGCTTGTGTTTTTGTGGGTTTTATCTTGATGTAAGCACCCTGCCTCCCTTGAAAGGGAAAAAATAAATAAATCAAATGTAAAGATTTATGATAATATTCAAGTGTAAGTACACCTGTTATATTTTAAGGGTTGACAATTAAAATGCCTCAAAGTTATTAATATATCTCAGTTGCCATTTCTAAAAAAAAATCAGTTTACCTTTTAAGACTATAATAAGCATCATGTACATAGATTACAAATATATTAATGGTACTAAGATATTTCTTCATTTATCTTGTTTTTTTTTTGTCCCGTGAGGGAGTTTGCTTCCTGTTTACATGTTTTAACCTTTGTGTTGAAAAATTTGTGTTTTAGCCCTTGTACAATAGTAACCATGGCTTGAGTCATGCTGCTGACAACACTTAGGTTGGCGCGTGGGTCACTACTACACGCATACGCTGTGTTGAAATGAATAAAAAAAACATGAATCTTTGGCGAGCACTGCACATGTGCATAGTGTTGCTTTTGTGTCATTAAATGTGAAGGTTCACAGTCTGAAGACATTTTCTGAAGGATCTAATATTTTATATTTTGACTATTTGCCTATCTCTATCATCACTTATAATTCTGAACTTCTCTTGTTCCAAGTAAACTCCAAGCACTGATTGAAATTGTCAGACAGTTCTGGCAAGTGACACCCAAACACGATTTGAAATAACACTGCGTTCTATGACACCACACTCCATACCGCTCCACTTGTGTGCCGATCACTGGAACGTGGCGTCGGTATTTTAAACTTTCCAGTTTTTCGGTGGTTCCGTTTAATGTGGATGGACTCCCATCAGTTTGGATCAATGGATCAACTACCTGCTTGCATAGATTTTTTTTTTTTACAAAAGCACCCCATCTAGTGTGGAGTCAATGCTTGAAACAGTAGGCTGTGCTGGTGTCAGAAACCAAATCCAAAACGTTTACATTCACCCACAAGTGAATTGTTAAAAGGTTAACCGTTGGATCTATTTAACACTTGGAACTCCACTTACCAGTGGAAAATTTGCGGATGAACGTTGACGTTTTTCTGTAGGTCGGACCGGACACGCATCTCACCCACCCCTGTCCTCGCCACACATCTCACACATCTCTCACTTCAAAAGGCATCTCTGTCACAGGTCGCAACACCCCTTTTTCACACATCTCATATGTGCGCACATTGATTTTTGTTTAGTTTGTCCGATTAGCACGGTTGGCTACGTAAGGTGCAAACGAAGTTGCATACACATCTCAACACGCTTTATACATGACACTCAAATCACCAGTATCACCGCACACCGACGGTGTGCAAGCCTTCCCAACTCCCAATGCACTCCACGGGGGGGGGGGGAGGAGATTAAACAAAAAGCACTCCGAGGAAAATGGAAATTACTATAAATAAGGTTTCCCTGCCTGCACCAGCCCCCAGTGACTTTTCTGCAAACGAGCAGTACTGTCGAGATGAGGCCTTCATGTGGCACGTGGTCTTGTCGGATTGGAGACAGTTCATGATGTTGACTTAAGTAGAAAAAATTATTTGCTCCAACTTGTCCATCGACAACACTTTGCGATACGAATTTGACATTCGAGCTATTTTTACAATTACGATTAGCACGGTTGACTACGTACGGTGCGATAGTAGTTCAACACACAGAACCTCGTTTTTCCTTTATGGCTCTGGTGGCCAATTCCTCTTAATCAACCTTATGACGCAAGCTTTAATACAAACAAAACCCTATACACCACTAACCAGATCACTAATTATTCACCTTTGACTACAACGAATTTGTAGTCCTGCATCGGCTGAAATAATCCCCGAGTCTCAAGACACTAACCCTTTTTGAAGCCTTCCCCCTATCGCTTGCTTGATTTCCGGCTGCAGCTCCGTCTCGGGTTTCCTTCAAACGATGGTCGCTTCCCCGTTGGCAGACTGCGGGGACAGATTCTAGAGGAAGCGTTTGTGACGCGAGCCGGGCGTCTCCCCACTGGGTACCTGCCACTCCCCAGAAGTTCTTCATCCCCCCCCCCCATACAGTACCCTTCCTCTCACGTCATCCTTTTTATTTTACTGCACGAGAATTATTTTGAGCAACTCAAAAGTCATCACAGCTAATCCATTAAATCGGATAATCTCCCACCAGCTCGCCTCTTCCACACATTAATTTATTTTTACGAGGGAAAGCCCACTGAGCTCTATAGCTTTTTTTCAGACGTGACCTGGCCACACATGATAAAGTTCATAATACTTACCACGTGTAAATGTATCGCAGGAGCCAAATAATCTTAAGTGGAGGCAAACAAACCAGAGAACCCGGAGAACAATCCACAACCACAGGGAGAGCATGCACGATTCAAATATACAACAGGCATTTTCAGGATCTCGGATCGAACCTGCAGACCTTCTGCAGACCAGGAGAGAACATCTCACCACGACGCCCCCACATGAACGCGAAGATGTGCTCGTTTATTTTTTATCCCAGATTCATTGTATTAATTGTATTGGAAAATGTAATACAATGTAGATAGTTTTTCTTGTCCATGTTGGCTGTAATTGCGATTTTTTTTAAACCGTTCTAATAATTGTGACCAAAATGAATGTAAAAATTACTAGTAAGGTAAACTCTAAGCAACCGCTGCCAGATATCACAGCGTTAGCAGAGGCGTCTCAAATTCCAGACCTCGGGCCCACACTTAACTACCAGGGCGTCCTTATTTACTGATAAGCGGGGCGCGTTCAATGATCGTCTAGAGTAATTGCTTCAATTATTTGAAGGCTACTGTGGAGTGTGAAAAGTCAGTGACCACGGTGGAGATGAGGTCACTGGAGCCCAGAAAAACCTAATATTTGAGCACTGGGCAGTAGCCATGACACCATAAAGTAGGCCAATGAGTGTTGTGGTTTTATTCTAGTAAACTTTGATAGAAACACATGCTTCCTGGAAGAAAAAAACACATGGCTTTTACATTTAGCAAAGTAATTTTATTTGCCAATAGCATTGAGGTGAATGGAGCACAAAATGTGCAAGTACATTTTGCTAAATGTGTTTGTGCACACACGTGGTGGAATAAATACGAATGATCAGAGTGACAAGTTGGCCATTTGGGGCCTGTAATGTCCTCCCTTGTGCCTGGACGGGATGAACTTTTTTTTTACGAAAATGGCAGCATATTTGGTGAAACTTTAAATTCTATTCGTGTACTTTATGAGCACGTATAATTTGCATGTCCGTTGTTTTAAACAAGCAACTAACACAATAAAGCGACAATCTCTGTTAAACCTGGCACTGGTGTTCGTTAGTTACAGAGCCTTCGGCCTGCCTGAGCGGAGATGGTTTCTTCATCCAGATTTTCTGGCTCCTGCTCAGTGCAACCACATGACGGCGGCGTTCCAGGTTACGGAAAACCTCAACAAAACGCCACTTTGTCGTCTTACTCTGCAAAATTATTTCCGCTCGTTATAGGAGGCTGCGATTGATTCCACCTTGTCGATGCTGCCACCAACTCAGCCGTCGTGAAATTATGGCAAGCCAGTGAGGGCTTCATTTCTCACAAAATATTTTCTGATTTTGCCGCTAGTCCACGGAGAGTTTGCTCTGGGTTGGTGACAGCATGTGCAGGTGGGCCCTGTTAGCAGGAACTCCATTCCCACGGGCGACCCAATCTTTTAATGCGTGCTCTTGGACAATGGGGGGGGGGGGGGTTATTGGTCTCCCGATGGCAAAAGGTATGTGCAAAATCATGACAAAAACATGTTACAAAGAGGCTTAATAATGGCTACAAGAGTTGGTGAGGTTGAGCCACAGACAACTGTCCGCTGCTTGGCGGATACACCTTCGGTCTACAACTTGAGAAACACAGGTGCGGTACAAAGTGTACCGCTTCCCAACCAGACGGGTAAACACAGTTCGCTGCCTAACTCTAACCCCAGCTTAGACCCCCTGCCCATCCGACACTGACTCGTTATCAACTAACCCTTGTTGCACTTGAACACATCTGCCCCCACCTCCTAAAGCATATGAACACACAACATTGACAGACTCGTCTTAACAATATAAGTTAATTTGTAACAAACGCCCTTCAGATAACGTCTCGTCGCAAATGCCGAGTCCAACAAACGGTGCTAAACATGGGCTTTTCGAAAACTAGTACACAGTTAATTTGGGAATGGTAAATACAAAATAATAATAATCATAACAATGACTACACAACTACCTCACAGGTGAGTGCACGAGTACTTTCGGAATTGCGAAAGGGGAGGCGCTCCCTTTCCGTGCGTTCAAGCACACGAATGGCCACATTTTGTTGCTGCTGACAAACGTGGCGATCTGGTCGTATGGAGTATCCCACTTTCGAGACTTTCTGTACGGCCGATGGATTGGTCGACTCACAGGAAAGGCTGCTCCTCCGTTGATTCCATGGCTACAGCGAATCATCCCGCCCACCCTAGGCTCGCAACAGACCGACCGCCACCTCACTCGCGGGACTTGTCCGTCTCATCGCAAACCCCGCAGTGGACTTTCCTGTTTGCAGTCAAATTCACTGCTTCCCCCTAAGCTCCCCACCCCACCCAGCGTGGGGCTTCTCGCCCTCTCCCATAAAGCCTCCCCCTGCAGCGAGGCCCCCTTCCTGACCAAAAAAACCCATGTAACGATTCGTCCCCTTCCACGATTGGAGGTCCCCGTTCGTTTCTCTCGGTTTGGTGGAACGAGTGGACTGTACAGTGGTTGCAGGGCTGTATCCATTCAATTCTTATACATGCTGTTTCATGCCGTGTATCGTAAGGATAAGAATATAGCAAATTTAAGTTTTACTTAAGATGTAAAGATGCATTGATTCATAAATCAAAATCTATTCTTAGGCTCACAATTACGTGCATTGAATCACATGTTTAGGAATCTATGACTGTTGATGTGAACACGTTGTACGTGTTTGTTTCATGTAAACCCTGTAAATCCTGCAAACCAATAACAAATAAGTTCTTGAATCGAATCATGACCCTCAATAACAAATCATCCAATCACAGTGGGGATGTGAATTATTACATGCCTACACCAAACCTCTGTCCAGAATCCCCACCTCATTCAATCCCGATTCCTGAAGGGCACGAGACACTAGGGAAAATGTAGGGCAATTGTTGCCGGCAATTACCATCAGCAATCATTGTTGCTCCGTTTCTTATTTGAAAAATGTAGTTGCCTAAAGGGTGGACAAATCTGCTGCACATAGAGATCAAATGTGACAGCAACTTTCCAATCAGATAAGAGACAAAGGTCATATAAAAATCCAAGGGGGTTTACTCAGTAGACCAATCATCATTCAAAAGTCACACAACGACCCAATGTGGTGCGGTCTGTGGACCAATCATTGTTCCGTCACAATTTTCAACAAAATCATTGGCCAGATAGAACTCCATTACTCTGTGCCACTGCACTACCACAAGTTTGCCAGAACCGGTTGAACGATTGCCCTAATAATCGCCCGAGAGCAGCGTGGCCTTAACTCAGTTGTAGTACACGCGGTAGTAAAGGGTCTTGGAGCGCCACAGCGAATAGGAATTGTCGAACTTGAGGTGGTAGAGGCCGATGCCCGGGTAGCAGTGCGTGCCACACTGCACCAGCTCGTGGCAGTTGCGACGGCACAGGGGCTCCACCTCGTCGAGGGGCGGCTCCGAGGGGCGGCTGCTGCCCCGCTCCACGTCTCCCATGCCGCCGTCTGCTGTGGCTGCGGCTGTGACGCACACGGGGGGGGGGGGGGGGGGGGGGGCATGCCGGCGGGATATTGCGTGGAGCCCAACTGCAATGGCCTAACCCTGACCCTCATCCTGACTACAACCCTCACCCCCTAGCCCTGACTCTTAAACCTAATCCTAACCTGGACCATAATCCGTAACGATAAGTTCAATCCTGACCATAACCATGGCCCTGACCCCTAATCCTGACTTCAACCTTGACCCCTAACCTTAATGCCCAACCCTGACCCTAACCATAAGCCTTATTCATAACCCTGACCCTAAACCTTATTCCTAACATTGATCCTAACCCTAATTCCTAACCCTTACTCTAAGCCGAAGCCGAATTCCTAACCCCGAGCCTAATCCCTGACCAACATTTACCCCCGGCGCAAACCCACCTCCGACGGGGCCGGCTCCACCCTCGCCGCTCCCCTGCACGCCCTCGTCATCGTCCTCGTCCTCCTCGTCGCTGGACTCACTCACGCTCACCGTGACGTCGCAGCCCGGCTCCTCGTTCCACTCGAAATAGAGGCCGAATGCCAAGTCGTAGCTGTGGGGCCGGCGAGGGAGAGGCTTAGGAGAACTAGTGGCTGCAATACTCTCCGGACCGACCGCTGTTCACAAAACACACTTCTCATGGAAACACGTGGAATGGACACCGCCCAATCTATGCCACTTCCCGACCAAGTTGCCTTGACTTGCCCACAGTAAACGTGCTGCGAGTAACCATTGCCGCCCCCCACCCCATTGTTATTTCCCGACTGTTTATTAACACCGGCAAAGGCACACGAAGACGTGCTGTGCCCAGCAGCGCACAAGCCTGGTCAGCTTTGTCCTCTGAATACTGATGGTGACCACACGACATACTCATTACATTCTTTGTATTCTTTGGTTCTTTCGGTTAAGTCACGTAGATAGAAAATACAATATACTCAAATTGACCACATGCTCACACACACACATACCTAGACCCTCGATACACACCAAAGACATGCAATGCACGTGCAATACACAAAATCAACATGCGTTACGCACGCATTATAGAACATGACACGACATGTGGCAATGGGCTGGGCGACTCGTTCGCTTAAACGACTGGGTAGACTACTATATGGTTCGGAAGCTGGATGGTTGTATAACTGGTTGCTATTTGATGCCCCCAGGGTCTGGAATGCTATTGCCAATAAACTGCAACTTGAATCACTACCTATGCGATCTTCACTCAAAACTGCTCTAGAGGAGTTGTACACCCCTAGCTGCCACTGCTATTCAGTGGCCTAAAATAAAATAAAATGTTTCGCTCCGGATGACCGCTGCAAAGTATGATCTGTATTTAGATTTAGTGTGCTGATATTTAAGGTGCATTGAAACAATTTATACTCCGACTGATGCTCCTGTTGTTGTGGAGTGACTCATGCAGCCAGCTATGGCTCTAGGGTTTGGTGTTACATGTTATTTATGTAGTTTATTGTGAAAATTCGGTCACAGTTCCTATGATCACTGTTACATTGCTTTTATGGCTTTATTTTGGTGATGTCGAAAACGTTTTTTGGTTTGGCCATGTGTGTTGTAGTACGGAGTTAGACTGATGGCCTTAATCTAAGTTGTCTTGTGGTTGTTGTTTGACTTGCATCCCACTGGGATTTTTGCACACAGCGTTGTTGGTGTATGGTGCTTTTTCAGAATATTTTGCTGTTTTTTCCTGGATTTTCTGTTTGCACAGTCCCATAGTCACTTTAAGATGTTTTCTTGTTCATGTGTTTTAGTTTTTTGTTTGTTGCGGTTGCACCCGATTCAAGAGCCGAATGGCTCACAGGGCTATACCAAATAAATGAAAACTGAAAACTGAAAATGACTCAGTAACTGTCTAGTTTAGTGGGCGACTGGCTGGCTGAGTGACATATGGAAACTGATGAAAAAAATATGGAACGACATGCACGAGCATAAAGAGATGAATGCTTGGAATTACACTGCAAGCCGATAAGAGGAGCACGTGGCTTCGAGGATATGCTAAAGTTAGAGACGCCACATTGATCGTTAACAAACATAAGTGGGCCGAGGCAGGACACGTCGCCAAAAGCAATGATGGCCAACGGCTGAGACTAAACACGGAGCGGCATCCAAAGCAGGGAACACGCACGAAGGTACATCCTTCGTGGAGAGCGTGCAGTGAATTCCCTGGTGCTAGCTAGACAGATTGCTGCACCGCAGGACCGTGCAAGATGGCGACGGCCTTCATCCTGCAGCGGATCGATGACAAGCCAATGATGACGATGACGATGGGTCGCACCTGTCCGTGGCGAACTCCCAGCAGAGGTGTGAGGCCCCGGGGCGGGTGGGGACCCGCACGGTGCCCACCTCGCCGCACCCAATGCGCAGCACTCCGTGTGGCTCCTGCGCCACGCGCGTCTTGAACTGCCGCAGTTCGCTGCTCGTCCATAGCACGGGTGGCACCATCGCGGGTTTTTCTGCTCGGCGGGAGGTCGGAGAAGGGGAGACGAAAGCGGCTCGGTGAGGACTTTCATTCTCATCACGAGCACCAGCAGCAGAAGTGGCAGTGATAGATGTCGTTATGAGTCCGAGCTTAATGTAAATGTATTTGATGTACAAGTTAAACACGATCTGCCGTGGCTCGTCATCACTTTAATACCCACGTGACCTTATTGTGGCAAAGCCAGGCAGGAGGAGGAAACGGGTTTGGGTTCAGACATTGGCGTTTGCAACCGCCGCTCTATCAGGTTCATTCATGTGGAAATATGCATTGATGATGATATTGATGATATTGCTCCTGGAGATGATGATTGATAAGATTGTAAAAAAATTATGAAGATCATGTTTATTAAAATGTAAATCAGCACGATAATGATGCTGAACATGATCACCATGTTGATACCATTGGACAATGATATTTAAAAATGGTGATGATGATGAAAATGATTACAATGATATTGTTACGATTAATGATTATATGTTAGCTGCTGCTGATGATGTCGATGTACCTTTTTTCAGGGGCATGAGGGTTCCATCAGGGCCCAACACCTTCGCTACCTCACTCTGCATTCGAGACGCAATATTCACAGATTCCACCACCGCACTTGCGTTAAACAGACACCGTCCCCCAAAGACAAAGATCCCTCGTGCAGCCTTAACAGACTGTTGGGGCAAGTGCTGTTAGCGAGTAGCACCTATGAAGGCCGGCATGGCACACGAGGGGATGGGTGGCCAGCACCACGCCCAGCTGCCTTTGTCTCCCCAGTGACGACGATTACGCACCGCAGCAGGTACTCATTTGAGACTGAGTTCACCAAGCGGAGGACCAGGACCAGTTCAAATAATAGTCACTGGCGTTGGCCGCGAGTGGGAAGCGAACTCAGGTCGCCGGGTTCGTAGCGCGGTGCACTAACCCGCTCCACGCACACACACTCACGTTAACCAGACCCTACCCCCCACACACATTGTTACCACACACAGGCTATGCACTGAGGTGCCTGACCCATTCCATTCACGAGCACTTGGCATGTGGGAAGAAAATGTAAAAACCCGGAGAAACCCCCCCCCCCAAGTATTTTGGGATACCACTGAAACGGTTAGGATGGAAGTGTAATTGGCTAGTGTGCTTAGGGTTATGGCCAAAGCTAGTGTCTGATTGGATAGTGGGGTTAGGGGAAAAGCTAGTAACTGTTTGGCAAGTGTCTGGTGAGTGTGATGCATGCTGAGCTCACCTGAGATTTGCCTAATCCATCCACCTGTCCATGCAGCTCACCTAGGCTGAACACGCACACGTGCGCACAGACAAAAACACTCACATGTATGCACACATTCGTAAACATGACCAAAGGCAAAGTCCCCTCATATAGCGAGAACCTTTGAAGACCGGCATGGCACATGAGGGGGTGGGTAGCCAGCACCACGCCCAAACGCCTTTATCTCCCTAGTGACGATGTTTAAACGCCATACCAGGTACTCATTTGAGGCAGTCGACCTTGGGGGGGCCCAGGCCCGGTTCAGATAATCGTCACTGGTGGTGGCCGTGAGCGGGAATCGAACTCGGGTGACCGCGTTCGTAGCACAGCGCGCTAACCGCTGCCGCTCCCTACATCAACAGCCATTCGCCAAAGTGGCGGTGATGTCACCACGGCGCTTGTGCTAGACGAGGTGCTCCCCACATACAAATACAAAGATCCCCTGTATAGGCTTAATAGACTGTTGGGGCAAGTGATGTTAGCGAGCACCTATGAAGGCCGGCATACATAAACACACGCACACACACACAGGGGTGCCGATGATTAAAGGGTTCGTGTGAACAACTGATGGGGGAGGGGGGGGGGCACAGGTGACGTTTTCACAGCCGTCGTGGTTAATGATTAACGCGCCGAGTGAGTCTTGATTGCCTCGTGCCTGGGCACATCACGGTTTAATGCAATCAGCCACTCACCCACGCGTTAAACAGCATACACAGTAATCTGAGATTGGTGATCGCTCAACGACGACATAACTAAATTGGAATATAAACAGTTATTAGGGCATGTGGATATTCATCGATATTTCCTTCGATATATCTCGCTTCTTGCATTCACGGTTCATGCCGCGTGAGGAATTATCTACACTTTATGTAAATTACACACCGATGTTACATTTAGGCATGGTGTTAACTTACAAAACTGTATGAATGAGACCGGAACAACAAAAACACAAATGAGATTGTAAAAATAAAACACAATCGATGTTTGAATCGAATTGTCACCCTGAATTGTGACAATTCATTGATCATTGGACAGCAGGGAGGAGATACTGCCTTTTCCATGAGAATGCAGAATTTCCACCAGTCGATCACAAGAATATGAGCACCATGCAATACTCGGTTGAGAAGGGAGAAAGTGAAATTATTTGTTTACGAGGTAAACGCAGCCTGAAATTGTTGACATTTACAGAGTTATTAATAAAGCATGGAAATACTATAACTATTTAAACAACACAATATTATAGTAATTAACAAGGTGTGGAAACACATTGATATTTTGAGTCTTAATATTATGACAGTTATTAATATTATTGTTAAATAGGTCATGAGGTGACGGACAATTTGACTTTTTGGACTTATTTCCAAACGCTTCATTCCAACTGCGCTATTTCTGTCAAGCCAAGGGACGAAGCATCCATTGAGAAGTCTCGTAGAGCAGTACGTCATCCCATGTTAGAGAACAGCCCGCAAAAGCAGATATCACAGATGTACCTCCGAGCTCCCTTCTGACTTCTTGTAACCTCTCTTTAGCCATGCTGGAGGTGCTGCACTTTCTACCTCCCCTGCTATGGAGATGTTATCATGTGGCAGTCAAACCAAAAACATTAGCTTTTAAAGCCAAATAAAACAAAAATATAAACTTTATGATAATTATTGTTGTAGTTAACTAGGATTGGACTGACATTCAACATTGCTATGGCAGGAACGACTTCATCCATAGGACAACCACTTTTGTTTCATCAACCGCGGAAGAACGATGACGGAGCCAACCCCCCAACTAGCAATTTAACTCGCTACCTTCCGATTGCAATCATCTTGCTCTACCGCTGACCCACCACAGTAATTAAAACTGCACCCACAATATCCGCCAGAAATGTACTCTCACAATGATAACAATCATCATAAACTTTTATCGTTGACCCTGCGTCCAGCGACCACTACGACCGCCATTACGAGAGCACGGGAGAGGCTGGGATCGGGCTCGAACCTGCGCCCTTCGCTTCGCTGGGCAAGCATGTAGGACACGAAAAGCGGGCAGTGGGCGATAAGCAGCTGCGTGAAGTGGGCGCGAGCGTCGTCCGAAGGGGCCGAGTCGCCCGTGTCCCCCGGCCGCGACCCCGACGACTCGACCTGGGAGCCGGGCACCACCCCCTCGGCCTCGGCTCGTTCACACGCCGCCTGCAGCCGAGCACGGTCCTGGGCGCTTGCAGGGAAACCCTCACCCACGTTGTCTGCGGGAGAGAGCATGGGCAGGGAGGGAGAGAGAGCAGGAGAGAGCAGGCGAGAGAAGAGGGAGAGACCAGGGTGCAGTGAGGATGTGACACTGTATGTGTGATTGTACGAGTGTGGGAGTGGTAGTATGGCAGTTAGCGCGCTGCGCTACCAACCCAGCAGCCTCGGTTCGATTCCCGCTAATGGCCGACACCAGTGACAATTATCTGAACCGGTCCTGGGCCTCCCCTAGGTCGACTCAGACTGAACTTAGTACCTGGTGCGGTGTGTAAACATCACCACTGGGGAGACAAAGGCGGCCGGGCGTAGTGTTGGCCACCCACCCCCTCTTGTGCCATTCCGGCCTTCATAGGCGCTCACCAAGAGCACTTGCCCCAACAGTCTGGTATGGCTACATGGGGGATCTCGGCTTTAAATGAGTTCCTGATGCCGCACGTAAACATCACCATTTCATTCCCTACGCCTTCACTTCGCCTCACATTTCGTAAACAAGTCGTATATTACTGAATTGTGTTTAAACCATAAAAAAACACACGTGCCCAGTCGCAGCAGCAAGGTGGGGGGGGGGGGGGGTAATGATACGTCACGTCGAAGCACCCTTCCAGCTAAAATAACGGTGCTTGTCGCAGTCAATTCCATAAACTTCCATGACCTCAGAACTCCATGGTTATGGTCACGTAGCAGATGACAATTGATTGTGGATCGAACCATTCTTCACTGAGTGGAGGGTGGGGTGGCGGGAGTGAGGGGATGAGCACCGGGCCAGATAAACCATCCTGCCAATTAACGCAGCAGTGAAGAAGTAGGGGAAAAAAAAAACCCGAGATGGGGTGGTTGTGGCCGGGGTGGTTGTGGCCGGCCATTTTCACACAGCCCATTATGACATCGCGTCTCTAAGCCAGCGCCTTGGAAGCAAGGTTGGTGGATCAAGGAAAGAGAAGGCGCAATTGAACGTTTGACACAAAGCACACCCGCTCGGGAGATGAGGTGGGGTTGTCTGTAGGAGGTGGCAATACAGCAATAAGCATTTAAAAATTACTGTGGCAACATATAGCATCACAGTTGTCATATAAACAGACAAAAAGTCAATTTCCCTAAGTAAATAAAAAAATATATATTAAATTTTAGCCTTCTGGATCAATCTGGTTTTGCCTTCTCCGAGTCTCATCAGCAGAGTGTGGCCTGTTAAATAAACGAGGCTATTGGGTTTTATACAACGTTGCTACTTTGTGTTGATGGGCCCCGTAGTTTTAAGTGGAGTGTTTTTTGCCAATAATATTTGGAAACGGAGCAGTATTTAATCAACAGATCTGACACTACTGGTGGAGACCCAGACGATCAATACTGGTCCACAGTTTTCCTGATTAACTAAATGCTGCTGTAAAACCCTTGGACTGGAAGGACAAGAGGATGGATTTGTAATAAGGTGTAACAGAGCTTTGGGCATGTATATAGCACAGCAAGTAGGTTTCTCAGAGGCTGAGTTTGAGCATTGTCTCTCCGTATGCACTTTGAAAAAAAGGAGATAAGCTCACAATGTCTTCCTCTTTTACACAAACCAGCCCCATGGCGTTCTATGTGATAATTTCAGAAGCATTGATTCAGCACAAGCAAACTCTGGGACCGGTCTCAACATGCATTATCTCATCAGCAGTCAGGTTTGCTTTAAAAAAAAAGATTGCTTTTAAATATTTAAATAACGCTTTATAATTTAAGTATGTTTTCAAACCTCAGCACATCATAGTCCATAAAGAGGAGCCGACATTTAACCCTAGGTGACCCTGGCAGAAGGCAACTGCTGCCTTGATATAAGCTGTCACCAACGTATGAATAACGCTATATTGATTAAGAAGCCCAGAGAAGTGGGTACATAACGTGCACCGTACAATACTTTGGTTACGAAAATTAATTTGCAAACCATAAACAACTCGTAAAACTATACTACAAACCAACTGCCATGCACAAGGCACTTTGTCATGGCTGGGACACACATTCAGGGTGGAGGAGGGCAGGGTATAGCGACAGGCGATGGAGTGGCGCCCAGAGGTTACAGACTAAGCGGGTGGGGTGGGGGGGTGAAATACCTCAAGCCCGATTCTAGTGGTGGTGGTGATGAAAGTGTACAACCAATTCTTGCAACTAGTGTGGAATCTGGCAGAAGGAAGGAAGGAAGCATCAACTGAGACCTCTGCGCCTTCATCTTTTCGCGGCTGCACGTTTTAATAAATTTCAGTCTGTTGTTGCTATGAGTCAAACATTCTGGACTGTCCTCTCTGCTCTGACAGAGGGGCCATTGCCAGGGATACTATTTCCCAAGGCGCGTGCGTACGTGTCACGATGTGTGGGTGCCACGGCGAGTATATACCACGGTGTGTGTGCATATGTGTGGGGAAGCGGTGGCCCAAGTTCAATTCCCGCTCAAGTCCAACACCATTGACGACTATCTGAACCGCGGTTCTAGGTCTTCCCTAGGTCGACTCAGCCTCAAATGAGTACCTGGTGCCATTGTGTAAACATCGCCACTCGGGAGACAAAGGCGGTCGGGCGTGGTGCTGGCCTTCATCGGTGCTCGCTAATAAAACTTGCCCCAACAGCCTGTTAAGGAAATTCTGGGGATCTTTGTCTTTTGTCCCACTGTGTGGGGGAGTGGTGACGTAGCGTTTAGCGCTTTGCGTTACGAACCCAGCAGCCCAAATTCGATTCCAGCTCATGACCAACACCATTGACGATTATTTGAACCAGTCCTGAGCCTCCCCTAATCCGACTCTGCCTCAAACGAGTACCTGGTGCCGTTGTGTAAATATCGCCATTTGGGAGACAAATGCGGCCGGGCGTGATGCTGGAACTCACCCCCTTGTGTTCCACGCTGGCCTTCACAGATGCTCGCTAACAGCACTTTCCCCAACAGCCTGTTAAAGGCTATACGGGGGAGCTTTGTTTTATGCAATGGTGCGAGTTCCCTGTGGCAAACGCTTTCTGAAAATAACTCATGATTACCGTGTCCCAGAGCGGGATCTCAGGGCAGGGGTCCCCTACACCCGGGGGCTCACGTAAAGTGCAAGGCTTGGCTCAAACATCGGTTGGCATGGATTACCATGATTATAATCATTGTTACAATGACCATCGTAATCATTACCATCATCATAATCATTACCATCATGATCACCATCCCCCACAAAATCATCAATGCCATGAATACTACTATCCCCATATGCCATCACAATCATATCACTGCAATCATCACCACCCCCATTTCATATAAATCCTACATTTGGGCAGGTAAGAAAAAAGGTTTTTAAAAAATACATTTATGCTATCGCGAGACTTTATATATATGCGACAAACTGGAAAGTGTTTTTGTTTACTGGGGATTTTTTCTCCATGCGGTTACCAGTCATGCAAAAACAAACAATGTTAACAACCAGATTGCAAATTCACACACCACCCTAGACAGTGGCATGGTAGAGACACGACCTACCACTGTGTACACGCACACGCCTCTCGCCCCCATTAGTGTCCACATACGCAGTGTACGCTGCTTGTTCCCGTCTGCTCCACGCTTGGAATCGCTGGGTACGAGATGTTACGCCACTTGTTCGCCTTTTGTGGTCAATATGCAAGCAGTTTTTTTTGGGCATTTTCCACTCAAAAGACCGTTCGTCTCTCACCATCTGAGCTTCATTGCTACACATGTGCCACGCTGTTTGAGAGTACCCTATGCAGGTTGATACACCAGCAAGTGGCTTATTATTATGTTTTTGTAGATCACACATATGCCCAATCTGACCGTATTGGTCTCAAGCCCACTGTTGAGGACGATGGTGATATGATGCCCATATCACAAACACCTTTTTAGGCTGAATCTACCTAGTAGAGGGCCCAGGTTCAGATTGAAGGCGTCCGAGAGGACTTCCACCGCAGCGATGGAGCATTGACATCTATTCGTGTGGCAGGTACATCGCAGAATCGTTACCCCCACCTCTGATTCGTACAGTTGGCTACGTAAAGATGCGCAAAATAAGTTCAACCTCCATACATACGGGAGAGATGGCGGCAGCTTGGGAGGCCTTCATTCAGCAGTGGATTTGCTCACGGCTAAACGTGATCACGTGCATGCAGCGCGGCCAGGATTCGAACTCAGAAAGTGTGGTCGTCATTGTAAGCGAAATGAACAAACCGCTGTGACACGATTCCAATCTCACGTCATCTCCCACAATGTTGGCCGCAAACGCTGTTGAGTCCGGTCCCGGTCTGCGAGCACCTATTAAGGCCACAGTGCAGCACAGGTGGGGGTTATGTTAGAGGTGGTGGTTGACGGTGGTATTCGTGAGGCCATAACAACACACACCAACCGCCTTCATGTCCAACCCATAGATGGCCACCGTTGTCAAGTATGGTCAAACAACCCACACGGACGTGGGGAGGCCCTGATCCAGCAGTGGATTGACAAAACGATATGCACAGTGCTAATGTGCAGAACCCTTATGCCAAGCCAACCTGGGTAATGTCCACCACTCAGTTTGGATACTATTTGGCCATTTGGATGGATGTTGATGTTTATGATGTTAATTTTAAGCCAGGAATGGAAGCTCACTGCCACCGAAGACAAAGACATCACTGTGTGTAGCTATACCGTACACTCTGTTGGGGGGGGGGGGGCACGTGCAGTTTGCGAGCACCTATTAAGGCCCTGTAACGGTACAACTACACGAGGGCGTGGTTGTGATCAGCACCACATCCACCCGTCTTTGACTCCTTTGATGGTTGATGTTTTACTAAACCAGCACCGTGTATTAATTAATCATTTAAGGGCCCATCAACCTAGTTGAGACTCGGGGACAAATTCGCATACCAAAAAAATCAACAGGTTTTGATGTTCACTATGATGGTGGTGATGATGATGCTGCTGATATTGCTGCTGCTGATATTGTTGATGATTATTACCATGTTGTTATGTATGTGCACGATTATTTTGTTGTTTATGATGGAGATGACGATCGTGTTGATGTTTACGATTGTATTGATGTTGAAGATGTCGATAGTTATATTGCTGCTGCTGCTGATGTTTAGTATGTAAACGTTGGTCATGACGACCATACTAACGATTGTAGTTATGATGTGGATTATTGTGTTTATTACAATGGCGTTACGGATGATGATGAAGATGACCATGACGACGAACCATGGCCAGGAATAATACCAGTCTCCAAAACCAATCCCCCTCCACCAATAGAATTGATCACAAGCTCACACCGACGCCACTAATCACCCACCACTCGCCACACGCAATTAACTAATGATCAATTAGGGGTGGGGGAAGGGGAGAGCCCCTCTCTCCTCACCTTTGTAAAACCGCAGGGCGAGGATGAAGAGCTCTCTCCGAGGGATGCCCCAGCGCTCCTCAAGGGCGGCACCCTCGCTGCGTGCTGCCAGAGTCGGCAGGGCGTCGGGCGCAGCGTTACCGTGGCCGGGGCCGTGTACGTCCGTGCTCTGCACCGTTAGGGAGGCGGTGGCGGCCTCCAGCATTTGCATGGCGCCCTCCGTGGCCATTCTGTCCCGTCTCCCGTGTTTGTCTGCCCGCGTCTCCCCTGTATATGTCCTCGTCGCCCTCTCTCCCGGTCTGTACAGTGCCTCCTTCCTGTCCTATATCCGCCTCGCTGTTGCCTCCAGAATCCTGCCTCTCTCTCTCTCTCACTCTCCCCCCCGTCTGCCTTCGTGTCTCCGTGTGTCTCTGCCCTGTGTCCGTGTGTCTCGCCGTCTCCCCCCTAGTCTCCGTGTCCGTCTCCGTGCCTCAATCTCCTTCCCCGGTCTCTCTCTCCGCGCCCTTCCCGTCCGTCTTTGTTTCTCCCCCCACCACCACCACCACTTCTTCCCAAGGCTTGTCCCTCTCTCACGCATGCATCTGCGCGTGTCTCCTTGTTACAAACCTGCCCCCTCCCCCCACACACCACACACCTCACCCCGACCCGCCGCTCCCCTGTCCGCGTAATATTCCTCTTACGGCGCCTTCCCTTCGCCTACCACCACCAGGCGCCGCGCGTCCGCCTTTGTCTCTCTCTGTGTCTCTCTCTTCCCCGTGTCTCCTTCTCGGTGTCTCCCCTGCTTTGGTGACGTGACCGGTGCCGGGAGGATGGTTGATGAAGATGATGATGGTGGTGGGAGGAGGGAGGATGTTTAATGATGATGATGGTGGTGGGAGGAGGATGGCGGTGGTGGTTGTGGGGCGTGAACGCCGCTGCCTCTTCAGAGAGGTTGGAGGGGGAAGTGATGGAGGAATCGACTCCGTGCGCGCCGCCTCTCTCTCTGCCTGGCTCGATGTCTATGGCTTGGGGCGAGGAGGATGGGGGCGGGGCGAGGAGGATGGGGGCGGGGCGAGGAGGATGGGGCGGGGCGAGGGGGCGGGCGAGGAGGAGGGGCGAGGAGGCGGGGCGAGGAGGAGGGGCGAGGAGGCGGGGCGAGGAGGAGGGGGCGGGGCGAGGAGGAGGGGACGGGGCGAGGCGGAGGGGGGACGAGGAGGGGGCGGGGCGAGGCGAGGAGGCGGGGCGAGGCGAGGAGGCGGGGCGAGGAGGAGGGGGCGGGGCGAGGAGGAGGGGACGGGGCGAGGCGGAGGGGGGACGAGGAGGAGGAGGCGGGGCGAGGCGAGGGGGTGGGGCGAGGCGAGGAGGCGGGGCGAGGAGTAGGGGGGGGCGAATCGAGGAGCCTCGTGAGCCAACGAGGACCCGGCCTTAAGACTTTTTTTGAACGGAACAAAAGATGAACAAGAAGTGCTCGCTTAAAGAAGCGCGCGGAGAGATGGTGGTGATGATGACGGTGATGATGGTGATAATGGTGATGATGGTGGTGATGATGATGATGGTGGTGACGGTGATGATGATGGTGGTGGAGCTGATGATGGTGGTGACGGTGATGATGATGGTGGTGACGGTGATGATGATGGTGGTGGAGGTAATGATGGTGATGATGGTGATGATGTTGATGGTGATAATGGTGATGATGGCGATGATGGTGATGATGGCGATGGTGATGATGTATCCTCGGAATTCCACCGAGAGTCGGAAAGAGGAGCACGCCGATGAGACTCGGACTGTAAAAGATCAAAGGATCTTTAGGCCCCAAGGGGATGATGGGGTCCTCCCCCCCATGGTAAATATGAATGGCTTGAGTGGCATTTGCCTAGGGATGGAATTATTTTGCGTGCGAAGAGGACGCGTCCACCCGCGGAGATGGAGCCGTGAAATCAGCGTCGTGTGATGATGCTCGGTGGATTGTTGCATCGCAGGATCGCGAGGCCTTCATCCAGCAGTGGATTGACCATGGCCGATGATTATAAGGGGTGCTTTAATGGGTTTATTCATGAGTGGGAGCTTTCCCTGGGAACGTGTTTGGTTTCTTAGTGTAATGCGCAATGCATACATTCACACATCAACTCACACTTGCTCATTCACTCACCCAGCCTCCGGTTAGCACGGTTGGCTACATACGGTGCGAAAGAAGTTCAACAGGTATACAACTTATGTGTCAACCCATACGTCTTACCCGTATTCTTGTACCGGGAAATTGAGGTTTCTAGGTTCAGATGGCAGGTACAGCCGTTTCAATAGGGCAACATTTTATTTGCGTTTCTCCCTTGTGATGGGACTTTGTAGGATAAACGTAAAAAAAATTCAGGGCACTTGGTGACCAATAAGGTCTTAATTGGTCTGTAATAAGGCAGGCACTGATACAATCTTACCCATACTCACCTACTCGCTCACCAAGACCTGATATACAAACACCTCGCAACTCAACCAACCAGCCACTCGCCGACTCGTTCACCAAATCACATATACACACACTCATAACTCAAGCTCATTAAATTAAAAACACATTTTAGTGTTACCCACTTTCTCCCCCCAACGTCTCTCGCACAACTCAATCACCGAATGACGCACAATCCAAACAATATTACGCAATCACTCGCTCACCCGTCGCAACAATGATGAGTTCACTCACTCAACCGGCTACCCGAAGTGACAATCGCGCACTCATCTAGCAAAACAAACAATTACACAGCGCATGTTCATTTTATCACCCGTCGGCCTTCACAACACACACGCCTCCAACCCGACACTCCAATCCAAACGATTACGGCACGCAACGTTTAACACGTAAGCTTTCGCGACCAATATTATTCGTGATGAAGTACTGTACTCGCTTGTACATGTTTTGTGGGTTTGCTCTACAACGGACAACCTGTGTGCTAAAGTTGTGGAACAAATTGGCACGTTTTGTTTCACGTGACAAAACTTGCTAATTTTGGCTGTGTCGGGTGGAAGTGGGTGTACGACACATTTACATTCACGCGATGTAACTCACGTTTTATTACCACCCACACAATTACATATCCACTCACATTCGCTCACCCAACCATCGCATCAATTACCCCACTCATCCACCCAGCTACAACAACAACAACCGCCATTCAGCACTAAGTGGCGGTGACGTCACCACGACGCTTGTGCCAGGCCATGTGCACCTTGAGACCACGTGAAGTGTCGAACGCCCGCTGGCAGGAGGTCACGGGGCAGACCCAGTAGGTGCCACGGGTCGACTGACTGAGATGACTGGCTGATGCATCACCTGTGCTCCCTACTGTGCCAACCTGTTGTGCTTTAACCACCCGGCGCTCCGCTCGTTGTTGTGAGCGTCGCTCCTCTGCCCTCCGTTGTTGTTGGAGGGCGACTGCCTCCAACTGCCCAGTAGCGTCCTTCACGAGCCTCCTCCACAAAGGCCGATCTTGACACCGCTGGTACCAGTCATCGGCTAGTCCACTCAGCTCCACGTCCTCCTGTACCACATCACTCCATCTCTTCTCTAGCCCGTGCCGCGCCCGTTTAGCCCCCTCGATCCGGCCGAACAAAAGCTGTTTCGCCATGCGGTGGCTGGGCATGCGGGCTACCTGACCCAGCCAACGCAGCCTTGCCCGCCGGAGGAGCTCACCGATGGGACCTTGCCCAGATCTTTCAATGATTTGTGAGCTCCTCACACAATCCAGCCTGGTTAAACCCAGGATGGATCGTAGGCAGGCCAGCCTAAATGTTTCTAACCGGCGAAGATGTTCCATTAGGGGGGTCCACGTTTCGCAAGCGTAGAGAAGGGAGGGAATGACCGTGGCCGAGAAGACCTGAAGCTTAGTGCGGAGCGACAGACTAGGTAGCTTCCACACAGCGTTACGCAACCGATGAAAAGATATTGCCGCTCGGCTGATTCAGAGTGAGACCTCTGCTGTTAAACTGGAGCCGGTCATAAGCACACTGCCCAGGTACACACACGCACAGACCTACACACCTCGCACCCTTTGAGGTCCGCTGGCTCGGATCGATTCACAACCTTTGGAATCCCGGGCCTTTGACCTTAACCCATCCGAGTTCGATACCAGTTGGTGGTTTTTCACACAAATTCGGTGTCAACAACCGACATTTCCCCCCCCCCCCCCCACCGTGGGTGGTGTCGTGATGGTAGTTGCCCGTTGCCTGCGGGATTTTATCTCATCATTTCTTCTTCTTCCATGACGTCGAGATGAAATTGCTCGCTCGATAATATTTTTTTGCCAAGTGACGTGGATGCGTGTCACGATCGTAGCATTTCAAACGCGCACAAATTTCACTCGCAGGCGTGGGAAACCACAGAGCAGGCGGGAATGCAGCACGAATCACGGTGGTTGTTGCCTGGGGATATTATTGGTGGAATGTTCTGGCCAACTCAATGAACGCGAGTTTATACCCGTTGGAGGAAAACCGGAGATCCCGGGGTAAAATAAGTAATATTTTTAATACTTTTTTTTAAACACGCTTTAATGAAATGTACCGTACTGGTAATGGCAGAATTCCACGACTCCAGAAAGTGACCCCGAGGCTTGCCATACCGTAAGGGGGCCGTGGTGATTTACAGCCAACGTCAGTTGAGCGTGGACAATTAGACCCAAGCCGAAACATAACATATAAAAATTAATATTAAAAAAATACTTTTTATATATATAGAATATAGTATTGTCATCAGTATGACATAAGTATTCCAAGTTTTCAGTCGATACCACATTTGGGAAGTGGGTTAAAATTGAGTTACAAGATTTGAGGATACGACAACAACAGAGCGAGTCAAATAAAAGCGTGTAATAATAATAAAAAAAACCTACCCCACTACGCTGTATACAAGGGGGGGGGGTGACTCCACTGCCATCTCCTGGCCACACTTTCGCATCCCCACAAGTACACAACTTGCAGCATCAGGCAAGCCACCGGCAGGCATCCATTCAAGTCGGTTCTAAGCAGGCTTAACCCCGCTGAGCTTCCGAGATGCGACGAGTTCGGACGGCGACTGTGATACAATGACGCATTCAAATGCCTGAGTTGGGTCACATAACACAATGTACATATTCAGAAATGTCATTATTCACCAACACGATTCAGTTATGGTATGTCTAATCTCTTCCATCTCGTTGAGTGTTTAGCCTACAAGGTAACACGTGCATACAATGTGTATAATCGTATACAGTGCAGCGTAATAACAATACAGTGTACTTTGGCTAAAACAGGTTCCTGGCCCAAGCACGACCCTGTGCTTGCTGGCTTGTTTCCCTGTAGCTTCTCTACATTGCTCAGGCCACCGGGGAGACGCTTCCTTGTCTGCCGGCCTTCTATTTTTTACTCATTTGCCACATTGCAGAACCGTGAGAGATGGCTTCGCCTTGGGAAAGTCTTCATCCAGCAGTGGATTGGCCATAGCTGCTGATGATGTGGATGATTGCTGCTTTAACCATAACGATCCTGATTTCACGTCAGATTTTTGCCATCTTCTGGTATTACCGCCAACGAATATTAGGACCAAAGCGCACGCTAGATAGACTCACAAAATTCGTGGAGGATTATATGTGTAGGCCTATTATCACCTGGCGGTGGAACGTTCGCCACTTGTTGTGGAGCTTCACGGTTCGAAACGAGTGGCCACCCCGATTAATACCGCGGGTTTAATAACCATAATTAAAACGCGCCGTCTGCTTCACAGTTGGACATTCTAGACTCCCCGACGTTATACGCAATAGGAGACCATTTTGTTCCGACGTCAGGGGTCCAACATTTTCCATATTCGAAAATGACATTGTCCCCTACCAGCAAATTAAAGAGGTCGTCACTCTTGCAAATTAGACCGATTCTGGTCTCTTGAGATCTCACCTGGTTAAACAAAATAAAACTAACGTCACGGTCATGTGATGCAACGATCTGCAGCAAACACGTGCACACGAGCTTTTTGGCAAACACCAAACATGCGTGACAATATGGTGATCATGTTTTTATTTATTTATTTTTATTTGCTAAAAATATATATTTCTAAACGGGCAATGTGTAGTGTTTGTAACTGCATGTCTGACTGCCTGCACTGAAACAGATCTGTAAGGGCGCATTTGATGCGTGTGCTTTCATTGCAGCCTCAATGACTGTGAAAAGGTCACAGTACAGGATGCCGACTTGATATTGATTTAAAGTCAACACTTTGTGCATATACAGTCATTAGAAACCACACCACAACAGGAAATGCGTACAGGTGTGCAACGCAGAAATAACGACACGCATAGCTGCGCAACAGCCCCCGTGTCTTCATGGTGGCCTAAACAGAAATACGAGCCACATTCAGCTCTTATGAGCTGGTGGTTTGGACACGGCTGAGAGAGCATTCTACATGCAACGTTCATGCAGAAGGCATGTCTTTACGAGCAGCAAACGTGTTTTTCTGTTTGTATTCCTACACTGACATTGATTGAGCCAACCCTGGGAGGACAATGCATGAAGTGAATCAACTTTAACTATTACAAAGGAGCCCGCAGTGCAATCATAATGAAGGCAATTACTGGATTACGACGACTTCAATGCTTCCCTGGGTTCTTCGTTAATTTGCTCCCAATTATTTTCCTCACGCAGTGAGCAGTGCACCACTTTGTCTATCAGAGGACGGTCCCGGGAGACGATTTATACAAAACTAAGACTGAATTCACGTGAGTAGGCTATTGTCCACATTAAAGATATACCTATGCCGTGCAGAGAATGCCAGTCACACAGCGACATTTGTTTCTCTGCGCTGGAAGAAGCCAAATTAAACGTAATGTGATGTTTAGAGTGACCAGTCGTCTGTACTCGATCTGAGATCTTGAAAGCACAACACCAGAAAAAACAGTTTAATCACGGCTGTTTGAAACCCAGATTCAACCCCAGACGTCATCTGCAAAGCCAGCTCGTTGTCATCGACACGGCTCAAAGACTCTCTCCATCACAGCTGACTCCTTGCTACCCAGCTAAGCATCTCCGACAGGGGGCTATAGGGAACTTGCTGTCCACAGGTCAGATATGACCCGCGATATCATTTCATACGGCCCGCCACCACATCAATGGTCCGCAAACGATATTTATCCGTCACTGCATCTTAGCCGCACAAATCGACCTGAGAAGACTGCAATTTTTTAATATTTTTTTGTTTGTTAACTTCATCATCACGGCCTTCTTTGGAAATCTGTGCAAAAACAAGAGCTCACGTGTCCTCGGTTCAGCAGAATGACGGGGGTTCACGATAATTGTCAGGTTATTCAAAAACATACGTGGGTGCACACAGAAGAGTTCCAGTGAATACATGTTTTTACTCAAATAAGTGGGGTGGGGGGTGGGCTTTGTTTTCTTCCTAAACGTAGGTCACTCAGAGGAGTCGAGCCCTCATTTTTTTCTCATTATAAGAAGAAAACAGGGATGCCCCCGTGGTATAATGGTTAGCAGCACTGGATTTGTAATGCAGAGATCCCGCACCTTCGATTGGCACGGTTGGCTACGTACGGTGCGACAGAAGCTCAACAACACACATACGTTGCTAGTTCGATTTCCCGGCGCGGTAGTATTGGTGCAAGTTTATTAAATCCCGTCCCCGCATACTCCCACTTCTGCCCACCGAGTAGTCTAAACGTATACTCTTCAGATCGTGTGTGTCGGGGCAGAGTGTGAGTTACTCCCACCTCTTCCAAGACGTCTGGCCGGCGTGAAGGCCCTTCCGCCAGCAGTGGCGTGAACAGGAAATTTCAGGTCCGCACCTTTACCTATAATGCGACAATAACCAAGGTGTGTGTGTGTGTGTACGTGTGGCTGCGCCGTCTAAGCTTTGCGAACGTCCCGATTCGACCATCGCCAAGTAAAACGTTCCAGAGCCCTGCTCTTTGATTACTCTGGCATTGTCTACTCCATCTTGGCGTACAGCTGCTCCTGCACAAACTGCTCAAAGGTGAGCGAGTCGGCCTGGGCCCCCGAGCGAGCCCTCGCCTCCAGGTAGAGCCCCCACGGCTCCCGTCGAGGCTCGTAGATGCTGCGCGTGAAGGGGGGCTCCCGCACCCCCAGCAGGGCCCGCACGCCACGGCACAGCTCCTACACAAATATTCCGTGCTTCATTTCACTAGAGATAGCCCGGAGCGCCACATACCATCTCGTCTTATTTTGTCCTTGGGATACTGAAGTGGTGGTGTGAGTGTGTATCGGGTACAGCAATAATCATATTCAGAATGATACCGAATAATATATAATTGTCGTGGGTCTGCGTAACTTGTGGGCAGTTGACATAGCCCGTCATCTCTCTGGGGGTCACTATGGGGAAGACTCGAATGTGGAATTTCCACCACTGGCTCAGAGTTGGAAACAGCAGAGGAGCACCACCCCGACGCTTATTTGAGCAGGAAATATGTTTTGTTTTATGACCTTGTATTCTCGTGCCAGTGCCTTGCGCCGAATATGTTTACTGCGAGCCAGTCTATCAGCGATACAGAAAATAATCGAGTGAGAAATTAAACCGTGGAGACATTCACGGATCAACTTTGGAGGGGGGAGGGGGAAGCAGAGTGATTCTATGGGTGGGGTGCTCACTTATTCTGCGGAGAGGGAACATGAGGATGGTGGCTGGAGCTACCTCGTGCGTGGACACATTGAAAAGGAAAATAATCAGCACCATATTTGAGGGAACATTGGTGTAGCCGAGATAGAATCCCTGACTATGTGTACACGGTACTTTAACCAACCCACTCGGCTACAAAATAATTCTAAATTTAAGATACTTTTTTCATGGCCCCACTCATCAACCTTCCCATACATCATCCACACACCCACCCTCCCATCCATCCACACATCCACCCTCCCATCCATCCACACACCCACCCTTCCATCCATCCACACACCCACCCTACCATCCATCCACACACCCACCCTCCCATCCATCCACACACCCACCCTCCCATCCATCCACACACCCACCCTCCCATCCATCCACACACCCACCCTCCCATCCATCCACACACCCACCCTCCTATCGCCACACTCACCCTCCGATCCATCCATCCACACTCCCACCCCCCTATCCATCTACCCATCAATTTATTTACACACCGATCCACACACCCACCCTAATATCTATCCATCCACACACCCGCCCATCCGACCAACTTAACTTTAACACGGATCCCAACACTCACCTCAATCCTAACCCTGACTCTTTTTCTGAATTGCAACCTCAACGTGCTAACCCTGCCCGCTCGCACTCACCTTCATGTGGTTGAAGTCGGTGACCCCGAGGCGCGGTAGCGAGGAGCAGTTGATGAGGATGAGTCTCCTGCCATCCACGTGGTTATTCATGAAGCACTCCTTGTGACAGACCGGCGGGGCACCAGGCAGGTGATTAATCAGGTAATCTGGCGGGTGGTTTCATTCTTACGCTGGTTTACCCAGGAAAATATCACTGAGTCTCATGACTCTCATTCTAAAGTAAACTATAAAAACGTTTCTTTTACCAGGTAAGGCCCACTGAGCTATATAGCTCTTTTTTTCAGAAGCGACCTGTCCAACAAATGATAGCTCAACGAAGTGGCTTATGTGAACATGTCTAACGGCCAAATACTCGAAATGCATGTTTTCAAAATTTGGAGAGGAAAACGGGTGCACTCCGTGAAAGATCCACGCTACCACGGGGAGAACATGCGAACTTCAAATATACAGCAGGCGTCAGGATCGGGATCGAGCCCATGACCTCCTGTATACCAGGCGAGGTAGTTAACATCTCGCCACCGTGGCGCCAGGAGAGTGTTGCCAAGTTTTCGCAGTTTGGAACAATGAGTGGGATGTGTATAATCGCAATTCAGTTATTTGAAACTTTGACTTTTTGACCACATTTTGGCCATAGTACCGATGCACAGATGTCTACTATGGCATTAATAACTAGGGTGGCCGCCGGATTTGAACCGGCAACCTCTACAACAAATGATAAACGCGCTACCGGAAGAAATACGGGTAATTGATCAGGTAGTTAATCACACAGGCATACACTTAGTAAATCAATCAGTAAGAAAGTCAATCATCCAGTTAGGAAGTTAATCAGGTATGAAGGCTCTTAATCGACCACTTTGGCAGTTAATAAGACAGCCAGCATAATAGTGAAACTGTTATCGTGTGAGTCAGAAAGGTAGTCACGCAATAAATTACATTTCAGATAGACACACAGGTGGCCATTTAATGTCACGTGTAGACAGGGAATTATTCAGGCAAGAAGTCATTGAGCAAATCGGCCAGTTTATCAGTCACTCAATAGGAAAGACAGCCACTCAGTAAGTACCCGATACTGTGAGAAGCCAAGGCTGCTGACCCAATCAGCCACCTCCTCGCATCCCCAATGAAGGCAGTCGGGGTTGAAGGACCTAGCCTTCCCATAATCTTCCTCATCACGACGATCATCATCATGCTCCTCCTCTGTGGCCGCTTGGGCATCTCCCTTTGTCTCCAAGTGCGTGTATCCGTGTGCCTCCACGTGAGTGTCCTCATGGGTCTCCACACGATTGTCTTCATTTGTCTCCACGTATGTGTCCTTATATGCCTCTATATATCTGTCTCCGTGTGTCTCCACGTGCGTGTTCTCTTCTGTCTCTGAGGGCGTGTCCTCATTTGTCTCCATGTAGGTACCATGTGTCCCTGTTTGCTTGTTTTGGACACCTCGTGTCTCCACGCGTGTGTCTTCACGTGTCTCCACACGTGTCGTCTTCGGGGGAGTGTTCTCCCGTTTCTCCAAGCTTGGCTCGTCTCGTGTCTCCAGAATTGTGTTCTCCGCGACGGTGTCTTCATGTGTCTCCACGAGTGTGTGTTCACGTGTCTCGAGGTGATTGTCTTCATCTGTCTCCACGCGTGTGTCTTCACGTGTCTCCACACGTGTCTTCAGGGGAGTGTTCTCCCGAATCTCCAAGCTTGGCTCGTCTCGTGTCTCCGGAATTGTGTTCTCCGCGTGGGTGTCTTCATGTGTCTCCACGTGTGTGTGTTCGTGTATCTCCAGGTCATTGTCTTCATCTGTCTCCACGTGATCGTCTTCGTGTTTCGTCTTCGTGTCGTCGGGTGTCTCCACATACGTACCCGATGTGCCCAAATGCTTTTCTCCGCGTATTTCCATATTTTGGTCACGGCGCGTCCCCAAGTGTGTGCCATCTCTTGTCTCCGCAATTAGGATCGCGTGTGTTTCCGCGTGTGGGTCTCCAGGTGCCTCCAACGCGTCGTTGCGCGTCACCGTGTTCTTCTCAATTTGTGTTCCCGAGTTCGTGTCACCTTGCCTCTCCGCGCGAATGTCTTCTTGCGTCCCCAATTGTGTATCACGCTGCGTCTCCACAAACGAGTCACCACCCTGTGCCTCCACGTTCGTGTCGCCTTGTGTCTCCATGAGCAATGCCTCCCCTACCTCGGCTACATCCACGTCCTCCTCTCTCTCGGCCATGGCTCACATGAATCTGCGGAGCATTGAGCAATTCTCTTCTATACCCCGCACCACAAACTCCCAACCCATACCTTACCCTACCCATTGTCCAGACCTCACCATTACCTTACCCTTCCTTAAATTGCCCTTACCTCACCCCACGGGCCGTGTCTCCATCCATCCCTCCCTGCCTGCCTCATTGGTCTCCCGGGACGCGGCTGCGACCATAGCGACCCGGCTTAGGTTGTTGCGCCAAAGCGGCAACGGAGTGGATGTTTGCTCAGGGCAAGAGTTAGGACTGGGGCTCTGTGTGTGTGTCGGTGGAGCTGTGTGTCTGTATTTATGTGTGCTGGCTGACAGCACTTGCTCCAACAGCTAAACGGAAGATCTTGTCAGAATGTGTCTGTGTGTTTATGGGTCTGTGTTGGTGTCTGTACCCTTGTCATAGATACATTTAGTCGATTTGTCTGTGTAATTGTATATTTGCTATATCTTTGTGTAGGTCTCTTTCTATTTCTTCATGGCTCATGGCCAATTGGCCTATCCAGCGCCCACGGCTAAGTCCTGAGCCAGTGGTGTAAATTCCACATTCCTATGGGCGAGTGCGGTATAATAACGTGCAGTCTCACCAGGTCTTGCTAACAAAGAATGAGCAATTATTGATGATGATTATGATTGTCATGTGATGTTTTTATGTATTATTACTATTTCTATTATTCTTGGAATAACAGGAAATGATGGTTGAATTATTATATATTAATTACTACTAGAATTGCTAAATATATGCATGTAATTAATGATTATTTGTTAACATTATTATAGATGATAATGATGATTGAATAATGATGATGATGAGAGGGCCGAGTCGATTCTGCCTCCTGGTAAGGGTTTGAACTGCCACTCTCATGATCATGAACTCTGCTGTTGAACCAGCTAGTCTTTGGCATTTACCGTTGCAAACCAGGTAATTTAAGACACGTACACTCCGTGCTTACATCAAAAGGCGCACTACAGTCTCACCAACCCATACCGACCAGAGCGGTGACGTATGGTGAAATAACCCCCCACGATTTGTACGGTGTGGAAAGTCACTCATCCAGCAGTGGATTGACCAAAAAAAGGCTGAATATGTACAAGTACTATACCTTGAGATCCTGCTCAAAAATATATCCGTGAGTTTGATCTTTAAAACATCAAAAAAACTGTATTACGACTATATATTCTTGGTTCTTTCGGTAAAGTCACGTAGAAGGGAAACAATAAAATAAATAGCAAATTATTTATTTGAATCTTATGATAGAGTGTATTTTTATTCATGCAGAAAAATAGCTTCAGCCTTATTTAAATTTGAGATATGCATATGGGGTCCAGAACGGTTGTCAATCCACTGCTGGATGAAGTTAAGTTTTATTTTTATTGGATGAAAGCAAAAAAGAGACAAGAACACGCTGATTTGCGAGCGCGACCTGGATCACCAAAAACATAACCGACAGTTTGACCATACTTCCCCAACTGCCAGTGCGGATTCAAATATCGCTCTCCGCTGATGTTATAGCCATGGCCGAGAATCGAACCCAGGTCACCGGGTTTAAGACGCAGTGCTTGAACCACTACGCCAGGTTGTGGGGAAGCATCTTTGAAGGGAGACATGGTTACGCCGGGTTTGTGTGGGTATGTATTATGTTTGTACATAGGACAGTCTGTCATAAATGGTGTGCCTTATTTACCTAGGCAAGTCCAAGTTGAAAGGTGCCTGTGGGTAGTAAGGTGAGTAGGGATGTTAATTGCATGGACCTGCCATAGTCTTTGATATCACTTGGCAGCTTAAAATGATTTTTTTATACATTCAATAAGTTATTTTTAGTTGTTGTAAAACGTTGGAAACATCAAACAAGGCTAAAAATGAATAGGCTTATGAATAATACCTTCTTGAAAAACATGTGCCACTCAACACCAGGGTTATTGAATTGTATTTTTGTTTAAATATGAATGTGTGCCTGAAGAAGAAGTTTTTCAATCAGTGCACATTGCCAGCGCTGACAAATCTTTCAGAAACATGAACACTGACAAAATAAATGTAACATGAGACGTAAAAAAGTACTGTATGGAAAGAGGCGTGAAAAGCAAAACATGTGCATGAAAGAACAAACACAAATTACAGATATCATATTGACTGATAATTGAGTTTTTTACCCTTTTATCTGGCAACAAAACTGACACCTTTTTTACAAGGAGTCATGTTTGCACTGACCACAATGCCTGCGGTCGGAATGCAAACAAAAAACATAACTCTGATAATGTATGCACTGTCCTTAAAATTGATTGGTCCAATCAAAGCTCTTTTTCACAATCAATTTCAAGGACAGTGCATACATTATCAGAGTTATGTTTTTTGTTTGCATTCCGACCGCAGGTATTGTGGTCAATGCAAACATGACTCCTTGTAAAAAAAAAAGGTGTCAGTTTTGTTGCCAGATAAAAGGGTAAAAAAAAACCAATTATCATATTTTGCTACTTGCAAAGGAGGTTCCAATGGTATAAATCATATTGACCGTCAATAAAAGTGAGTGGGCTTGATCAGGACACATCATGGCTCGAAGCATCGCCAATGAGTGAGACTGTGACAGAACGGAAGCCAAAGACGGGCACATGATTGAGCCACCACAACAACAACAACAATTGGCACCGCTAAAGTCGTATGTTCATTATTAGGAATGCTGGTGGGACGGACGAGTGAAGCACAGTGTCTGGCGCTGGGCTCCATTGACTCTTTGAATCAGAATCTGAATATTAATTTTCGACTGAAGGAATCCGATGAGCCACAAAGCTCTTTGTCACAGATGCCCACAGTAATCACGGCACGTACATAAAATGTTACCGTACAGTAACATACTCCCCGTACATTAAAAAAAAATCGCAGTACCCCACACGGGATCTTCCGGAAGATGAGAAGAGAGCTGAAGGAGGAGCCCCCTCCCACCCCCTTGCTTCTGTGACAATCAAAAACGAGCACGTGGGGTCCCCCCCCCTCCTTCTGTGACAATCAAAAACGAGCACGTGGGGTCCCTCCCCCCCCCCCCCCTTCCTTCTGTGACAATCAAAAACGAGCACGTGGGGTCCCTCCCCCTCCTTGCTTCTGTGACAATCAAAAACGAGCACGTGGGGTCCCTCCCCCCCCCTTGCTTCTGTGACAATCAAAAAAGAGCACGTGGGGTCCCCCCCCCTTGCTTCTGTGACAATCAAAAACGAGCACGTGGGGTCCCCTCCCCCCGCTTCTGTGACAATCCAAAACGAACACGTGGGGTCCCCCCCCTTCCTTCTGTGACAATCAAAAACGCGCACGTGGGGTCCCTCCCCCCCCCTTCTGTGACAATCAAAAGCGAGCACGAGGAGCCCCCTCCCCCACCTTGCTTCTATGACAATCAAAAACGAGCACGTGGGGTCCCTCCCCCCCCCCCCTTCTGTGACAATCAAAAACGAACACGTGGGGTCCCTCTCCCCCCCCTTCTGTGACAATCAAAAACGAGCACGTGGGGTCCCTCCCCCCCTTCTGTGACAATCAAAAACGAGCACGTGGGGTCCCTCCCCCCCCCCCCCCTTCTGTGACAATCAAAAACGAGCACGTGGAGTCCCTCCCCCCCCTTCTGTGACAATCAAAAACGAGCACGTGGGGTCCCCTCCCCCCCCCTTCTGTGACAATCAAAAACGAACACGTGGGGTCCCCCCCCTTCCTTCTGTGACAATCAAAAACGAACACGTGGACCCCCTCCCACCCCCCCCCCCCCTTCTGTGACAATCAAAAACGAACACGTGGAGTCCCTCCCCCCCCTTCTGTGACAATCAAAAGCGAGCACGAGGAGCCCCCTCCCCCACCTTGCTTCTGTGACAATCAAAAACGAGCATGTGGGGTCCCTCCCCGCCCCCCCCCCTTCTGTGACAATCAAAAACGAGCACGTGGAGTCCCTCCCCCCCCCCCTTCTGTGACAATCAAAAACGAGCACGTGGGGTCCCTCCCCCCCCCTTCTGTGACAATCAAAAACGAGCACGTGGGGTCCCTCCCCCCCCCCTTCTGTGACAATCAAAAATGAGCACGTGGGGTCCCTCCCCCCTTGCTTCTGTGACAATCAAAAACGAGCACGTGGGGTCCCCCCCACTTCCTTCTGTGACAATCAAAAATGAGCACGTGGGGTCCCTCCCCCCTTGCTTCTGTGACAATCAAAAACGAGCACGTGGGCCCCCCCCCCCCTTCTGTGACAATCAAAAACGAGCACGTGGAGTCCCTCCCCCCTTCCTTCTGTGACAATCAAAAACGAGCACGTGGACTCCCCCCCCCTTCCTTCTGTGACAATCAAAAAAGAGCACGTGGTGTCCCTCCCCCCCCCCCCTTCTGTGACAATCAAAAACGAGCACGTGGAGTCCCTCCCCCCCATCGTTAGTCGATGAGAGTCCCGTTGCCTTGACGACCAGGCGCCTGTGTTGTTGCGTTGCCTAGCGACGATGGTTAAAGCGCCACGCCATGGCCATGGTGAGTGTAGCGCGGCCCCGGCGCTCGCGTTATTTTGTACACTTTTGGTAAAGAGAGAGCTAAGGGTTTACATAAAATAAAAACCCAGCAGCAATTTAAGGAATTGTTTATATTTTAAAGCAAAAAAAAAATCACACTCACAAACCGCCTCCACAACAAGCAAGCTCTCTTATGTGAAAACCTTGCTCAAGTGGAGACACGTTTTAGTTGTTGAAAATGTAATGGTGTTTGTTGCCGTGCGCTCGACACGTGTTTGGGCCCTTCAGGCCTGTGAAACTTCGTTTTTCGTTGTTGTTGTTGTTTGCAATTACCGTGATTAATCACACATCGAGCACACTTATGGTTTAACGCGTGCGTTTGTGAGGGTGCTCTTAGCAGTGGTAGGAGGCAGTGACCCAGCCATTAATCTGTTTCGGGCCGATAAAATGTGGTACCATTTTGTTGGAAGTCAGCGGTAGTTTGCGTCGTGGATTTATTTGCACCTCCCGTCAGAATGTGGAAATGCCACACCGCCGGCTCAGGGCTGAAGTGGCAATGAACACTTCGTGGAGACTCTTCCTGTCAGTCGATAAGTTCGGTAACCAGAGTGGTGAAGTATGGTCAAATAAACCCTCACGACCCGCGCGGCGCCGAGAGGCCCTCAGCCAGCAGTGGATCTTCGAAGGGGCTAACATTAACCCGTCTGGACCTCCGCTAAGTCGACTCCGCCAAAAGTGAGTTCAGTACAGTGCCCGATTAAGCTAGTGCGGGGCCTGTAGC